AGAGGGATTTTGTATAAGAGGTCACATTTTTTTTCCACTGTTGAAGGTCAAGACAAGTAAATTATATCAATTTGGCAACATAACACTATCCTGCAGGCTCTACAGAATTATTTGGTCACTGACTGTCCCTGGATGTGATGATACACTAGAAATGCTTGAAATGTTTCATTGCATCAGAGGGAAATCTAAAAGTACAGGAAATGCAAGTTAAAGAGAAACTCACATGTGTTGCCTTAAAAATAGTGTTATTCATTTTTCTGATAAAGTACACAGTGGCATAGATGTTGTTTCTGTCCGTGCCTGATGTTTATGGGATGTTAATGTTTTGATGGTTTTAAAAATAAATTGATGATGTCCACAAGATACCATTCCTGACTGGCTTACGAGCACAGCCCAAGAAGCAACTGATAAGAACAGATACTGCACTTGATCTCAGTCAAAAAGCTGAGGAGTAATGATTTATGTCTTGTTTATTGGTGCTCCAGTAGAATTTCTCTATCATAGAATCTTAGAATATTACAGCACAGAATGAAACCATTCACCCATCGTACTCTTTGGAAGAGCTTCCCAATCAGTCCAACTCCCCCATTCTTTCCCCATGTCCTTACATTTTTTTTTCTTTTTCAAGTACCTATCTAATTCCCTTTTGAAAGTTGTTATTGAATCTGTTTCCACCACCCTTTCAGGCAGTGCATTCCAGACTGTAACAACTCTTTGGGTAAAAAAAATGTTTCCTCATTTCCTCTCTGGTTCTTTTACCAAATATCTTGAATATATCTGCCCTGGTTACCGATCCACCTGTCAGTGGAAACAGTTTCTCCCTATCTACTCTATCAAAACCCTCATAATTTTGAACACCATCAATAAATCTCCTCTTAACCTTCTCTGTTCTGAGGAGAACAATCCCAGCTTCTCTAGTCTCTCCAAATAATGAAAGTTCCTCATCCCTGGTACCATTCTGGTAAATCTCATCTGCACCCTCCAAAGCTTTGATATCCTAGCTCTGTGTTCCCCAATAATTCTCAGAGTTTGCTCTTGCTATACTTGTCTCCAACTCTGCCATTTTGTTATAATGTTTGATCTGCAAAACTAGTGTAATTTAGTGTAATTAGTGTAGATCAAATCTTCTCTGGCAGATCCAGGTGAATCTGCCTCTCCTTTCTATTTCAGAAAAAAATCCTAAGTGCTTACCCCTCACCTAGTTGAATGATTTAGACTAAAATCTGCAAGGCAAATTTGAATAGCTATGTGTAAGGAGTGACTGGTTGCTATGGCTTGGGGATAAAACGTTGGATACAAATTAATCCCCATTAGACAAAACACATAATCACATTGCCAGCTTTACAAGAAAAGTTAATAGTTACTGTAAATGATTTGGCAGGATTTGCTTATAGGTCTCAGAGCTACATGTTCCAAATATCTCTAGGGTGCACACAGCTGCTTCCATGAACAAATATTCCAACAATGCCTTTGAATGCACTTTTAGAACAAATTAGTCCAAGAAAAAAACAAAGGAGGTTATGAAAGAAAAATAACAAGATAATCTCATTAAATTGAATGTGATGCTTGTTGAGTTTGACTTGTGAGAGGAAAATATTACTTGCCAAATTACACTAATAATCAGGACCTTATTGCTTCATTGGTGACTGCTCATGCATCACATTCTTTCTTTATCCCTGGATAACAGGATTGCTCAACCGTGCAATCTTTAATAATAACATAGAAGGTAGGGTATTCATTTTTCAATTTACTCATTGTAAAAAAAAGCTTTGTAATTAATTCATTCAAAACAACAAACCTGGAAATTCCCAGCAGCAAGGGTTGTGCAATAGTGAAGCCGCTTTGTTTTACATGATGCTATTCTTTCATATTCCAGAGATGCACAAGTTCTGATATCAGTGAAGATCCAGCTCAGTACAAGATGCATATTGCAATGATTTACTGAACAATAATTGTGTGACATGTTGATGTCAGTGAAGATGTTCTTTAGTTAAAATGATATTCTGCATTCTCATTATACTGATATACTTGACAATAATAATTCAGGTTAAAAAATGTAAAAGAAGCAATTGAGCAATCAGATTTTTCCATTTATTGAAAAATAGCAAAAAGATTGCCATCTGTAGCAATAATTCATAATATAGAGCCCGTAATTGCTCTGCTCCCAATGATGGCTGTATGTACCTCTAATTCCAAACACTTATTCCTGAGTCTTCTTGTATTACTATAAAAAATACTAACTCTCATCCATATTTGATCCTTCTTTTTTTATAGGTTCTTTTAGTCCTTTATGCTCAACAACCATGTGCAGCTCATCCCATCTCATTAAGAGTCACATCCAAACCCAATCTAATGTTCAAGACTGAGATACATATATTTCTTATTGCAAAAGGGATTAAGGGATATGGGGATAAGGCAGGGTCAGGTTATTAGCTGGAGTTAGATTAGAAGATCAACCATGATTGAATGGCGGGGCAGGTTTGAACGGCCGACATGTTATGTTATGTTATGTTCCAGTGTACAACGTGTCTCATCCAATGGCAAACCCTAGCAAGCTGGTTAAAAGGAGTTGAAATTGTTTAGAAGCACGTCATGTCGTTTATAATTTCGCATTGCTTTTTAATTTCTTATTTGCATTACTAACAGGGTGTTTTAAACAATAAATGGTAACAATTCACAGATATATATATAATATATATAGCACCCTTCACATAGGATAATGGCCTTGGAACAATTTGTATCTTTGTCTGCTCTTTCTGTGATTCCAAGCATGAAATATTTGTTGTCTCACTAGCGACATATAGGAATGGATAGAGCAGGAGCAGAGCAGACCTTTCCCCAGGAGCAAAAATCAAACGATGTGTCAACTCTTGCTGCTTAAATGTACATCCAGTTTTAGTGAAGGAACCTGGGTATGGGGAGCCAGAGCAAGGGAAAACGAAAGAAAAAGCTGTAAAAGAAAGTTTCTGAAATCTACAGTGTTTTATGGTTTGTTTTTCTCACTCTGTTTTCCATTCAGAGTGGTCAAACTGACTGTAAGTTGTTAATACTGCAAATTCCAATAAGGAAAACATATTCAGCACCCTCTGTTGGACATATACTGTTACCAGGACATAAAAGAGTTAAATCACAGATGGTGAAATACATGGGATACCCATGGAAATCAGCTAAAATGAATATGCAAATCATGAAACAAATTTCAGAAACCAGTTTGTGGAGGCTGTGAGTTAAATAATGTGGTCTCTGAGCAACAATATTCCTCTTAAGTTACATGGAAATTAGATCAAGTGTTATTTAAAAAGTATAAGCAAGCTAAAATGGTTTTGTGACTTTACGTGATGCATATTGCAATGTCCCTCTAGAATAATGCTTTTTTTAAAAGGTTATATTGATATAGGAACTGCATTAACCGAACTCTCAGACCTTGTCTTCACATTTATTATAAGGGTCATCAGCCAGAGAACCAGTGCACAGCCCAGATCCTCCAATTTATCTATAGTTCCCTTCCCACTAAATATCCTCCTTGGGGAGAGGTTAGCAAAGTCTCCTTGAAGCTGAAGGTTAAAGGTTGCTTCAAGGTGACATGCTTGACAGTGGAATGTCGGAATCGAGTTAACCCTCTGTGGTGGTATCAATAGTGTAAATCCCGAGCTCGGCAGTCCACAGAATTCCAACACACCACTGATGATCAGACAGCCTGGCTCATCGGCAGAACTTTGAGGGGCCGACCAGATAGTGAGGGCAGAGATTCTTCCCACTTGGCTCCAGTTAACCTTCCAAGCCAAAGCCCTAACTGGTAAAGTGGTCCTAGCTGGACAACTAGCAGGAAGTTTGCCAGACTGCTCTCAATGACAATGTATGTTGTAGTTAAACTCCAGGAGTTCCACAATGCAGGTTCTAGCCAACCTGCCCTAAATACTCTCCAGAATTAAGCCATTATGATGTGGAATTGCAGGGAAAGAGTGTGTATTCCATTGAAAACACAGGGAAATCTTGATGTGTTAGCATTTTTTGCACGCATTTGTGAAACTTTCAATCTGATTTGGATATTCTTAAGGATGGTGATGACAGTGAAGGGAGTTTCTATCAGATACTATCAGACACCCAGACTGACCAAAAAAAAATTCCCAATAGATAATTCATTAATTCCTTCAATCCTTACAAGTGAATCATGACGTTATTCTGGGCACTGGCCAATGATGTGATTGTTTTTGCTATTACTGTCTTCTATTTGTGATTGATGGAATGAAAAGCCTTTTCTTGAAAGAAAGCAAGTGCATTTCCGGCTGGAGCTCTATTGACTACATACAAGCTGTTAATGATTGCCTGCACTCTTGGAAACCTAATGATTTAAGACCATTTATGCTGCTGATGTGCATTGTCAAAAAAAAGTGAAGGTACATGGCACAAAACATTAGTAACATTGGTGGAATTAGATGATACCTGGGATCTTACAAGATCCTGCATGGTGAGGAGCAGTGCCATCGTAGGAACACCAACACCCACCCCCTTAGCTCACACTGAAACTTTTGCAGAGACAGAAAAGTAATGCATTGTGTTGTGCATAAAAAGGAGCTAATTCTTGAACCTATCTATAATTGGAATGAACAATAGTTAATTTTTCTTATTACAGATCGCATATGTATTATTTTAAACATTTGAATTTCAATGTAATCATCTTTCATCCCTTTATGTCCAGCTACCTCAACATCATTAAAATTGTCAGCAAAACTAAAATGCAAACAAAATTCTAAATTGATCTTTTTAAGGGCTATAATATCTTAAACAAATAAAACCAAATAGACATTGCTACACATTTCAGGTCTCTATTTCACTTGAAGCCTTTTTTTATATTGCATCACTGAAAAAAGCTACATTTCTACCCAACTATTATATTGGATTGGTGATTTTTTAATATAGAAATTGCTTTCTGGCTGGCTGGATTTCAGAAACTAATGCATTTTATAAAATTGCTGATTAATTTTTATCTTTGTTCAAAGGCCAAACATGGAAAGAATTTCTGGAAGGAGACTTGGAAGCAGAGATAGAACACAGGATGGAGGAAGGCTTTGGGACATCAACCTTGGAGAGAACACTAAAAAACAGTGGAACATTAAGAACCAATGCAAACTTTCAAGAGCAGAAGAATGGCCAGTGTGAGATCTTAGAGGGTTTAGTGAAAATACCTCCCCTGAGCTCCAGGTCAAACACAAAATCACCCAGTAGAGCAATCACACGTCATGCCTTGATAGGCCCCCGGAGAGTTTGGGGAAACAAGATTACTAACACAGAGGAGGCCTTGAAATATCATGACCAGGCAAAAGATCTGGAAGCCCCCACCAAAGAGCTATTAAGTTCCAACATTTGTCAATCTGACTTTATCGATTACCCAGGTATTTTGTTTTATTATTTATTATTAGTATATATTTCAATATTTAATTACACTGGCCATACAATTCTCGAAAGGTTTGAAAAGGTATATGTTGATAGATTGTTTCTAATATCACATTTCCTAGTTCAGTACGCTAGGTTAACCTTGGGTTAACTCATGGATGTCTTGGACACAAAGTGAAATCAAAGCTGAGCTATATTCTGATGTTGCTCAGGGTGGATTAACGAGACAGAGTTTGTGCTGTTGACATTCACATATAATACAAACACTAATGGTGGTGCATCAAACATTTTAATTCTGAGGAAGTAGTCTATCAAGGCAGAAGTGCTACAAAACTAAAAATGAATTGTTTAACATTATTAAGAAGTCAAAAACAAATGTGACCTCTAAACTATGGGTAGACATGATCCATTTGAATTATTCATCCAAAAGTTGTACTTTGTTGCTTAATATATGACAATCTTATTCTACTTGTTGTAGGCTTAGAAAACGATATCCTGATAGGTATGAGGGCAGACAATTCTGTTGTAGAGGGAGTGATGAGAGGAAACCTGCCACCTCTCGACCGCAAAAGACTCAAGAAATTCATGTGAGTTGGAGGGAATTTAAACTGTGATATAATTAAAAATAGTCAGTGAGGGGCATGAAAGAGTTAATAGTGGTGTAATGCAGGTTATGGGATGGGATGAATGAGTATTTGATGTTTTGTTTATTGGTCAGCTGGATGTCTGATGCGTGGAAATCCATCACCACATTTAGAAGTATCCAAACTAAACTACTGAAAGTTCCACATATGTTTATACCTATACCCGGCTCTGCCTCCCCATCACTCTAGGTCTTGTCAGGCTCCACAGGCTCCCTGTTGCAGAACGGATCGATTTCAAGTTTCTCACTTTCCAACCACTTCGCCACCTGGCACCTCCCTACCTCTCCCACTCCATTACCCACCATCTTCGCTCAGCTGGCTCAGGACTTCTTCACATCCCTCATCCCCACTGCTCCTGGTTTACCCACTAAGCCCCAAATCTCTAGAACTTCCTGCCTCAATCCTTCTACCTTGCCCCCTCTTCACTCGTCTTCAAATCAAAAGTGAAGACTTTCCTCTTTGATCGTGACTTTGGTCACCTTTCCCTCGGTGTCAACCCACTCTGCTGTTAAGCACTCTGAGTTGCAACTGGCATGAAGAGCGCTTTAGAAATGCAAGTTATTGTTATTGTTGGGAAATTACAATTTTCACGATAATTTAATTTTAATTACAACTATAAGCTTCTCCAGCTAGAACCAGCTTACCCATTAGAGCTTTGGTTTGCAGATTTAACAGATGCTGTGTGGAAATCCCAAATTCCATCCACTAAGCAGAATAGCCACTAGTTGAGCAGAAATGCAATTGGGTTGCATTCGTACAATTTGCCTTTAACAACAGATTAGAGAGTTAACATTTTCCAGTCTTGTTTTACTAAGTGGCCTGAAAGTTTTCAGGCATAGCCTGTCTGGTCAATAAAACACTTTTGCTTGTGAATGCTGGAAAATATATATTCAGCAAAACATTCCCTCAGAGGTCTTTCTAGGTCCCAAAATTGACAAACCAAAAATCTCTGCCTCAGATTTTACAAAATTGGAAGTCGCTGGGAGCTGAAAAGGAAGAATTCATGTATCTGGAGAAGTATTCTGCCACCTAGTGGGTGACAGTGAACACCTCCTAAGGTCACTTAATTGTCAATAAATTTATAAACAACAATAAATTACATTTATAAAGCGCCTTTAACGTTGGGTTGACTTCGCAAGGCGCTGGACAGTCGAGGATTTGAACCCGAGCTGGGACTTGGGATCAGTGGGGTGAATTAAACCCCTATCTATAAATCTTCAGGTTAATGTCAGTATGTGAATAATTAATGAGCATGTGTTAGGTTTCCAGGATGCACCAAATTAACTAAAATTGGTTTTATTTACTTTTTAACAGCCAGCTACCTTTCCAAGCTTTGATAAAATAAGCAAGCTGGAATTTTATACTGATACATTTCCACTTCTCAGTTAATGCCATCAACATTTGTAACATATTTGTAGCAAGTCTGTGTGTATCAGGTACACTTTGTTAATATTAGCAACACAGAAGAGATGTCATGTAATGTTTCTTGATCGCCTTACAGGAAATATTCCAAGGAAGGCTTCCTAGAAATCATCTCAAGAAAGAGAAAGAGCAAGTTAAAAGAAGTTTGCAGCGGCACATTTGTAGATACAAATGGTATTGTATTGAACAGGTGATAATTTATTAATTTTGCTTATCTGAGTTGCTTTATCTATGAATTTAAAACACATAATTTTTTTAAAAAATCTCTAATAACTGTAATAACTCTCCAGAGATTGAGATTTCAATGCCACCCCAAATGGTGCTGAACTCCCCACTGCTAGTGTCACCTCATCCTTTATTTCTTCATGCCAAAGGGTTGGGCATCTTCTCACTGATTTTGAAGAGTGGATAATTTTTGACATGGGACAGGTTTGTGCAGCATGTTACACAATACCAGCTTGGTAGCCAACGGAAAGCTGAGGAAGATTGGCAAGGGAGCGTCATAGATGCAATCCCTGGTCAAAGTTCACTGTTAAACTGAAAAAGTGCGAGCCACAAACAGGTGAAGCTGGCAGTGGCCCTGATTCCTGGATGAATAGATCTGTTCACAGCGCTTTCAAAATGAATGGATTCAAAAGGAATCAGAGAAGGCCTCAAAGTGCTGATAAAATCAACCGAGTAATCAAACGTGGCTGCATAATATATGTTATAATGCACTGCACAGTGTTCTATAAAAAATACTTTGTAATAATCATCATGCAATTGCAAATTCTTGTTTTACATCTCAATATAGACATGGTCCATTCTGGCCCATAGGATTTGGTCCTCTGTATTCAACTCCAAGACACATTATTAACTGCCCTGAAAATGAAGAACTTTGGCAAACTCCAGAACAAGGTGATGTTTCCCCTAATAATAGAATTATTATTAGAATTATTAGAATTATTAGAATCGCTTTGCGAGTGAGAGACCTGAGTTCAATTCCAGGCACAGGGCGAAACCTTGGGCAAGTTTCCTTACTCCACATGCCTAATAATAATCCCTTCAAAACCAAAAACAATAATAAATTGGTCATTTTCAATCCACAACTGTTTGTGGGACATTGCTGTGCGCAATTGGCTGCCACGTTCGCCCACAAATATACAGTCAATTCACTTTACAGTGTGTTCCGTGAAGCACTTTGGAACGTCCTCCCGACGTGAAAAGCGCTATATCAAATGCAAGGATTATTATTATTATTATTAATAATTGGTTTCCTTTGAATGGATTTTGAAATAGCACTGCAGATGAAATATTCATTCCATTAAATGACTCAGTAGAAGTTATAGCTAACACTGAGCAACATTAGCCACTTGCTGTGTAAGAGGTACTCGTGAAAAGGGTTTGGCAAGTGTTCTTGGCTGGTAAACACACAAAGCAATAACATGTCAAAACCATATAATTGCTTTACAAAAATGTCTCACAGTCTTTCTGGCTGTTCTCTTTCTCTCTCCCTCCCCACTTACACACACCCCTTCACAATACCACCACTACGACCAAAGGTCACTTTTGTTGCAATGGCTTGTTCCAGCACTGTGCGATGACTAGTAGATTTTTTTCATTTGTCCATCAGGTTATAGATTTATTGTGCGTTGTTGTGAGCCACAGTTCTGACAGATTATTTAATCAGTCTGGCCAATCAACTGTGAATATCTCTGCACTCTGATGGTGGAGAGCGGTAGAGTTGACCATCCGAAAATAAAATAGCAGCTTCATTCAGCCTACGTTTTGCAAAAACAGCTTTATATGTTGCTTTTGGGCCGATAAAAAAAATAGATTTTTTTGTAGTATGGATTGAGTCAAAATCCAAGATGGTGGATTCACGTTTTAAAATGTGCCTAAAGAGCATACCAATAGGTCCAAACCACAGGGGGTTCAGTCTTTAAACCATTTGATAATCATTGACTGCAGTTCTGCTAAACCTTTATAAGTCACTGGTTAGGCCTCAGCTGGAGTATTGTGCCCAATTCTGGGCAACAACAACAACAAGATTACATTTGTATAGCGCCTTTCATGTCGGGAGCCAATTCTGGGCATCACACTTTAGGAAGGATATCAAGGCCTTGGAGAAGGTGCAGAGGAGATTTACCAAAATGGTACCAGGAATGAGGGACTTCAGTTATGTGGAGAGACTAGAGAAGCTGGGATTGTTTTCCTTAGAGCAGAGGAGGTAAAGGGGATACTTAATGGAAGTGCTCAAAACTATGAGGGGTTTGATGTGGAGATAAACTGCAACAATATAGGGAAAGAGCGGGGTCGTGGGACTGATTGGTTAGCTCTTCCAAAGCGCCACCACAGACACAATGGGCCAAGTGTCCTTCTTGTGTGCTGTAATATTTTATAATACATTTCTGCCGTTTCATTACAAATTCAATGTGATCACATCAAATTTGCTATGAAATAGGTGAACAATCACTGCAATAAAATTTAAGAGCAACACGGTAGCACTCTTACCTTTATGGAGTTCAAAGCTCCACGCCTGGAATTTGAGCTCATAGACTAAGCTGACAGTCTGGTCAGTGCTGGGGGTAGCTGCATTATCAGAGGTGCCAGCCTTCAGATCAGACATTAGAAACAGAGGTCCTGTCTGCCTGTTCAGGTGGACTTTAAAGATCCCATTGTATTTGAAAAGAGAAGGGAGTTTCTCCTGATGTCTTGGCCATAAGTCCCCCAGATAGAAGTAATCATTCACTCTGGTGGTGTTTGTGGACAATGCTGTGTGCAAATTGGCTGCTACATTCACCGACAAATACAATCACTTCACTTTACATTAACTCCTGTGAAGAACACTGAGACATTTTGACAACGTCAAAAAGGACTTTATAAAATGTGAGAATTACTATAACAACAAAAGTTTTGCGTAGTTGTGTAAGCCTTTGCAAAGAAGAGTACTTCTGAAGTTTTATTATGTACTGACGCAAACATTACAAACATTTTCTCTGTTAAGTTTCTGACAGAACTGCAATGGAATTGGGTGATCCTGAAGCTCAGGGCAAGCGTTTGAGATATAAATGCTTGGTGTTTGATTCAAAGAGAAACACCAAAGAGCCAGTTCCACACTCTGTCCCAGATGATTGGCTTCCCAGCTTGGTTTTTGAGTCAAGGTATGAATCTGGCAACCTACACCAGGCTTGGAGAGTGTAAGTACATCAAATTCTTCTGCACGTTAGTTGGTATTGCTGGATATATTTCAAATATATGTTACATGTAGACTGAAGCCTAAACGTTGCCATCTAAAATCCAATAAAAACACGCTTGTAAAATGCACATGCACAAGTTTGACTGTTGTATAGCATTATATTAGATACTGAAAATTCAGACTTAGATAGATGAATAAGGAAATACAATCTAAAAAGACCAGTTGATCAAGGATGATAACAGGCAGGAAGGACATATACATCACAATGAGTGTCAACTTTGTACAGCACAAAGAAAATCAAACAAAGTATCTTTTGGAAATCAATGTCTCAGTGGATCCAGACACTTGTCTGCAAGTGTTAGTTTGACTCAGTAGCACTCGCCTCTGAATGAAAAGCCCCACATTGGGAGTTGAGGCAGAAATTCACGAGCACTATTGCATTGTTTGACGTGCCATCCTTCGGATGAGACATTAAATCAAGGATCTGTCTGCCTATTCAGGTGGATGTTAGAGATTCCATTACATAATTTGAAAAGAGAAGGAACTTTCTCCCAGGGTCATGGCCAAAAATGCTTTTCGTTAATTGGTCACTCACTTCATTGCTGTTTGTGGTACCTATTGTGCGAAAGTGGTTTCCGCTTTTGTCTAGAAAACTGTCAACTGACTTGACAGCAGATATCTGTGAGACATTTCACTGTTATCGGATTTTAGCAAGTGCAAGGACTATAATTGTCAGTGGGTATACTTAAGAACACTGTACAGTAATTAAACTGTCCAAAAATGCATTGCCATATCCCTTTCGAAAGAGCTCTGATGTGCCCAGTAAGATACCTTGGGTGAACTGTCTGTAACAACTGGTCCTCATTGAGAATTATTTTATGAAGTACCTACTGTAACAACAATAGCATGTATTTATATAGCGCCCTTCATGTGAGGTAGCTGGGGAAAGGAGGCCGTAAGCATAATTGAAGACTAAGGTCTTCAGGTGTAATCTGAAAAAGTGGAAAGAGGGCGTGAAGCAGAGGGATTGAAGAAGAGAGTTCCAAAGTTTTAGGGCTTGGATAAAATGCAAGTCCCATTGATTTAAAGTACACAGCAGAGAGATTTACTATCACGTGATATACCTTCAGCGCAAAATTCCCATGGGTTAATGGGAATCCTAATAAAGTTAACAAACGTATTTAAGAAATACTGAAATTTAAGATCCTTTTAAAATTACAGGTTCCCATAAGTTAAAACTTTATATTACTTGATGAAAACAATTAAAAGTGACTAGTGAATAAATGCCAAAGCAAACATAAAATGCGTCCAAGCTGCCAAATAAAAATGATAAGCAGCCACCATGACGCATTGCAGCAGATGTTTCAGTCATCCATGAGTGACAAATGCTTTCATCTCATCTCCTCTCTAAATGCTGCATTACAGACTTTTGTGTGTGATTGCATAAAGCCAATCATCCACAGCTGTGAAAAGGATTTGTGTTAGAAAGATTCCATTCAGCATTTGTCAGATATTGCTGGATTGATGAGGTATAAACGGATTGAAACATTGTATTGTTCTTGGAAAATTAAGCATCTACCTTAATTTATTGGTTAACATAATTAAGCATATTGTAGAAAGCATATTAAATAAGCCTCCGCAATCTTAGGAAACTATTTTTTCCCCTCCTTTCCTCCTACTGGGCTACAGTCCCATGGGTGCCTGACGTCTACTGGCACCTCACCCCACTGACCATTATTCATGTCTTGATAGTGTTGGAAAGGTATTTGACAACAGAGTTGAGCTCAATCCATGTCCAAACACAAATCCATGTCCAACACCAAACATGCACACCACTCGTTCTCTGAATAGTATCTCATTTTTCCCTCCATATCCCAGGGTTGCTGAGGACAATTCTAGCACCACAATTACTGCCATGGGTATTTTAAGATGACACAGCATGGACTGAGAGATTTGAACTTGTACCATCTGACCTGTACACAATACAATACAAATTTATATCTGTACAGCACCTTTCACGTCGGGAGGACGTCCCAAGTGTCCCAAATTGGCTTCCATATTTGCTACAAGAAACACATTATTACACTTTGCAGTTTTGCTGTGAAGCCCTTTGTGACATCCTCCTGACGAGAAAGGCGCTATATCAAATGTAAGGATTGTTGTTATTATAACCAAGGAGTCAGGATAACATTCATTTAATGAGTTGTCAAAGTACAGGCATGGGTAATTAAAAAAAGCGGTTTTAAAGAAAAGCAGCTCCACATCAGCATCAAGAGCCAAGCTGAGATACAATAACAGAAATCTAATACCAGCATTTTCCAGAAAAGCACAAGTCTCTCCTTTTGAGATTTATGATAGAGATAGATGAAATATGCACCTTTCCAGTCAGATGCAAAGGTTTTTGAAAAAGACAAAAGGTTTGTGTGCCCGAGGCATCCATGAATAGCAGCCTAAGGACCACACACAACTGTGTTCAGTTAAAAGAGTGACAGAAAGGGAAATACAAATTTACAAGTACACCAAAAATGTTTGTAAAAATGCATACTGTTGGCAAGATTTTTTCTGCCTGAAGCTTTCCTCCAAAATAGACATTTATGACACAATACAAGGGTGGGGTGTGGGAGGAAGTGCATTTTATAGTTCCCAAATACCTTCTATAAAGTCAAAGGAGGATACAATTAAACAATGAAAACATGATTAAAGTGCGCTAAATGAATAATACTCAGATGAGAACTTTAACTCTTACTGTTAGCATTGGCAATAGCACAGATACTAACAGTGGTTTTGTGGTGTCTCAGAGTTAAAGTGTATTTCATTTGGCAGTACAAGATGGAAATGTGTGTCGTGGAAGAATATCTCAATTCCAGAATAGATACCAGTCTACCATATAATAATAATAATCCTTGCATTTGATATGGCACTTTTCATGTCGGGAGGACGTCCCAAAGCTCTTCACAGAACACACTGTAAAGTGAATTGATTGTATATTTGTGGGCGAATGCGGCAGCCAATTACGCACAGCAATAATAATGATAATAATAATCCTTGCATTTGATATAGCGCTTTTCACGTCGGGAGGACGTCCCAAAGCGCTTCACAGAACACACTGTAAAGTGAACTGACTGTATATTTGTGGGCGAACGCGGCAGCCAATTGCGCACAGCAATGTCCCACAAACAGTCGTAGATTGAAAATGACCAATTTTTTTTTTTTTTTGGTTTTGGAGGGATTATTATTAGGCTCTGTGTGGAGTAAGGAAACTTGCCCAAGGTTTCGCCCTGTGCCTGGAATTGATCTCAGGTCTCTCACTTGCAAAGCGAGTGCTCTAACCACTGAGCTACAGGACTCCACGTCATCATTGGGCTAGAAAACCAGGGAACAGTATGAAATATGTGGCAATTTCTAACAGATTTTCTTAATAAGAATCCTTAATAAGGAATATGAGTGGAGGCTCCTTCTGGTAGTTGAACATAGTCATGCACATCATACTGACCTGAGGGAAACTCTATTCTGAAAGCAGAAGCCTTCCTGTGGTCTGACATCAGTTACTGGTTTTCTTACTGAAGAATTCTATTATAATAATAATAATAATAATAATAATAATCATAGCATTTGATATAGCATCTTATCACGTCTTTGAGACGTCTCAAAGTGCTTCACAGTAAAGTAATGTTTTGATGGGCGAACATGACAGCAAATTTGCACACAACAATGTCCCATGGAGTGAACGGGCTATTTTTATTTGGGGGATTAAAATCCCTGCTTCTTAGATCCTACTGTATACTGTGAATGGAAATACCCAAAATTACATCTAAATAAAAACATCTGACAATAAATCAAAACTAACTACCAGTCATTCCCCCCACTCCGCCCCCAAGTGAACCTGAATGAAGACCTAAGACCCTCAGCGCAGTGCTCTACCACAGCTGAATAGAGTAGCCCTGAAAACAAGATAAGAAAAGTAAAATAATAATAATCATCCTTGCCATTGATATATTGGGAGGATGTCACAAAGATCACAGGATTTACTGTAAATATAGTGACTGTGTATCCGAGGGTTAGGTTTCAGAGAGACAAGGAAGGGGGAAAAGGAGAGGGAAAAAGAAAGGTTGACCATTAGTTCAAAGCCCTACACAATGCAGGGCTGAGCAGAGGCTAAGGAAGCTAGCAGTTGTGTTATGCTGGGAAGGATTCATAATTATATCCAGCTTGTGGGCTATAGCATTTCAGTAAAGCACCATAGCCTTACCACAAAATTTTCCACAAATGTCTGTCTTGTAAAAAAATAATAAATCCCGGTTTTACTTCTGAGCCAACATTCTTTGGAAAGTTTCAAAGTTCAGTGAGAGAATAGAAGTTGGCAACAATCATGCAAGGCCTGAAATTCCAGGAGGTGAACCTTGAAATAGTTAATGTCAGTTTATAGTTTTGTTTGTGCCAGTTCAGTAATCCTCAAATAATCTGCGAGAGGTTTCTATCTTTCCAAAAAATCTCCATCAAGTGGGAAGCAGTGATGCCAATGATAGCCTGGCATTTGAAGGGTCTCTGACGGACTAATAACATAAGTTACTGGCGTAAGTGAATCTACCCAAGACAAGAAACGAAAAGAGTTATTCACCTGACCAGGAACTGGGAATTAATGGAATTCCCTCTCACTCTCTACCGTTCTTTTACCCTGGGTACGGCATCAGAAGAACATACCTTTGCTCCATGTGGGATATTGTTGTATGCAATTGCCTGCCATGTTTCGCCCACAAAATACACTGTCAATCCACTTACAATATACCCTGTGAAGTGCTTTGAGACGTCTCAACAATGTGATAAGGCGCAATATCAAATGCAAGGATTATTATTTACCAGTTTGTCAATCGCCTGTACAGTAACCCTGAGCACTATAAGATGGTTTAAAAACCTTATACATAGAATCAGTTAATCCTTATTAAACTTCCACAATAATAATGATCAATTTCAGAAAATGTAATCAGTTAAATATGTGCAGGCAATTCTTAGCAAACAGACAGAACTTTGATTGCTGGATAGATGCATACATATAATATAAAGTATTTATCAAAGTATCTTTCACACACCAAACGGCGTTAAACAGGAAAGACTATTGTAAAGATAACAGTAGATTGTTGTAAGAAAAAAATAATTGTACTGTAACTATATGGTTGGCTAATTGTAAGTAAAGAGTAAATAATACCAATAATGCCATTGTACCCTCCTATTTACTTCACAAAGTATAGCCAAGTGTGTACAAATGTTATACAAATACACAAAGGGAGAAACAATTCACCACAAACATTTCAAGAATGAAAATAATGGTACGCCAATGCTCTCACCAGCAGCTGCAAATAATATATTTACCATTAGCTGAATCTTCAGCACTTCCTTGAAGGTATTTTATCATCTTCATCTGGAATAACTGAGGGATGATCTTTTAGATGCTGTTTCACCACAGTCAAAAGGTTATGCTCAAGTGTTTGTGAAGTCTGTGAACTGTGAAGGAGTTTGTAAATTCAATCAAAGAGACAATATCCATGAGAGTAGCTATGAGAATGATTCCAAACATATTGACAGAAAGTCTTGACCTGGATATGATTATCAATTATTCTCTCTATTGCCTTCAGCAAAAAGACCACCACATCCATAAATGTAATTTCTTTGCTTCTTTGTGTCAACAGAAAGTATTCGCTTTGATTTTTTCTGGCGCAGATACTTTCTAAAAGCTCCAGCTAATCATCAAAATAGCTCCTTTCGGAAGCTGATATTTGGAACAAAGTTTCACAAAAGCCTCCCCCGCCCTCCCAAATGTTTAGCAACTAGTGAACTGGTATTCTGTATATTACATACATACACACACACACACTCACAAATACAATCATTCATACATACATACACAGTGCAATGATTAAGATGGGATATAGGGGTAATGGAGTCTTCTCTGTGTTAAAGCTCTCTTTGGTAAAAGCAATTGGTTCAGCTACACAGGCAGACCAGAGTATGTATGTGTGAAAGCAGTAATAGCTAAAATTAAAGAATATTCAAGATTACTCTAATAATGTGGAAATGTTTGTGCCATAAAAAGTCCTACAGAATTTGGTATGTATTTTAACAAAAGACAACTTAGATGTTTCCGTCAAATTTCATTTCTTCTAAATGAAGAATTATTATTATCATTATTTGGTTAATAGAGAATTGCACGGAATTTAGACTCTGGAATCCCTCATAAGACCCTGTGTGTAGAGAAAAAGTGACACCTGGTGGCAGAAATAATTATTGTTGTCAATTGGATTTTTCTGCAACACAGAAACATATCATTCAGCTTAATTGACAAAAAAGTGTGTGAGAAAAAATAATCGTTGAAATAAAGTCTTGTCAAATTAAAATTCTGTGATTGTGATTGATGGAAGAAAGCAAAGGTTTTCGAATCAGAATAAGAGAACTAGAAGATGTGTTTCTAATCTAAGGGACTTCAAACTAAACACAATTTAAAGAGATTATTAAATTGTTGGGTTTTTTGAAGGAGCAAAAGGTTCCAGAATACCATAAATAATACATCATAACTTTCCATAAAGGTCCATTTTTTTAAAAACAATAAATATCGTTTCATTACCCACTAACAATCTCTGGAAGGTTTCAATACAATACACTACAAATGTCTTTCATGTTGAGAGGATGTTGCAAAACATTTAAGAGTACTGGCTGGGCACCCAAGATAGGGGTAGAGCTCAACCTGCAATAATGGCTCAACCTGCATTTGTACTTTGATATCATTTGGGAGATATAAGAATGGCCAGAGGTTTGCCCCTTCTCTGTGCGATCCCAAAGTACAATGAAGCAAACTATGGTGCGCATCACAAACCCTACACACCAATATGAATTAACAATTGGGTGAATGTCCAATTTCTTCCCATCAATATCTTCAAGATCCCTTCTTGAGCCATATAGAGCACTCGGAGGCAACTACCATGATGTCTTACTTAATGGGCCAGTCTTGAGAAATCCAGATGCGTCAACCAACAGCACAACATCATCTGCAAACACAAGAGAAACAATTCTATCGGAAATGACCTAAATGGATACATTATGTCCACGCCTCTCAATGCCATCCAATATATCATTGATAAATAATTGGAAAGATTGTGTGACAGGGAACAATTTTGCCGTACCTACCTTTTGAGAGGGATAGGCTGGTGGTGAGTGTCCCATCAACTCTTGTACAGATCTTGGATCTGGAGTACGCATCTTGAATAAAAAACAAAATTTGGTCATGTACATTCAATTTCTTTTTTCATGAAGGCTTCATAAGGCACTAAAACGATGAATGTAACATAGATGAGCCTCACATTGCATCATCTCATATAAAACCACAAGCATCCCACACACTCCTCACAAAAACAGCATTCTGTATAACCCTTCTTGATTATACAGCAGATCTGGAATATATTTGCCTTGACTAGCAAAATGATCCCCCAGGAGCCACTGAAATCAGTTAGAATCCTGGGCAGGTTGTGATTTCACTAGGGTCACCTAGTGAGATGACTACCTGCCCAGGATTCTAGGGATAGATGCTACAATTTGTATACTTCCTATTAAATGTTACTTGAGTTGATAATGCATCTTAAACTTAACAACAAATATATTTAGCATTAGCTGCTGATAGTGAAATGATAGTGACAACTCAGATAGTAAAAGTAACTGACATTATATATTAATTTTAGAAATGAAGTCGCTAGTTCCATCGTATCTATTGCAAATTTTCACATGTCACTTTTTATTCTGCTTTCAAGCTAACTGTCTTCTTCTAGTATATCAAGTTTACAACAAAACAAATTAACTTGCACCCTTCAGAAAGACTTCCCAGGGCATTGGACAGTCAGGGGTGTTTGGACCCAAGCTGGGAGTTGGGGTCAGGAAGGGTGGAGGGCAAGGGGGTGGGAATACTTATGCCCTATATAGTCTATGCCAAAGGCATAATCGAAGTGGAAGATATTTAGACAGGACTTGAAGGAGGCAAGAGAGGGGGTGAGGCAGAGGGATTGCTGGATAGAGTTCCAGAGTGTGGGGCAGAGATGCTGAATGCCTGACCACCAATGGTGGGTGGGGAGTGCGGGGGACCTGAAGCAGGCCAAGCGGACAGGCTGATATGGGGTTAGGAGGTCGGAGAGGTAGTGGGGGAAGCAAGATCGTGGAGGCTTCAAAGGTGAGACAAGGATTTTGTACTCAAATCTCTGAGGGATGGGGAGCCAGTAAAGCCGGGCAAGAATGGGGGTGATTGGTTCACGGAGCCTGTTGCGGGAGAGGACACGAGATGCAGAGTTCTGAATAATCTGCAGCTTGTGGAGGGAAGAGTTGGGAAGTCCAGCGAGCAGGCAGTTGGCATAGGCTATGCCCTATACCTCCTTTGATGCACCCAACAACTCTTTCTGAGTCACAGTTTCTTTCTATAGTGTCTCCTTCTCTAACCAGAGAATTTTCTTCTCTCTTCCTTGTCCCTGGTGTTCCTTGTTGTCATTCAGAACTCTGCAGCTCGTGTACTGTCCCGCACCAGGCTTCGGGACCACATCACTCCCACCCTCGCTCGCCTCCACTGGCTCCCCATCCCCCAGAGGATTGATTTCAAGATCCTCATCCTCACCTACAAGGCCATTCACGGCCTTGCTCCCTCCTACCTCTCCAACCTACTATCCCCCTACCTACATGCCCGTACCCTCCGTTCCTCCGGCTCCTGTCTGCTCCACATCCCCCGCCCCAATCGCCCTACCATTGGTGGTCGGGCATTCAGCCTCTCAGCCCCAGGCTCTGGAACTCCATCCCCCAGTGCCTTTGCCGCTTCCTCCCTCTCCTCCTTCAAGGCCGGTCTCAAAACCTTTCTCTTTGACCGAGCCTTCAGCTCCCCTCTCGACTCTCTTCCCCCTTCTCGCTCCCTCCCATCCCTCCCCTCACCCTGACCATTTCCCCCCTCCTCGCTCCCTCCCCTCCCCTCACCCTGACCATTTCCCCCCTGCTCGGGTCATGACCCAACTGTGCAGCACCTTGGGACGTCCTCCTGACGTGAAAGGCGCTTTATAAATGGAATCTTGTTGTTGTTGTTGTTGTTCTTTCTTCCCATCCTTATTCCCAAATCCTCAAAATCTATCTTCTCTCTTTTTATGAGGCCAATGTTATCTTTTGCAGGACATTTTGATCTGTTTGTATATTTGGAGCATGTTTAACCAGCCATTTGGACATTTGAAAAGAAATGAATAAAAATATGGGTCTCTTCCTGCAGTGGTCAGTGTGAATATGAGTTGGTGTTGGCGACGGACCTGTTCAGCAGCAGACATACCCAGTGGTATTACTTTCGAATACAAAAAGCCTTGGTTGATGTCACCTACAAATTCAAGATTATCAATTTGCTGAAAAGGAATAGCCTTTACAATTATGGTAAGGTCTACTTCCCTTCTACATTTACAATTCAATGTTGGTTCTGCAGAGTATAGTTAAAGGAGGTAGGAGGCTCCTTGATGGCCTATTGTTTTGCTTGGAGAAGTTTGCTTACAAAATACACAGTCACTACACTTCACAGTACAGTCTTGTGAAGCACTTTGAAATAGCTCAATGACATAATAAGGTGCTACATCAAATGCAAGAACTATTATAAGTTATATTTAATGTAGCTGTAGTACAGGAAAATGTATTTTAAAATGAGGTATAATTTGTGGTATTTGTTAGCAGGCTTCTGCCTTTATTTGATTATGATTTGCAATTTTCAATTTTGGAAATCTAGCGGGACTTTCACAACTTATTAATCACAAAGTAGAAGCAGCAAATAGTGGCTCAATAAAACCACAACAATTTACATTTATACAGCACCTGTCACTTCAGGATTGTGATGAGGGGAGAGGGGAGAGGAGTTGCTGAGGAGGGTGTTTTGGGGGACAGGGGGAAGATGATCGAAAGTACAGTCATGTAGATGGGAGTGATAGGCTACAGAGCGAAACAAGCTACAGAGTTCTGGATGATCTGCAATTTGTGTTGGAAGGAGCTGGGGTGCAAGCTGTTGGATTAATCAAGCCTGGGTGTGATAATAATAATAATAATAATAATCCTTGCATTTGATATAGCGCTTTTCACGTCGGGAGGACGTCCCAAAGCGCTTCACAGAACACACTGTAAAGTGAATTGACTGTATATTTGTGGGTGAACGCGGCAGCCAATTGCGCACAGCAATATCCCACAAACAGTCGTAGATTGAAAATGACCAATTTATTATTGTTTTTTTTTTTTTTTGGTGGGATTATTATTAGGCGTGTGGAGTAAGGAAACTTGCCCAAGGTTTCGCCCTGACTGGAATTGAACTCAGGTCTCTCGCTTGCAAAGCGAGTGCTCTAACCACTGAGCTACAGGACTCCAAAAGCATGAATGAGAGTCCTGACAGCCCAGAAGAAGAGGTAGTGATGGAAGAGGATGATTTTGCAATGCAGTTTGAAAATATTGCTTTTGTGAACTAAAGATTAACCGCTGGCATGCAAATTGGGAGTGTAGAAGAAATATGAACTAAAGAGACATTTACCAAGTTTATTCAGTAGTAGAAAGCCTTTCTTGAAAAGTTCACTGAATCCATTCTTGTGTTTTCTTTCAGGAATGAAACCTTTGGTATATTCAGAAAAAGATGCGAAGGAACGAGGAATCGGGTGGTTTCGATCAGGGCATCATATCACCTACAAGCCATTGAATAAGAAGTCCTTCTACAACCTTCTTCCTTCCACAGAGTACTACTGCTTGGAGTTCAAGATAGTAAGTGAGAATTCCAGGGCATCTTTACACATGCAATGCTACAGTTGTATACCATTCTATTACAAAGATGGTGCTATTTGGAATTTTCTTCTGCAATCTAAATTATATTTTTGCAGCCTCAACATCTGGGCGTCAAATACATTCTGAGATGGTGTTGGACGCTGAGCAGGGGAAAGGGAAGAATCCCAATAGATCAATCCAAATAGACAGCATCAACCCCCATAGAAACATAAAAAATGCTGCATATTAGGAGGCCATTCAGCCCACCAAACCTATGCTTGTACTAGTTCTTTTACCAGGGCTCTAATCCTAATTCCCTGCCTTTTCCCTATATTATTTTATATCTTTTTCTCATATCTGTTGAATTCCAGTTCAATTTTCAGTACCCAAACCAAGCTGAGAATAATCCTTCCATTTGCATTTGATATAGTGCCTTATCGCGTCTTCGAGATGTCTCAAAGCGCTTCACAGAATATACTGTAAAGTGGAGTGACTGCATATTTTGTGGACAAAACATGGCAGTCAATTGCGCACAGCAGTGTCCCATAACCAGTCATGGACTGAAGTGACCAATTTATTATTTTTTTTAAGGAATTATTACCCCCAAAATAGAGATCCACCAATCGACTAGCAACTGGGTTCCTACTTACTGCTAGTAAACAGAGGTGTGTGGAGTTGAACCCAGGTCTCTCGCTTGTGAGGCGAGTGCTCTAACCACTGAGCTACAGCACTCCAAGAGAATTCCATGTATCAATAATTAATTAAAGCGTTTGGGGATATTTCAAAGTGAGAAGGTGCTGTAAAATTGAAAGCTGTTTCTCTCTGTAACTGGTACAAACACTGGGCAATCTTGTCACCTGGTCCAATGTCTCAGCAGCTGTGTTATATGTGAAACCTGAAAAGGGCTAACTTCTGGTTCATCAGGTTGGGTGGCTATCATTTCCTATGTGCTGCAACTGCATGCAAAGTGCAAGAAATGCACTGAAGGTCACCACCTTCATGATATGATATTAATGTTGCTTCCCTCATGCAGCAAATGGCATCAGCATTATTTTATAGGCAAAGTATATAGATATACACGTACAACATGCAGGAAGTCAGGACAATTGCATCCCAAAGCCCAGAAGTAGGCCATTGCTTATCTGTAGAAAGCCAGCTAGTCAGTGCGAGATAAATGGTGTTCCTCCTCGTTTGCAAGGCCCACTGAAAATCAGAACAACAAACGGGATATCATAATACCAGTGGCATTATAATGCTGTTTCCTAGAGACAAGTTAGTTATCATAACACCAAGAAAAGTTTGGGTCTTAATATCATCACATCAGTGACATTTTGTTAAGAACTAAGTCCTTCTCAATTGCAGCTTGTGAGTGTGTTAGTCAATTTCACGATATGTTATATCACTGTCATGCACTGTTTGGTCTTGATCTACTTTCTCGAATGTTATTATTTTCAGGAGTTTAGTAATAAGAATGATTCGTACTACTTGGCACATTGCTATCCCTATAGCTACACGGATCTGAAGGCTCATTTGGATGAAATAACAAATGACCAAAACCATTTGGAGTATTTCAGAAAGGAAGTTCTGTGCGAAACAAGAGCTGGAAATAGCTGTTTTTTGCTGACCATTACTGATTCTACAAGTAAGTGCAAAGAAGTACAAGAGTGCATCTTGTACTGACCCTAGCACACATGACTTAGATTTAGTACATTCTACTAAAATTCTACTACTATTCTAATAAAATCTCTGAGTTTTCCAACATAATGCAAAAATAATATCTTCTCACTATGCGAAGAATGTATTCTTTTTGCTTAGGTCATCCAGGTGTCTGACACATGAGGAAACCCATTACCATGCTTATGAACATCCAAACCCCTACCTACCCGCCCGTACCCTCCGTTCCTCTGGCTCCGGTCTGCTCCACATCCCCCGCCCCAACCGCCCTACTATCAGTGGCCGGGCCTTCAGCCTCTCAGCCCCTAGGCTCTGGAACTCTATCCCCCAGTGCCTTCGCCGCTTCCTCCCTCTCCTCCTTCAAGGCCGGTCTCAAGACCTTTCTCTTTGACCATGCCTTCAGCTCCCCTCTCGACTCTCTACCCCCTCCTCGCTCCCTCCCTTCCCTCCCCTCACCCTGACCATTTCCCCCCTGCTCGGGTCCTGACCCAACTGTACAGCGCCTTGGGACGTCCTCCCGACGTGAAAGGCGCTCAATAAATGGAATCTTGTTGTTGTTGTTGAAAGTTCCACATATGCATTGCCACCAACAAATGGAAATTACCCTGTGTCTAAAATGTGGATTTTTTCTGGAAGGACACACCCTGCTTATCTAGTTGTGGAGAATATTATGTGGAAGTGCCAAGGTTTAGGTACCGCTGAGTTTAACTGGCTAAACCACATAGCTTTCCAGTAAAAACATTGACTTGCACACTTCCCGATTGCTGTCCAGCTAGGATCTAATAAGGTTAACAGGAGCTGAATGGAAATAATCTATGCCCCTTGTAACCAATCTACCCCTCTAAGGAGAAATTCCACCAGGTGTAGATTTATTCAATCAGGCAGCATTTCATAACATCCAGGATTTGATAAATTCTTGAACTCGCGTCTAAGTTTAAAGTTGGTTTTCCTTAATTCTTAAAAGAAACTTTCAGAAACACAGTATTTAAGAGTTAGACAAATTCTGGATGTATTTAATTACATAAGAACATAAGAATTAGGAGCAAGACTAGACCATTCCGCCCCTCGAGTCTGCCCCGCCATTCGATAAGATCATGGCTGATCTTCTGACCTAACTCTAATTACCTGCCCTATCCCCATATCCCCTAATCCTTCTACTTTTTAAAAATCTATCAGTCTCAGCCTTGAGACTGTTCAAGGACTGAACATCTACAGCCTCTGAGTGAAGAAATGTTTCCTCAACTCTGTTCTAAAAGACTGACCTTTAATTTTCAGACTGTGACCCCTGGTTATAGATTCTCCTACCAGGGGAAACAGACTCTCAGTGTCTACTTTATCCAGCCCTTTAAGAATCTTATATGTTTCAATAAGATCTCCCCTAATTCTTCTGTACTCTAGAGAATATAGCCCTAGTTTATTCAGCCTATCCTCATAGGTCAGTCCCCTCATCCCAGGAACTAACCGAGTGAATCTACGCTGCACCCCCTCTAAGGCAAGTGTGTCCTTTTTTAAATAAGGAGACCAAAACTGCACACAATACTCTGGTGCGGTCTCACCAAGGCCCTATACAGTTGCAGCAAGACTTCCCTACTCTTGTACTCTAAACCTTTTGCAATGAACGCTAACATGCCGTTCGCCTTCTTAGTTGCTTGCTGCACCTGCAAACTAACATTTTGAGACTGGTGTACAAGGACACCCAAATCCCTTTGAACACTAACACTATCTAATCTTTCCCCCTCTAGAAAATAATCTGTTTTTCTATTTTTGCTACCTAGGTGAATAACTTCACACTTCCCCACATTAAATTCCATTTGCAACCTACTCACCCACTCCCCTAGCTCATCTGTATCCCGTTGCAATCTTTTTGCATCATCCTCAGAGCAAATTATTCCATACATTACAATAAATATACATCCAGGTGTAATTTTTTCCCATTTGTCTGCAGCAGATAAGGAAAACGTTGAAGGAAAGCTTGGTGTGGTGCTGACAGCAAGAGTTCACCCAGGAGAGACTCAATCAAGCTGGATGATGAAAGGCATTGTAGATTTCCTGATCTCTGAGGAGCGTATAGCTAAGGTAAGGATATTAAACTGATAGTTTTCAACGTGAAATAAAAGGTAACACATGTCTTATTTTTATGGTAAATGACAAAATAATTAAATTCCCTGTGTAATGTGTTACAACTGCTGTTCAAATTGTGCTCTATTCAACTGAATCAAACTACCCAAAGCACTTTCAGTTGCATAGAACCATAGAAATTTACAGCACAGAAGAAGCCATTTGGCCCATCACATATGTGCTAGCTCTTTTAAGAGCACTACTTTCAGTCCCATTTACCTGCCTGTAGTTTACTCCTTTTTAGATATAGTCCCACCCAATTATATCGGCATGCTGGGGTTTGACCAAATGTTGCCAACATAAGTGGGGTGTCAACATAAACAGACGAAGAATGGCACAACATCGACTTACCTCCCTCTTGGCCATCACTTCTCACTTTTGTCACACCCCGATACAAGAGGCCTCAGTACATAAGAACCAAAATGGACACTTAAACATGAAAAGTGAATTTTGAGAGTTTTATTGGATCACCTATTTCATGTATGTTATGTGCAAAATTGCAATACAGTTGCTTTTTCAGGAAATCTAATGTGATAGTTCATTCATACTTGAACAATAACTATTTTTTTCCATACAGGAGCTGCGGCAAAGATGTGTATTTAAAATTGTTCCTATGCTAAATCCAGATGGAGTTATAGTAGGAAATTACAGGTAAAGTGAAAGCATTCTGATTAAATACATTATTTGAGGGCATGCAGGTAGATCAATTTGAACTAGTTCTTAATGAGATTCTTTCCTTAATAAGGAATACTGTTAGAATCCCTGTTGACCACCCCTGAAGCTCTGTTCTTCAAGTAGATCATGTTGGAGAGGAGTCCTGCAATTTAGTGGGCCATACATCTGGTTATCAGAAGGAATCCTCATTTGGGCAACTTGGTTTCCTTATTAAGGAATCCCGTCAAGAAATAAAACAAATTAGACCCTGATACTGAATTACAGAAAACTTCTTCAGTGTTGCAGAGCAAGATGTTTGTTGTCATGTGGAGTCCTGTAGCTCAGTGGTTAGAGCACTCGCATTGCAAGTGAGAGACCTGAGTTCAATTCCAGGCAGAGGGCGAAACCTTGGGCAAGTTTCCTTACTCCACACGCCTAATAATAATCCCTCCAAAACCAAAAACAATAATAAATTGGTCCTTTTCAATCTACGACTGTTTGTGGGACATTGCTGTGCGCAATTGGCTGCCGTGTTCGCCCACAAATATACAGTCAATTCACTTTACAATGTGTTCTGTGAAGCGCTTTGGGACGTCCTCCCGACGTAAAAAGCGCTATATCAAATGCAAGGATTATTATTATTATTATTACAACAAACATGGTTAGAGGTTTTCTGACTAGCATAATTTATAGATCTCTCCTTAATTTGACATCGTAAACCTCCACTCCAGCATCACAGGTGTTTATCTGTGTCAGTTGCTGGAAGCAGCAAACCTTTCCCAACATCCCATTATAAACATATGGCAAGAAGTTTCAGGTGTTGGCATTTGATAGGTGCTCAGGTATACACAGGACTGGAAACAACTATTGCAGTCTATCTGACAGATTCCAAAGTAAATCAAACTGATACATTGAGTCATGTCTCATACTCTTCAATTTTCATTAAATATCTACCAAATATTTCTTCTCCAAGTGTACAGCTAATTTGCCTCTTGAATTTGTAAACACAATTTTTATGTCAGTTGTTACTACAGCCTGCAACAAGTTTCATAGTGACAAGGTGGCATGTTTAAAAGCCAATTCAATCAACCTACCAGGGATTTGGCAAACAAACAAAAACAAATTGCTAAATGACTTTAAATCAATATTAAGTCCATCAAGTAGAACTCAAGTACAGCAGCTGTTAACATTTGTTAAAAGATGTATTTTCAATCTTGATTCAAGCCATTCAAGCAAACCTGGTTCAATAAACCTCAAAAATCGCACTGACAACTGACGTGAGAGTAAGTTGTCCCCTCCAGCAAAGTTACCAGTATTGGGCAGGCATCCTGCACAATTGGCCGGATATCATAATAATAATAATAATAGTAATAGTAATAATAATCCTTGCATCTGATAGAGTGCTTTTTCACATCTTCTAAATGTCTCAAAGCACTTTACAGAATATACTGTAAAGTGAATTGATTGTATATTTGTGGGTGAAACGCGGCAGTCAATTGCACACAGCAGTGCCCCACAAACAGTCATAGATTGAAGTGACCAATTTTTTATTGTGTTTTTTTTCTTGAGCAATTATTATCAGGTGTGTGGAGTAAGGAAGCTTGCCCAAAGTTTCACCCTGCCGGGAATCGAACCCAGGTCTCTCGCTTGCGAGGCGAGTGCTCTAAACCACTGAGCAAAAGGACTCTGTATATGAGGTGATTGAGTGTCTTGAAAGTACGCAGCAGCAGGGAATCGATGTAATACAGCAATCAGAACTGCAAAGAAGTGACAGCCACCAGCTGTGTAACAAGAAATTCAAATTAGAGGCTAATTGAAGGACACAAACTATAGCCTCATTCTTCAGTTCCCCTGTAACTATATCTACATTAGTTATCTGTAGTTCCTCTGCACACTAAAGTCACCCATTGGACAATATTTATTCAGAGAAAACTACAGAACAAGTCTTAAATATTTAAATTTATTTTGCTGCAGTCCTCAAAGGATTTGGACCTGATCATTTGTAAAACTCAATTTTTTTTTGGAGGGGTGGGGCTCGAGTTATCAAACATCAGAACTATTATTACAAGCTATCTGCTCCTCATCCTAGATGCTCCCTTTCTGCCAAAGACCTCAATCGGAACTATCGACACCCAAAGCAGGAACTCTTCCCCACTGTGTGTCACACTAAGAAAATGATAGAGGAACTTCAGAATGACCATTATGTAAGTTTTGGCTGAATAACTTCCCACACATCACAAAAACAGTCACTATACTTGAGAATACTGGAATTACTGGAAAGCACTTGGAGATTTTTTTAATATTATAAGCACTTCATAATTATAATACTAATATTATAACAATCACATACAATCATTTGGCACATTTTCCATAAAAAGTAATCTCAAAGAACTTTATAATATATAGTGAATCAGAAAGAACCAAATGTTGTCATATAACGAAATCAAGTGATCTGTGCCAGCAAGATACCATAAAATGCAAATTCTTACTTTTTCCAACTAGGACCATTCCATCCTTTTAGGGCTTTGGTTGAAGGATTTAAACTTCCACTTCTGCCTCGTATTATGGATCAAGTCTCCTCAGAACTATTTTTTTCTCAGGGAGATGCCACTTATCTCCCATCCCCAAAAGAATATTTTTAAATGTATAAATATAATATATACTCTAGAAATTCTGTCATCCAACCTCACCCCCCACCCCACCCACTATCAGTCTGGCTAGCTGGGATTTATCTCTAGTACTGTGGGATCTCAAAGCGACTCAAAGCACTTCACAGAAATGAAATGGGGGGAATGAGCAGGGTGGAGGGTGATGCTCCTGATTAGGGTAAGAGGACATGAAGGGTTTTTTATACTTGACTGATGCAGTTCAAAGCACATACACAGTTATTACACTTCACAGTGAAATCTTATGAAGAGCTTTGAAACATCTCAATGACATGATAAGACACTATATCAAATGCAAGGATATTTATCACTATTGTATGACAGGTAATATACCAATACCTTCCTTTTCTGTTTTGCTTTGCCACAGATCCTCTTGTACTGTGACCTGCATGGCCACAGTCGGAAACCGAATGCTTTCATGTATGGCTGCAGCCAGGTAGGATCCACAGATCCATCTGGAGCAGTGGACTACCTCAGACAGAGGATATTTCCATGGTTGATCTCCCAGAGGGTAATTACAATTGAATTTTATTTCATATTATTGAATTTTATTAACCTAAATATCCACTTTCCTATAGCTTTCTTGCTACTGTTCATTTGTATTCAGTTGCAATGTAGGCTAGAAACTCTGACACCTTTTTGCACCAATGTTCTCTAAACTTAGGTATCAAGACACACAAAGGCAACACACAGGGAATTGATTGAGAACTGGATTGCTGATTCAGAGGATGCCACCTTAATTCTGATTTTTTTTAGTGGTTTACATTTTTGGGTTTTAATATTCTTTCATTTTCATCATTAATAACTTTACATTTAAAATAATTTAGATTTAAATAATGTAAGTTAATATAATATGTAAAATGTAAGTTGTTCTGCATTTAAATATATGCATCTCATTTTGTGTTGCAAGTATCCAGACATGTTTGACTGGAGCAGCTGCAAGTTTCATATCCATAAATGTAAGGAATCAACAGGCCGGGTGGTGATGCACAGACAACTGGGTCTAAGTGACTCCTTCACCTTAGAGGCCTCATTCTCAGGGGCAGTCAATGAACAGTAAGACAGCTGCTAAATTTCTTCTAGCTCATGTCTTTAGCAAAATAGTATTTTTAAACTGCAGGATCATAGAAATTTACAGCTCAGAAGGAAGCCACTCGGACTATTGAGTCTAGACCAGCTCTCAGAGGAAGGTGTTCATTCAATCCCACTAACCTTTGCTATCCGTATATCCTTTCGAGCCTTTATCCTTTCGCTTTTGTTGTGACTATCTTATAACTACATTCTATCATTGCTGACTCCACTGCTGGTGGAAATAGCTTCTTCCTTTTTACCTTGTCAAAATCCCTCATATTATTACAATACAACAGCAGCTTCTTGTACCAGGGTGCCCTTTCATGAACTTCGATTAGTTCACTTAAACTTGCCATCCTTACTGCATCATTAAGAATGAAGAGACACATTGGCAGGCATCAACCCAGGTCATTGGTGAACTGTGTAGAGACTAGCTTGAAGTATCTTTCTTTGCCTGGCTTTTTAACTAAGGAATGGTGAGGGATATTGTCATGCTAACTGGTACCTGAAAATAAGCATTGTTAAATAATTCAGATCTATTTTTCAAAATCTCAGTTTCTCAGCATAATGTGAAGAATGTTGCTTATTCCATCAACGTTTCCTGTGGAATTTTTATAACCAACAATCTGGCTTTCCAGCTGCCACAAGGGCCCTGTAGATATGAAGTAAAGGAGTGAAATACAGAGAATTAGATGACTGTTAAAACCTCTGTAGTGTTGCTATGCCACCTATTAACTTTTGGCACAAAGCAATTAAATTTTACTTGAAATGACCTTGGGGCTCCCAATTACTTTGGTCTGGGATCAGGGGTATCCCAGATCACAATAGCGTGACAGCTTGCTGGGCACCTGCAACCTTCCAGTGGCGAGTTGATATCAAATCTATCACAAAATGTTGCTAATTTACCCCATAGTATTTGCACTGTTATTCTCCATTCACAGAGGATAATTACAGAGGAATGCAGACATTTGGAGGAGTAGAACAAGCATGCTAAAAGCAACACATTGCTCCTGATGATCCAGCAGCAATTTCACCCTGTTGACCACTCTATCCTCCTCTACTGCCTCTTCTCTCACCTCAACCTTCATGATTCTGTCCTTGAATGGTTCAGATCGTACCTCTCACATCGTCTCCATTTCATCTCCACAAATGGTTTTGCACATCGTCTCATGTGGTGTTCCTCAGGGCTCTGTCCTTGGTCCCCTCGTCTTCAATATCTATATGCTCCCTCTTGGTGACATCATCTGCAGACATGGGGTCAACTTCCACATGTACACGGATGACACCCAACTCTATCTCTCTGCCTCCACCCTTCACTCCAGGACCACCACTGTTCTGACAGAATGTCTATCAGACATCAAGTCCTGGATGAGAGCTAACTTTCTGCAGTTGAACGTCAACAAGACCAAGGCCCTCCTGATTGGCTCCAGTCAGTGCTTCCACATCTCAGGCACTGACAGCATCAGCATCCATGGTTGCACACTCCACCTCACTGAGAAAGTCCAGAACCTTGGCATCTTGTTTGACCCACAACTATCCTTTCTACCCCACATTCCTGCCATGACTCACTCTGCCTTCCCCCACCTCTGTAACATCACCTGGCTCCGCCACTGTCTCACACTGCAGGCCACCGAGACCCTCATACACCCATTCATGCCATCCAGGTTTGACCATGCAAACTCCCTGCTTGTCGGCCTCCCCAACTCTGCCCTCTATAGGCTGCAGATCATCCAGAACTCTGCAGCCTGTGTCCTTCTCCCACACCAGGCTCCATGACCCTATCAACCGCATCCTCGCCCGAATCCAATGGCTTCCCATCACACAGATGATACAGTTCAAGATCCTGGTCCTCACGTTCAAAGCCCTCCATGGCCTTGCTCCCCTCCTAACTCCCTACCAACCTGCCTGCTCCCTCCTCTTAGAGGGCTCCGGACTGCTTCATATCCCTGCCTCACGCGCCCCATCATTGGCGGGCAGTCCTTCAGCCACTCTGCCCCCATGCTCTGGAACACCATCCCGCAGTTCCTCTGCCTCGCCCCCTTCCTTGCCTCCAAGACCTGTCTCAAGACCCTCCTCTTCGACCATGCCTTCGATCACCCTCCTTCCCCCCCTGCCCTCCACCTGTCCCAATCCCAACCCCCAGCTTGGGTCCAAAACACTGACTGTCCAGCATCTTGGGACATCCTCCCAACGTGAAAGGTGTTCTACAAATGTAATTTTGTTGTTATTTTTATTTGGTCAGCCAGGTATCTGACACTCGCAGAAAATAGCAGTTCTTTATGCGATGTGAGATGTTGAGAAATTAATGTAAGACAAACTCTGAATGCATAATCTTGATGTGGTATTGCCACAAATTGTTTCTGAAAGGCAGCCCATCAATTCTTTCAAAAAGGAATTAGATATGAGAGTGAGCAAGAAGATGAGATTTTGATGAGGTAATTCAAGTGGAGAAAAACACTTAGTGCAGACTTGGTGTGCTGAATGAGCTGCTCCTACATTGCAACGTTCTATGATATTATGTATTTGCTGGTGACTGGTTCAAGAGTTCCAATAGTTACAACAATTTGCATTTACATAGCATCCATCACGCAGAGTACCAAACAGCTTACCTTACCACCGCAAAGTTGGAACTTAAAGAAAAGCAAAACAAGGAAGACGTGAAGTAAGAAATTATTTTAATATTAGAAAAAATCTCTATTTTCTTTCAGTTGTACTGTTCATCATTTCAATATACAAGATTATATGTCAATTGGAAAAAAATTCTGCAAGGGCATAATGGACTATATCAGCCTGGCTGAAAATACTTTGTAAGTTTTATATTATGTTCATATTATTTTATATGAAATATTTTAGTAAATGGATATTATGTTAGAACTGAGGTACACAGGTAGCCTGGTCGCACAGTTCATTGTGTACTAATGTGGTATGCCATCAAATTGTAAAGTATGAGTTTGCCCTCTACAAATTACTATATGACAACACCTAAATTGAGAGGGAATGAGGTGAGCAGAGCTGTTGAAAATCAAGCAAGACAATACATTAAAACTCAACAGATCCCATTCAAGAATATCACCAAAAAAGCACACAGTCACAATCTCTGAAATTATCTATCAATTTCATATTTAGGACAACTGAGCTTAAACCCAGGAGATCCTGCGCAAAAGAATTGTCAGCAGCACATTTAGGGCTATTAATCTCTTATAGTAACCTAAACCATTCTCTATTGAAGAATTGTCAATACTTAATTCCAGCTGGAAACATGCAGAACCTTCACAATAAAACCAGACACATGTTGAGTTATTTATCAGGAACAGCCCCTCATCCTACAGAAGTGTTATTGCACAGTGCAAAGCTGTTAAAAGCACCTATTGAATCAGATGACACAATTCAAATAACTAAGGAAGGCTCTTGGAGCGTGTGTAAAGTGTCTCAGAATTTTTTTCGGGTAACACTGAAGACAACATTAAAGCAGCAACTTAACTCATCATTTACGCCAAAAGAATTTAGTTCAACATATTCAAAATAGCAGATGGTTGGAACCATTTCAAAAATGCCTTACCCAATCTCAAGTTTCATCGTGGATTAGAAAAAAAAGTTCCAAATTGATTCATAAGTTAGTAAAATCATCCCTGGGGGTTACAAAAATGCCTGGTGTAGGAAATAGGAATGTTACAGTGGAGGGATATAATTTTGGATTGCGGGAGGGGTCCCTATTCCCTGAGACTAGGCTTGGGTATGCTGGTGAAAACAGGAACGGAAACTTTACTCTGTATCTGGCCTTGGAACATGTTTGTTACTGGCACTGGATGCCTGAAATGGGAAAAAGTTCCATTCACCGAAAGTGTAATTTTTCACCTTAATACGAGCAAAATAGAAACAAATCCTTGCTGTATATAAATGTCATTAATATTTCAGCTGTCTCCTGAAGTATGATTTATGGGAGCTATCTAGAGTTCAATCCAATGGAACATGTACAAATATGCAACAGTGCAGATTCATTCTATCTGCAACATTAAGTAAACTGCTTTAGCAATGTCACAGAACTGTTTTGTGGCACATTATATGTTTTAAGTTAAGTAATTTTTAGTAACTCTAGTGGATAAATATATTTATTTCACATGAATCTTCATGATTAGTGCCACAGTTTTGGTCTCTGAGTGGGACAAAATTATAATAGAGTGACAAGTGTGAAAATTGGATCTGTAAGAAAAATACTGGCTTATGAACTATGACCCTGATACAACACAGAAGACCATAGTGCCTCGAATTTGTGATTAAATGGCGCTTTATTTTTCAATAATTAACAAAGGATTCTCTTAATTTTGAACTACCTGTTTGTCCCATTTCTGGTCTGAGAATGATGCTGGCATATCAGCATGTTTCAATCTGCTCATTAAACACAAGTGCAAACACTGGCCACACTGGTGCTCATAGTGAATTTAAAATCAAGCCAAAATTCTCTGACATTGTTGTATAATGACTTTTCCAATAACTCAAATTTTAACACTGCCTTTCAGAAAGCTTAATGAAGTAATTCTGAACTTGACCTATTCTATAAAGCTGCAAGTAAAAAAACAAAGAGGTAAAAGTGCTCCTGCACTCTCTACAGATGACTGGTCATCCCCAAAGGAAGATGAAAGACAGAAAGTTGAAGAAATTGATGGAGAAGACGGTATATTATCAAACAATAGAACATTAAAACTGATATTCCTTTAGTCACAACAATAGGTTAAACTGTGGTTTGTGTTTAGTTTGGCTGGTCAAGATCATGGATTCCAGTAGGTCTCCTAAGAGAATTGAAGATGAGGATATAGCAATATTATTGGCAGAATCAATTTTATCTTATCCCAAATTTGTTCTTCACTGTCATTATTATTTTCACTAGTCCCATTGTACTCAGTCTGCATTTAAATACCATATTTATTCTCCATCCTAACTGTTACATTTTATAAGAGCTACAAAAGAATAATCCTCTTTATAAAGAATAGATTTGAGATTGAAGGGAAGAAATTCCACCTGTGTGTTACTTCAGTTTCTTAGTATTTCAGAGCAGGCAGGATTTGTCAATTAACAATTCAGGATTAACTATGAAGCCATTTTTCTGCAGTTCTTAAAAGAAACAAGAAATTTCCAGAAAAATTGCTTAAGAATTAAGAATTGGCCAAATACTGGATGCTCTGAAAAATGCCACATAAATAGGGTAAATCCAAGTGCAATTTCAACTCCCAGGGATGCAGTTCCAGAAATCATAAGCTCAAATCCATGGGTTAAAGTAGCCACAGTAAATTGCCAGAAAGGTATGCTGGCATCTCCTCCCACTAATTGATGACATCTGATGGATCAGATCAAGAATCTTTTGTGTGGGAAGTAATTGCAGAAATACACATTCTCTCTTTCCATGACACTGTCACTTAGCTTGGAGAATCCAAGTACCAACCCACTACACCACAATTATAGATGATTTGCTGTTGTAAATATCTCACTTAGTTCATTGCATCCTGTAGATTGATGAGCTGCCTCAATAAGGCAGTGATCCTGCCGAATTGATGAATTACTGTGCTGAAATAATAACAGCCTCAAAATAATTGCATTCTTTTTGAATGGATCTTCTGCAAAAAGACATTTAAGATATTAAATCATCTTTGATTTTGCCAAGAAAATGGGGAGACAGAATTTGCTGAAACAGATTCAAGTTCCAGGCCAATTCAGTTGGACAACGGGGAAGGAAGATTCAAACTAAACAGCCTGCCTGTTGAGGTGAGACTGGTTGAATGATATTCACTGATTTGTAAATTTATAAGGCTGCATTTTGATATTGCAATTATTAATCAAATGCAATTCACATCTATAACCAGTTACATTTTATAGGATTGATGGGGTGTTTGACACATACCAAAACCCATCATCATTCTTCATCATCACCATCATCAAACCAGATTGAGAGTTCCACATTACGTACAGGTTGAAAACCCAAGGCTTGGGGACTCCAGAGTGTATGTTGAGACACTGCTAGAGTTCAACCAGCCGAAAACAGCATAGTTTGTCATTGAGTAAACTGACTGGTAAGCTTCCACTGCCTATCAAGCTAGGGCCACTCTACTCATTAGGGATTTGGTTTGTGGGGATAAAGGGAGCAAAGTAAATTGAATCCCTCCACTATTTTACAGGATAACAACTTAATGAAATTGATATGCAATGGAGTGCCACCTGAAAGTCCTCTTCAACAACAACAACTTGCATTTGTATAGCGCCCTTTAAGTGGGGTAGTATCCCGGAGCATTTGACAGGAGTCAAATAATTAGCCAGGGAGTGATCACCATAACCACCATCAAAAAGGAAGGTCTTTAGGCGGGATTTGAATATGGGGAGGGAGGGGGCAAGGCAGAGGGATTGAGGAAGAAAGTTCCAGAGTTTTGGGGTGTAGTGGCTGAAGGCACAGCCACTGATGGTGGAACGGTGGGGACAAGGGACAAACAGGAGGCCGGAGCCAGCTGAGTGGAAGCAGCGGGTAATAGAGTGGGGGCTAAACAGATCGGATAGGTAGGGAGATGCCAGGGTATGAAGGGATTTGAAAATGCGTGAAAGCCTCTTGAAATCGATCCGTTCGGTAACTGGGAGATAGTGGAGCCTGGCAAGGACTGGTGTGTTGGGGGCATGGAGTTTTGGATTAATTTAATTCTGTGTATGGTGGAGCTGGGGAGACCAGCAAGGACGGCATTGGAATAGTCCAGCTGCAAAGTGGCGTAGATGTGGACAAGGGATTTGGCTGTGCTGGTTGTGAGGTTCGGACAGAGGCAGGCAATGTGACGGAGGTAGAAAAAAAAGTCCTGGTCAGGAAACGGATGTGAGGGAGAAAGGAATCGAACCTAACTCCTATGTTGCGCACGGGTTTAGTGAATCTGAGGGAGAGCTCAGGAGAGAAAACATTGATGGGAACCAAGAACTATAGCTTCCGTCTTGTCGACATTCAGCTGCAGGATATTTGCACTCATTCAGGCCTTGTTGTCCGTCAAACAAGCTGACAGGATATCAGTGGACTGGGAGTCGCAGCTGGAGAAGAAATAGATTTGGGTGTCATCCACATACATGTGGAAGTAGACCCCATGTTTGCAGATGACATCGCCGAAAGGGAGCATGTAGATAAAGAAAAGAAGGATAGAGCCTCAGGGTACTCTGCAAGTGACTGGGTGGAGCAGGAGGAAAAAACATTTGCTGAGATGTATTGTTGGCTATTTGTTAAGTGGGACTCGAACCATGCGAGTGCGGTCCCACTAAGGTAGATGAGGGAGGAGAGGCAGTGGAGGAAGATGGCTTGACCGACTGTGTCGAACACAGTGGAGAGGTCCAGGAAGAGGATGGAGTGAGAGGTGTGAGCAAAGTTGATTTGCAACGACGGGTTCCAAAACTTTGCCCAAGAAGGGCAGGTTTGAGATCAGTCTGGTGTTTGTGAAGTTGGAAGCATTGGGGGTAGGTTTTTGAGGAGAGGAGTTAGGACAACAGTTTTGAGGGGGAGTGGAACAGAGTCTGAGGAGAGGGACTGCTTGATTGTGTTAGCGAGCAATGGGCAGAGGAGGGAAAAATGAGTCACTCGAAAGGTGTGTAGAGTGGGGGCCGTAGTAGGATGAAGGAGGCATGGGGGGGTTGGTAGACAACATGTGGTGGGGAGAAAGAGGCAGCCAGGCAGCTGTTATTTATCTTAGAGATAAAGATGTCCAGGACCTCTTTGCACTTGGCATCAGAAGCGAGGATGGAGGGTGCTTGAGAGGGGGCGTGGAGGTGGTGGGTAGTGGAGAACAGGAATTTGGGGTTATTTTTGGCCTCAAGAATGACCTGTGAGTAGACAAAGCAAGCATTGTGGAGTAGGTGGACGATGTGGCAGTCGGGGTGGCTGCTCTGGGACAACCATCACCGAATGCCGTGATGAGCCCGATGGAGGATGCCCAGACCGGAGCAGAGGGAGGCCATGGGAGGGTCCAGGAGGGAGAGAAGATGGTGGGGGGGCGGTAGGAGAGAAGGACTGAGTGGGAGTAACAAAGGGTGGGGAGTAGAAGTGGGGGCATTTTGGAAGGGGGTGGCTTGGGTCAGGGGTGGCAGCCAAACGTGCATCGCCAGTGGGAGACAATGGCCTCACAATAGAAGAGGACAGCTCTGAGCACTTTCAGACAGCTTTAGACATTACAGTTATTCAGAAATTTGGAGGAAAGGGGATTTCAAATCACATTTTTATGTATGGAACACATATGTTTGGGAAAACTACAACTTTGTTCCGGTCAATTCATTTAAATCTTACAGACATGTAAAGGGTGTTTCCATCTCAGATATCTGTTTGCCCTTGTAAACTGGGTAGGAGCTGTACAGGGGTATGAGATACAAATATACTATATACTGTATCTGTGTGTGTGACTATATACTGTATCTGTGTGTGTGACTATATACTGTATCTGTCTGTGTGTCTATATACTGTATCTGTGTGTGTGTCTATATACTGTATCTGTGTGTGTGACTATATACTGTATCTGTGTGTGTGTCTATATACTGTATCTGTGTGTGTGACTATATACTGTATCTGTGTGTGTGTCTATATACTGTATCTGTGTGTGTGTCTATATACTGTATCTGTGTGTGTGTCTATATACTGTATCTGTGTGTGTGACTATATACTGTATCTGTGTGTGTGACTATATACTGTATCTGTGTGTGTGTCTATATACTGTATCTGTGGAGTCCTGTATCTGTGGAGTCCTGTAGCTCAGTGGTTGGAGCACTCGCTTTGCAAGCGAGAGACCTGAGTTCAATTCCAGGCAGAGGGCGAAACCTTGGGCAAGTTTCCTTGCTCCACACGCCTAATAATAATCCCTCCAAAACCAAAAACAATAATAAATTGGTCATTTTCAATCTACGACTGTTTGTGGGACATTGCTGTGCGCAATTGGCTGCCGCGTTCGCCCACAAATATACAGTCAATTCACTTTACAGTATATTCTGTGAAGCGCTTTGGGACGTCCTCCCGACGTGAAAAGCGCTATAACAAATGCAAGGATTATTATTATTATTATTATAAATACAATTTAAAATGCTGTTTTCTTCAATGATTCGCAGAGGAATTCTGTTCTGTCAGTGTTTTGTTTTGTCTGAATTTTAGATTCAGATTTGGATTATTCACATATTCGGTTCTCTGAAGCACACTTTCATCTGAACCCCAATTTGTCATTTTTCCCCTGTCTTTACTTTCTGCTGTAGTTAATATGTACTTGAATGCAGTTTACTAATCCAGATTATAGCTATTCACATCAATAGCAGCAGTATTATGAAGTACCTCACTTGACATGCTCCTCCTGATGTGAAAAGCACCATACAAATGTCATTGCCATTGTTGGTGCTCTGACTAAATGATTTCTTACAGCTTAGAGCAGGGATTTAATATGAATATATTTTCTATAGGACAACTTGGAAAAACAACCAAAACATCATCAAGTGAAGAACTTTCTTCAGCTGGAAGACAAGGTACTACAAGAGTCACTACAGAAATGTTGCTCTCTTCTGAACCAGATGAATGTGTCCGAAGCTGTGCTGGAGTCAGAGTATGTGAACCAAAGCAAATAGAATTATCTAAAATAGCCTTTAAGATTCTGAAATAATAATTTTATGTAGAGTTTATACACATATATGTAATAACCTGACACATTGCACAACCAGTGAATCATAAAATTATGCAGAAGGAGGCCATTCGCCCCATCATGTCTGTGCTGGCTCTTTAAGAAGAGCTATCCAAATCAATCCCACTCCTCTGCATTTAAAAAATGTAGAAAACATTTAATAATCAAGGAAACAGTAGTTTCTGCAGGATCCCAATGTTAAGCGTCCAGAGTTTCAACTGGATCTAATTTGCAGCAATTTGTAACAGAAGTCATTAATATTGACCCTGATTTTCAAACAGGGGAACCTGCCAATAACCGGAGGTGCATTAGGCTGACCTTAAGGCTGAACTCACAATCTACAATTTTTCTGAGCACGTTGGAGTGAGGTTCACATGGGTTAGAGTGATAATGTTCCCAGGCTCCACAAACCTATCACCTCCATCCTTGCCTGGCTCCCCTGGCACTCCATCCCCCAGAGGATCAAGTTTATAATACTCATCTTCACTTTTAAAGCATTCCATGGTCTTGCCCATCCATCCTCTGTGATCTTTTTAACTCAGATATTAAGGATTTACCCTGTTAGAATAATGTCTTGGTGATATATTGTGAGATTCTTATGAATGTTGTCTCTATATTGAGCTAACATTTTCCTGAAAATGAATTGATGTCTCAAAATGTCTTAACAAAAACAAATCTGCCATTTTCAGGACAAGTGAAGATAGCAACAGTGAGGTTGAATCCGAGGTAACATTATATCCAAAAACGATGCGGAAGAAAAAAATGCAGAGATGCTCTAAAATTAAGTCTGCTCTCCCCGCCATCTCCATTCGTCAAATTGGCAAAGAGAAAGCCAAGCAGGTAAACAATGGCATTTTGCCAAGTTTAGAAACAGCGATCGCTGCAATGTAAACACACATTAATACATGTTATGTTGGCAAAAGCCAGGTGAATATTCTCAGAGTATGTATCGATCCTAACATTGACAACTGTGTATTCAATCTGTTTTGAGATTGGTGGAAAATATCTTAGGCTATTGTTGGTGTGATCTCCAGGAGCATATTCAAAAATGTCACTGGAAAAAAATGGGAAATTAGATGGTAATTTGTTTTAAAGGAAACCTGTTTTTGCTTTATTACAGATGAATCGAATAGACCTGAAAACCTATGCACCATTTGTGAATCGATATGCAAATCGCAGTAATGGAGGAATCCCAATATTTGCTGAGGAAAGGTTGATGGAAAGAGCTGCAAATGCGAAGGTGAAAAGAAATCCTGATGCCAGCATTCTGAGACCAGTCCTTTCAATATTGAATTTACATTCTTCTATACATTCAAGGGATCTTAGAAAGTTTATAGCACAGAACAACAACTTGCACATAAACAACTCAAAGTGATTGACAGAGAAAGTGAGGCTGGGCAGAATGGAAAATGAGTTGTGGGAAGGCACAGTCAAAGAAAGTAGTTCATAGATGAATTTTGAAAACAGAGAGGGATGGATTTAATTCTAGGCTGCGGGGACAAAGAAGTAGCCTGATCAATCCATCGTGTCTGTTCTCGTGTTAGTATCTCTGCTGGAGTTTCAGAATCTAATCTCATTCTCTTGTTCTTTATGCCCATTAATATTTTTCCTTAAGTATTTATTCAGCTCTACTTTAAATAATATTATGGACTCAACTTCAACAACCATTTGTAGTAAGGCATTCTGTATTCTCAAACTTTCCCTCTGAGTTAAAATGTTCTTTTAATCTCCCTCATTTTTCTTCTTCTGGTGAGCACATTATGGGGTGTTATGCAAAACGAGAAAATCGGTCGACTACAACAACTTGCATTTGTAAACCATCCTTCGTGCAGGATAGTGTCTTAGAGTACTGTACAGTGGCAGAGTAGGATTGTAAGCAAAAGAGAAGGGAGAGAGGAAGGTCCCTATAGGTACGGTTGAAGTCAAAGTGGGATTTAAAGATAGATAAAGAGAGGGCGAGCAGAAAGATTGAGTTAAGGAGTTCAAGAATATTCAGGGGGTGTAAGATATTTTGAACAGACAGTTGGTTTACATAGATATAATGGAGCTTTGCTGAATTAATTTGATAACAGTTGCAGGTAGAAGTGGGCTAATAGTCCATCTAGTCTACACATCTGTCTTTCAAAAAGATTCCTTCAATATATAAATCAATATTAAGCCTGGAGTAAGAGGAGAGGTGGGAGAAACGCCAAAGTTTTACCTCAGCTGATAAAATGGGTTGTGTAAAGATTGCACCTGACCTCAGAGGGTACATTGACTTTTTCATTCAACTCTTTCTTAGGAGGTTACAATAACAATCTGAATGTTTTTCAGCAAACTGAAGAGATGAAAAATGCTGAAACAGTGAAGCAATTAAATTTTCCAGTAAGTATTGACAGATTCTTACAAGGTTCATATCAGGCAGATTTCTTGCTCCATTTACTGATTGTTAACTTGTTATATTGAATCTGGCTATCCCTCAGTTCCAGTGACATTTCTGTATTAGGTTAAAAAAATAGAATAGAAATTTCCACTTATCAGAGATTACATAACAACTATTTTGTTAAACATCTTGTTGAAGTTATTTTCTTTTACTTTAGCATGTGGCTATGAGAAGGGGGAACAGCAACTTGGGTCAGAACTCATTCCATGGCTCTCTGTCATTGGAATCTGACCAGAATTATACACTGTTGGTTATACATATTTGACCATGGAGATTATACTAACTGAACCCCTTCAAGGTCACACCAAGGTCCAGGGGAATAGAAATTGAAACAGGAATGCTGGCTGATTTTCCTAAGAGTACTAACTTATTTTAAAACATTGAACAGACTGAACAGTTTTTTAATTAACCAGCAAATGTTTTACTTTCAGTCAGTAAGAAAGAATGAAGATTCCAGTCAGATTCCAGTTATAAATCATGCCTTCTTCTTTCACACTGGTCGAAAAGCTCATCGGGGATTAAAGGAACGTTCCACAGAAAACAAGAGAGAAGCAGAATCCTCACAACGTAGAAGCAATTATAAAAACACTGGTAAGTTGATTATCACTGTCTGCACCATTTATATGCTTCAGAATTAATTCTGAGGGGCTTTTTGATAGCTCAGTAGTACGTAAATGTACAATGAAGTACATTGTCAGCAGGGTTGGTGGCACCTTTAGGTTCTGAGTCAGAAAGCTGTGTGTTCAAGTCCCACAAGAGGACTTTGAGCTCACAATCTAGGCTGACACTTTCACACAGTGCTTGGGATGCTCTCTGCTGCATTGTTAGTGATGCCATTGTTCAGATGAGCTGTTAAATCAAGGTTGCTTCTGCTAGTTCAGGACAACCTCAATCATGGCACTATTTGAAAAGAGAAAGGAATTTCTCCCGGTGTCTGGCTGTTTGTGGCATATTGCTGTGTGCAAACTGGCTATGGTGTTTGCCTACAAATACATAGTCACTACACTTTACAATTTGGTGAAGCTCTTTGAGATGCTTTGACAATGTGATAAGGTGCTTATCAAATGCAAAGATTATTACTGTTAATTGTACTATGCCATACAGTACTGTACAAATCTCAACAATTACTGATGAACAATTTGTTGAAAGAACTGAAAAACTGAAGGAAAACCGGTTGATACCAGCTCCACTGGAGTGCTTTTTTTTAAAAAAAGATCGGATTGAAATTAGGTTGTTTATAACTTTACACAATAATATGGATGGTGGGAGTTTACGCACATTCATTCCACCAACCACCTCCTATGCAGGATACTTATCCCAAGTTCCCTGCATTTGGAAAGACCACAATATCGATTGAGCTCCCTCATTCTTTTCCATCCTCTCAATTTTTTNCTGTAATTATCACCTTCCTTTACTCCGCTGTTGCAGCCATTTGTCTATCAAAAGTCACACTAAATACTAAGGACTTTGAGAATGTTATAACATTATATATATCCCATTATATGCAAGGATTATCATTTCTTCACTTTTTTCCTTCTGTGGTAGAGATCTATCGTCTTCTTATCTTTTAAAGAATGTTAACAGCTGCATGAATAGTAGGTGTCTGTTGATGGTGCTGTAGAGAAAGTTAATTTCTACAGGCTCAAGACCATCATCAGCAGGAAGTTAATATCATTGCAGCCAGAACATAATAACACTACTGTATACTATCCATAGTCGTTTATTTGTGAGTAAATAATTTCCTAATAATTATTGATCCGAAATGAATCCTAAATTATGGATTTGTGTCCACGTCTCCTTATTATACAATTTTGACTGTTAAACATATTCAGAATTCATTTGTCCATATCCTTTGGGATCTTAAATATTTCAATAAGAAATATGAGCATATTCCCATTTTCATATCATGTACTGCACTTTCTTCAAAGTGCCTTTAAAAATAGGTCAAGAAATAGTATTTGCCCCACAGATGCCGTGCTTGGATTGGAGGATGTCTTGCCTGGCGATAGCTCAAAGTATAACGGAATAATACCAAATAATGAGAGGTAAGAAAAAGAACACAGCGTTTATTGTGCAAAAACACATTATTAGGTGTAAAATGCAGTGTGTCATGATGAGATCCATATTTACATGTCGGCTGGTTGTGTATGATTAAGAACAGATGGATAACACACTAGGTTTGTTTAGCTCCCTTGACTGAGAATGAATACTAGTTGATTTACATTCTTACTATTATGGTTTGTTGACAAAAAAAATACAAAACTGAACATTATTTACCCTTATAAAAGCAGAAATAAAGACAAGAGAAATAAAATTACATTTACATAGCGACTTTCACGTCAGAAGGGCATCCCAGGGTGCTGAAGTGAATAATTAAAAGCTTCAAATTATCAATTTGCATATGTAGTAATTATTTGAAGTTTCAAAAGAATGAGATCTTTGAAAGGTAGAAAATAAGATTCCACATATTGATTTTGTTTTTAGAAAATATTATAAGTTTGGCACATTGGTGCCAAAATGTGGTATTGCACAGATTCATCCAAGGGATTCGTAACAGTGAGCCCCAATTAGATAGATTTCAAGCAAAAGCTAAACACCTCCCATTGGAAAGAATAGAAATATGATCAGATGGCTGGCTAGTAACCTTTTAGTCTTTTTTAAAAGCAATGGTTCTGTATTTTCAGAAGAATAATACTGATAATACGGTACATAGCCTCTAACTTTCATCTGCCCTAACCAACCCAATTAAATTATGGACCAGGGTGTTTATGAAAGATAAAGTTGAAGTTTTTTTAAATAAAACATTGGAGAGGAAATATGAAGCTTCATTGAAGATCTGGATCTGTTGGAAAACAACAGAATTTGAATAATTAATTGGTTCAAACTGGTTTCTGGATCTGCTGCCACCTTGAATATCAGCTTAGTAATACTGAACAGACACATTATAATCAACTCCAAAGGCAGTGTTTGTGTGGAGGTGCACAGGATATTGGTCAAGTTAAAGCTGGTATCCTATTTTTATTTTTAGCTGCACAATTATACCATTCTCCACGATTGGCAGTCACAATTCTTCAGGCTAATCATTGTTTCAAAGTCAGAGGAGTGATATACCAGAAAAGAGAGAAAAGATTACACTGAATTGGTGACAAAATATTTTTCACTCCAATCTCTACACACTCGCAACATGTATCAGTACCCAGCGTAATTAGTTATACCCAGTACAATATAACATGTCAGAAATTATTCCAAATGAAGTCTGAACTTTCTTTGTTGTCCACAGTATTCATAAAACAAGCCTACCAAATCGGCCTTTGCCATTTATACGGAGACTAAAAAACAAGGTTTCAAGTAATTCTGTCCACAAAGAACATATGTAAGATTTCCATACTTTCCACTAAGTTAGTCAAACAGGTCAGTACATTACAACTATTTTATTTTATGCACTCTAACCATGTAAAACAAAACAGAGTCGAGACGCTATTAATAACAAAATTACCAATATTACCCAGCAGCCAAACTGGGGAGGGATGCAATTTGTCTGTGATTGTGAATAATCAAGGCTGTCTCATACTCTTAGTTTAGAGTCAGACCACATTGATGGCATTGTTTTATAAATCTGTTACAATTAACATTCATTTCTGTCTGCTAATATAATACTTTGCTATGTGAGGTTTTGCCTAGTGTTTAGATTATAATTATAATTAACATTACATTCTTTCAAAATTGGTTGTAATGTAAAGAATACCAATTTTCTTTTAATCTAACTGCTGTGCAGGGTAAGTATTCCTGTGGTATTTCTCAAGGCTACTTTGAAGTTGCCTCCAGAGTAATTTCATGGATTTGAATTACAATGCATAACCAGCACGAGCTTGGTTTTACACAAGGGTGTTTGGTGTTGATCAGTCAATTTGCTGCATTTAACTATGCAAGGTGGAACAATGAGAGATGATCAGGTGGGGCGAGGAATTCACTTGGAATCAATGCTGAAATGAATCGACTGCCCAGTGTAAATTAAAACACAGGATCATAAAAACCATTAAGTCACCAATCAGTGTTTGGCTGAGTATGTAGGCATTCATAAAACATGTACAATATACATTTTGAAAACCTAAGGCAAATGAAAATCACTTGCCTTAGGAATTGTTATGCATATATTCTCACTGCCTCTCCTCTCACCTCAACCTTTATGGTTCTGTCCATGAATGGTTCAGATCCTACCTCTCACACTGTCTCTACTTCATCTCCAAAAACGGCTTCTCCTCTAGCCCCCAAACTGTCTCATGAGGCGTTCCTCAGGGCTCTGTCCTTGGTCCCCTTCCTGTCCATATCTATATGCTCCCTCTTGGTGAAATCATCCCAGACATGGGGTCAATTTCCACATGTATGCGGATAACACCCAACTCTACCTCCCCGCTTCCACGCTCGACTCCAGAACTACTGCTGTGCTGATAGAATGTCTGTCAGACATCAAGTCCTGGATGAGATCTAACTTTCTACAGTTAAGCATCAACAAGACTGATGCCCTCCTGACTGGCTCCGTCAGCGCCTCCACATCTCAGGTACCAACAGCATTACCATCCAAGAATTCACACTCCACCTCACCAAGTCAGTCCGGAAGCTTGGCGTCTTGGCTTCCAGGCTCGACTACGCAAACTCTCTGCTTGTCGGCTTCCCCAACTCCTCTGTCCATAGCCTGCAGATCATCCAGAACTCTGCAGCCCGTGTCCTCTCCCGCACCAGGATCCGCGACCCTATCACTCCCATCCTCGCCCGACTTTACTGGCTTTCCATTACAGAGGATACAGTTCAAGATCCTGGTCCTCAACTTCAAAGCACTCCATGGCCTTGCTCCCCGCCTACCTCTGCGACCACCTAACCCCCTACCAACCTGCCCACTTCCTCCGCTCAGCGGGCTCTGACTAGCTTCATGTCCCCCGCCTTGCCTGTCCCACCATTAGTGGGTGGGCCTTATGCCACTCTATCCCCACCCTCTGGAACTCTACCCCAGTCCCTCCGCCTGCCCATCCCTTGCCTCCTTCAGACCCATTTCAAGACGCTCCTCTTCGACCTTGCCTTTGGTCACCCTGCTGCCCTACCTGTTCTACACCCTACCCGATCCCAACCCCCAGCTAAGGGTCTGAAAAACTGATTCTCCCGTGTCTTGGGATGTCCTCCCAACGCGAAATGTGCTATACAAATGTAATTTTGTTGTTATTCTGTCTGTAACTTTCATATTGGTTTAAATAAAAGTATGGGGTGGTGGGGGGTAGAATGTACTTTGTGTTTGAAATAGAGCAAAATAGAATCAGTAGTCAAACCTGTTAAATTAACCATCTTTTTCAGCATCCACCTGCTGTCATCAACAAGCCTGGAACAGTCCAGACCAATTTTCCTTAATAAAACACCTCTATCCAGCAAACACCTGTGTAATGCAACTAGTGACCCATTTTTTTTAGCCCCGTCAGAGGCCAGATCCAGTCACTCAATCCATGACTGTTTGTGGGGCACTGCTCTGTGCAATTGGCTGCCGCGTTTTGTCCACGAAATATAGTCAATTCACTTTACAGTATATTCTATGAAGCATTTTCAGACGTCTTGAAAACATGATAAGGTGCTCTATCAAATGCAAGGATTATCATTATAGTTTATACTCCGATCCCGTGCATGTAGACTCCTAGACACAGGCACGTGGAAATTTATTGTGCCAATGGAAACATTAACAATTTGTGTTTTGCAATTGATTATTAAAACTAGTTTAATTTATGGGTTTGTATGTGCCCATGTTTTTTTCTTTACACTTACACTTAGAAATTTCACCTATCAACAAACCCTTACTCAAGAGGCCACCGCATATAAAGGCCACTTTGGTCCAGTCCCCCCCTCCGAGTGTATTGTATCTGTAATGAGCAATTTCTACTGATTTAATCACTTAGACAGGGAAGTCAAATCTAGTATGAACAGGAAGGTCCGGGATGCATCCCTGAGCAGTTACATTCAACACTAATTTAGTTGGTTTTTTAAAACAATTTTCATTGGAGATTAAATTTAAAAATGTCATGTTTTAGGACACAAATCAATAAGGATCTAATTACAATAAGATGTCAGAATCAGCTATAAAGTTTCCAGTTAAGTTGCAATTAACCAAATAATTATTGGCTATTGACACAAGTAAAACAAGTGCTAGGTACAATATTCATTCACAATGCATCTTTCACATCAGCAGGATGTCTCAAAAGTGGTTTATATTGCCAGCTGAGCAGGTGTGAGCTGAAAAGGGTAGGTTGTGGAAAGATTACTGAAAGCACAATCAAAAGAGGCAAGACTTGAGGCAGGCTTCAAAACTAGCAAAATCAAAACTGGATAACTGTGATGGTTAAGATGCACTTTTCTACTAAGCATCCACCATATATTTGTTTAAACGTTAAGTCTATAGAGATGACCAAATGGAGGCAACATCATTTTCTATAGTAAATATTTTCTATATACGAATTCAAGCAGGACTTCAGGAGACCTGGCAGCCTTCTTTATGATAGGGCACCTTACAGCCCTCATTAAAAAAAACAAGAGACTCATGAGGTACAAGCTCAAATATATTGGATCATGGACTGAATCAGTGGAATTCTATTCCTTAACTCATTCAATAGTTTAGTCAATGGTTTTCATTACAGACAGATAAAAGTTGCTAATGGCACAAAGCTTCTGAATTGAATTTGTGTGGTCTATAAATGTGTAGTCAATATACTGCATTAAACAAAGTTACATTTTATTTTCATATTTTAAACTTCTTTTTTTGACATTTTATTTTCATTATTCCAACAATTCATTGCATTTCATTTTGCAGGTGGAATACATCCGACTTCTACTCATGTGCACAACAAACCCACATGCAGAAAAGGATGCTGTAGCAGTTACTGCAGACTTCATTAATGAGAACAAATTCCATTTTTAATCAATAATAAAACTTCCAAATTAAATCAAATGAGGTCATCTAATTTAAGTTACAAAATTAGAGGGTTATCAAAACTTGGGAATTTAAACTTTTTCTGCAGTTTCAGTATTTGAAAAAGCACAGATTCAGTGCAGTATCGTTTTGAGAAATATTAGGAATCAATTTGAACTTTCATGTCAAAGTTAATATTTACATGACATATGCAGTTATATCCAGTTCTTAAACGCAAATAAGTTAGGTTACCATAGAAGTTTGAAGTTTCAATTTGTTTTTACAAAGCAAATACAGAATGGTTTTAGATGTCAAGTACCATGCTAAAAGCAAAACGTGGTTATGGCAACTTTAGCACTAGACCCAAGATTTTATAATTTATGTAATCATACACAATACATAGAATATACAACAATTGTCTGCCTTGCTGTCCCTTCCTGCATGCAACAAGGAAACAGCAAAGGCTTTTTGTTTATTCTATCTTGAGCACCTCTTACTGGGTGACATAGCGTAATATACTCCCAATAAACTGGACATTATTTATGCACATATCTAGTGATATTGATTTTCCTCCACTGGGTTCCAGTTTGCTAAGGTTCAAACTGGACCATATAGAGTACATTCACAGCAGTCTAGCTCTCTACTGATAGGCCCATAAACAAAGAATAAACTGGGACTTCACAACTCCATCACAAAGTGACATTACTACCAAGCTTATACCTCCAGACTACTTATGCACATGAAACATAAGCTGCAAAAGGTAAAACGTCACTAGTAATAACACTCAATCAGTGTATATACTTTGTATTACTATCGCTTGTAAAGACATGGCATGATCCAGACTTAAGTCATCTGTAAAGATTGCTCACAAAATAGTTACTCCATTTCACAGTACATCCTGTGAGTGCTTTGGGACATCGTCCTGATGTGAAAGGAGCTAATACCAAATGCAAGGATTATTATTATTAATAATGCAACTGTCCCAAGTGTGAGAGAAGGTACAAAAAAGAGTATTAGTTAAATATAATATATAGAAAAAAATATGCACCTCATCTGTTTTTCCTGCCTCTGCTAAAACTTTATAATGCTAATGGCAGCCAGTGATAAAAACATTTACATTTTGCTTTTGGAAGTCATTAAGCATCTCTTCCATCCACAGCTATAGGCAAGGATAGTGCTATGTTTTACCTCCAAAGTTCAAGTTAGACAACAAACGTATTATCACACAGTTAAACAATTTTGGATGAGGGACCATTCTGCCTACAAGGAAGACCTTTAATATAACTGCTGAATAAGAATGCTAATCACAAACTTAATTAGTCAGGCATTTCGATTTCAACCTTTACCCATAAGAGTTACACTATGGCAACCCCAGTCAAAGATGATCTGGAATTTGTCCTTTGCAACAGAACTGTGAATGACTTTTGAAAACTTTATAAGCATTGTATTATTGAACTGGTAAAACAATCCTATATTCGTGAATAAATTACTGCGTGCACGGACTATTTCTTTTCAGACTTTTCGTATACACTTAATCACCACCAGGTGATACAGAAAAGATGTATGCAATTGTGTGAGTAGAAATGCAATCACCATGATCAGGAAAACTGAAATAATTTACTTCAGTTTTACCACAGTACATCTGGTGGAGAGTTCAGCTTCAAGGAATAGCTTGCAAAAGTGACAAAACCACACACAAAATCAAAACATTTCTTCGTAACCAGAGGTTTCTCTGGAATTTCAGTTTATTCTTTTCCTCTGCTACAGTTTGGTAAGATTTAATAAACCAGACTGAAATGTTCAAGGCAATTGCTCTGCACACCAAAGACTGGAGGGAATGAGGCTGGAACCATGAATAGATCTTAGTGTACAGTATATTCTTAAGTCACGTACTCTCTTTGGCAGGGGGATTTCTATACATAACATTAAATTGAGGAAAAAATACAAGCTCAGTATAACATGTATCTAAACGTGCCTGCTGAAGAAGAAAAAATCATTTTTAGATCAGACTGCAGTATTTTAAAAGATTCTCTTCACATCTAGTTCTAAAAATACCTAGGAATAATACTGCAAGCAATAGGCCATTAGGTATTTTTTGCATCTGTATTCAATCAAAATGAGAAAAACAGCAAATGAACTAATCATTCAGTCATAACAGCAGGACAGAGGTTTCATAAATCCATGGCACTGGGTCCAGCAATATGTTCTTTTTCAAACAGCATTTTTGGCAGGCCTGCATATCTTCAGTTTTAACTGTCCATGCAATATAATTTAGGTTTTACATGAAGTCATCAGAGTCATAACCAACATCCTAGACAGAAAGAAAAAGAGGTAAACACTCAATGCATACAGATGATTTGTCCATGTATCAGAAGCAGTTAAGGTACTGCCCAAGTAATTTAACCTGTGTAAAATACAAAATACAGTTGAAGCCGCTTTAGCCGGATAAACACGACAAAACACCTGGCCCCAAATTATTTATATTTTCATCTATTTTAAATATGCTGATTATTAATAATAATCCTTGCATTTGAATATAGCGCTTTTCAAGTCTTGTAGACATTTCAAAGCGCTTCACAGAATGTACTATAAAGCGAATTTATTATTTTTATAATTATTATTATTATTTACTGTATATTTGTGAGCAAAATGCTTCAACTAATTGCGCACAGCAGTGTCTCACAGTCGGGGATTGAAGTGACCAAGCTACTATTGTTTTTTTTCTTGAGGGATTATTATCAAGTGTAGAGTAAGGAAACTTGCCCAAGGTTTCATCCTGATGGGAATTGAACTCAGGTCTCTCGCTTGCAAGGCGAGTGCTCTAACCACCGAGCTACAGGACTCTACACCACTCCAATCCAGACAAACTACCACGTTGGTCCCACTGGGTCTACTCACACTGTATCTATTATTTCAGCCACGAGCAGCTCCGGGATGGAAATGGGAAGTCAAATTGCAACTGATTAACAGCGGACTCCAGCCATTGACAAGCAGCTCCGAGGTTGTCAATCAGTGAGGGGGCGGAGGAATAGGGAAGAAATAAGGGAAGGAATGGGAGGAGTCAAATCGCGAATGATTTGACAGTCTGGAGCCACTTGTGAATGGATAGAGTGCTCCAGGTTATCAATCACCTCGGAGCCGCTGCTAATTGGTCACCTTCTTGTCCGATGGGAATGGCAATGGGAGGGAGGAGGCACCACTGATGCTCCTCTGCTGGATGGGAAGAGTTTCAATCAGCTTTGAACGCTGCTTAAACTGGACGAAATTGCTGGTGGCGATGTGCTCGGTTTAAGCAGATTTCACTGTACACAAGCAAATTCTTCTCTTGCAACACCTTCTTAACATCCAGATCCAGAGTACTTAACTAGTAAATAGTACCACAAAACACAGTCTAGTAAATCCTGTGAAGCACTTTTAGACGTCCTCCCATCATGAAAGGAGTTATACCAAATGTATTTATTATTAGTTATTATGTGGAGTCCTGCAGCTCAGTGGTAAGAGCACTCGCTTTGCAAGTGTGAGACCTGGGTTCGATTCCCAGCAGGGTGAAACCTTAGGCAAGTTTCTTTACTCCACACACCTAATAATAATCCCTCAAAAAAAATTGGTCATTTCAATCCATGACTGTATGTGGGACACTGATATGTGCAATTGGCTGCCGCATTTCACCCACAAATATACAGTCAATTCACTTTATAGTCTATTCTGTGAAGTGCTTTGAGATGTCTAGAAGATGTGAAAAGCGCTATATCAAATGCAAGGATTATTATTATTATTATTAACAAGCGTCTATCTTTGGGAGAGCTGGACGCATCATTTCTAAATCAGTGCATGAGCAAATACAGTAAAACTCGCATAAGTCTTATCGTATAATTGCCTAAGTCGTACATTCAACCGAGTCCCATTCAGTTTCCTATCAAAACTCTTTGATTTCTTTGCACTTCTTGTATTAATCATCTCCTAACTCGTAACGCCACTCCCCTACCCTCCATTACTACTACACTTACCAGCTGCATTGAATTGAGCGAAATGACCTGTCCATGTATGTGCACTTACCGTCCGGCTGCATTAAATCACAGGAAACTAATGTGTTGAGGCACTTAATATGACAAATGTAGTCACACCAACAGCAGAATTTCCATACCTGATTGGTACTCATGTTTTCAGATTTCATAAGTGAAGAATAACTTCTATGGAGTTAATAAAAACAGGCAATTAACCCCAAAAAAACAAATATTTAAAGATATAGTAAGTTTCAACAATTCTGTCAGTTTCAGACATATCAAAATATAATTAACTAGTAAAAATAATGTGTCAAACACCAAGTTCTTTTTGTTAAATATTCTCATTAAATTACATTTTCACATATGAAACAGGATTATTGTTATTATAAATATCCCCTTTGAAGAACATTCCAATGTATCTCAATAGTTTTCTTGTTAAAAAAAATCTTAACAAACTCAAATGATTCTCCACTCCCATAATTGGTCTCCTTGAAGGAGTTAAGAGAAGGGGCGAGGTAGAGCGGCTCCAGGATGGAGTTCCAGAAGGTGGGGGCAGAAAAGCTGAAGAAGGAGCAGGCAGGGCAGGGACCATGAGTACCCCAGTGCCTGACGAGTGGAGGGAGCAGACAGCTTGGTAGAGTTTTAGTAGGTCGCAAAGATAGGGAGGAGCAAGACCGTGGAGGACTTTAAAGGCTAGGATGAGGACCTCAAATTTGATCCTCTGGGGGAAGGGGAACAAGGGAAACCGTTGTGGCTGTAGCATAGAGTCAAGCTGGACATAATGAAACCATGGACGGGAGTCTCAGCAGCCTAAGAGGAGAGGTAGTGGTGGAGGTCAGCAATGTTCCAGAGGTCAGGGAAGGCTGAATGGGTCAAGGCACAGATGTGAGGTTTAAAAGGCAGTTGACGGTCAAACAAAACACCAAGGTTCTGTCCTGCCTCGGTGAGGTGGAAAACATATTCATGAATAGTGATGCCGTCAGCGCCTGAGGTGAGGAGATGCTGACGCGAGCCACCCAGGAGGGCCTCAGTCTTGGCGACATTCAACAGGAGAAAATTGGCTTTCATTCAAGACTTAATGTCTAACAAACACTCCATCAGGACAGTAGTGGTCCTGGAGTCGAGGTTGGAGACAGAGAAATAGAGTTGGGTGTCATCCACAAGCATATGCCCCGCGGATGATATCATCGACTGGTACCATGTGAATACTGAAGAGGAGAGGACCAAAGACAGAGCCCTGGGGAATGCCATACATGACGATGCAAGGGCTCTAGGAGAAGCTGTTGGTAGATACAAAGTAGAGACAATAGGAAAGGTAAGAACAACAACAAAACTACATTTATATAGTGCCTTTCACGTTGGGAGGATGTCCCAAAGCGCTGGACAGTTAGTGTTTCAGACCCGAGCTGTGGGTCGGGATTGAGGATTTGGATTGGAGGGCAGTGGGAGGGTGATGGAAAAAACGATCGAAGAGGAGGGTCTTGAGATAGGTCTAGAAGGAGGCAAAGGAGGGTGCAAGGCGGAGGGATTGAGGGATGGAGTTCCAGAGGGTGGGGACAGAGTGCCAGAAGGTCCACCAGCCAATTGTGGGGTGGGTGAGGGGGGCGGACATGAAGCAAAATAAAAACAAGAACAAAACCAGGCAAGGATAGAATTATGAAGTTGGAGCTGAGAGGCGAAGCGAACCTTGGCTCCTGCCAATCTGTGCAAGAGAGTGCAGTCTGGACATGGGAATTCCACGTGCAATCATGGAACTCTCAGCCTGGTTTGGATACTTTTAAAATGATGATGGATGTGTTCAAGTGTCAGACATCCAATATATACTATTCTCTGCATATTTCTCACCATCACTGGCAATTTTAAGTGAGTGCCTTTCTGGATTCCCTTAGTCATATGATAGCTTACAACAACATCATGCTCATTTTTAACTGGATTAAGACACACACTGTCATTTCCTAAACAACAACAACAACAAGATTCCATTTATAAAGCGCCTTTCACGTCAGGAGGACGTCCCAAGGCGCTGGGACCTTGGGACTCCTTGCTGTGACAAAAGATAAACTCTTTTCCTCCAGGTGAGGGTACCAGAGTATTCAAAACAATTTTATTGAAAATGGTAACCGACAAAACAGGGTAAAACTAAAGACAATTGTTATAATGGAAAGCAAAGTAACACGCCATTCTGAAACAAGATACCTGAGTTCTTCCATTTCAGTTTTCTTCTTCATTTCGTCTTTTTCTCTTCGTTTCATCTCTTGCATCTGTGCTTTTTTCTCATTGCGTTCCTCTCGTTCTCTGGATTCTTTTTCTGCTGCTAAGTCTGGGAATCGCTCATCTTTTGTTTTTTCTAATCGATTTAACATTTCATTGATCTTTTTCTCCACTGCAATTATTTTTACCTTAAACCAAATGTTACAATTATTGAAGAACAATGAACATCTACTATAATAGTTAATTAACAGCTAAGATAGACAAGTTTACTTTTTAAACAGATCTTCTTATTTAAAAGCTCATAAAATGTTGCCAAGAACACACAACTTGACTGTTTTGGGAAATGTTGATATATATCAAAAAGGGCACGAAATACACAAATACACCAGTTTATCTCATATTAAAATGCATTTATATTTATGATAAACAGGTGTGCTTCTATCAAATAACATGAAGTGAAAAGTCATGCAGAAAACAGTTTTCTTTCAAAACTGTTCCTCTGTGAACAATGCTGATGAGAGCAGTAGACAGTCGGAAATTTATGATAGCCAAATAGCATTTTGTATAGCCCTGCTTCAATAGAGCACCAATAAACATTAGATTTTTCAACAGTGTAATGGGGGGAACTCCACTTTTTTTGATCAGCTTGAAAACCTATTACCATGCTTAAGAGTATCCAAACCAAAAGGTTATATGTAATCCATGTAAACATAGTTTGGAATGGAATGCACACTCTCTACCACAAGGAACACACAATGCTTACTTAGCTCAGGAGAGTATTTGGCACAGGTTGGCCAAGGCTTGGAGTTCAAAGGTACTATAGAAAACATCAGCTGTTCAAATAAGAGCACATTATAAAACATCTGTTTGAAATAATTTTGTATTGATCTTGTACAGGGACAATTGATACAATTACAATAATGATGTCAAATATTTCTTACATCTTTTTGCCTGTGAAATCCTATTTGCCCTATATCCATATCCCCAGTCTTCTTCAGATTTGACCATGGAGTGTACACAATATTTATGTTGTTCATTTTCGATCCTGATAAAAAAAAATACAACTACTATCATTTACATCACTCAGAACAACTGATTGGTATGCATACCATTAACAGACAAAATATCAAATGCTAAGTACTAGCTTGACTGGAAAGTACAACAACAAATTAAATTTCTAGAATGCTTTTCACCTCAGGAAGTCCAGGGTGGGTAATAAAGCCACCAATTAAGTACAGAATAAAACATGTATAGCTATGCCGAGAAATTTATGATATTTCAAATGTAATTTCTCCACAACTGTGCAATAATATTAATAATAATCCTTGCATTTGATATAGCGTCTTATCACATCTTCAAAACATCTCAAAGTGCTTCACGGAAGTTAACTGACTGTAAATTTTGTCAGTGAAACAAAGCAGCCAATTGCGCACAGCAGTGTCTCACAAACAGTCGGGATTGAGTGTTTATTATTTTTATTTATTTATACCAAATTGTTTTTACCAAATTATTTTTATTTATTTTGAAGGAATTATATTACCTCTGGAAAAACAATCTGCCAATCAACTAATAACCAAGTTATTAGTATTTACTGCTAGATAAACAGACATGTGGAGTAAGGAAACTTGCCCAATGTTTCGCCCTACTGGGAATCAAACCCAGGTCCTCTCGTTTGCAAGGCGAGTGCTCTAACCACTAAGCTACAGGACTTCATAATACGATATACAAACCGAGCATCATGCTAAGACAGTAAAATACTTGATTTTAAAATATACTGACTATGCATTTTTTTCTACTCATTACTTTAAAACAATCAATAGTACAAGCAAATGACAATATTACCTTGAATACTATTGGCTTTAACAAGTTGCGCACAGTCAATTAGAACTTCCTTGGGGAGATCATCGATTGTTTGACCCTATGACACAATAATAATATATAAACACTGGCTTTCAACGCTGCAGCATGTTCTGAATATTAATTGTGCTCTTGTCTCAAGCATGAAAAGCTGCATCACGTCTTCATTGTGTTCTTGTGAACAATATTAAAAGGTCTGCTCCATCTGTTAAATGTGTTGCTAATTCTTCCATTTGATGAAATGGACAAAATTATATATACAGAAAACTCAACAACATTATATAGCACCATTCACATAGGGCAACATCTCAAAGCGATTCTTAGAAATGGTGCACTGAGCAGGGAGGGCGATAAGTTACCACAGACATTGGCAAAGAGGTAGGATTCCTCTTTTAAAGACAGGATAATAATAATCTTTGCATTTGATATAGCGCTTTTCACATCTTCTAGACTTCTCAAAACGCTTCACAGAATATACTGTAAAGTGAATTGACTGTATATTTGTGAGCGAAATGCAGCTGCCAATTGCGCACAGCAGTGTCACACAAACAGTCGTGGATTGAAAATGACCAATTTATTATTGTTTTTGTTTTTTGGCGGGATTATTATTAGGCGTGTGGAGTAAGGAAACTTGCCCAAGGTTTTACCCTGCCTGGAATTGAACCCAGGTGTCTCGCTTGCAAGGTGAGTGCTCTAATCTCTGAGCTACAGGACTCCTCAAAGATATTGTATTTAGGAAAGGAAATCCAAAGGAATGATGTGGTGTGGATGAGGCCCGAGTTTACCAAGTAGAGAGGGACGAGCAAGAGAGCATGACTGGAGAAAGTCACAGAGATAGGTGAAAATTTGTAGGAGAAAATGAGGAACTTCACTGAAAGCCAATGGAGCTAGGGAATAATGGCAAGCATAGCTTAGTCTGGGTAGTATGTCAGTGACCATCCTTTGAATAAACTGGAGCTTGTGTATGGCAGAGCTGGGTTGGAGCGATTGAGAAGTCCAGTCTGGAGGAAAAGGTGTGGATAAGGGTTTAGGTCACACCGAGAATGACAGAAGGACAGAAGCAAGCAAAGTAGCGAAGATGAAGACAAACAGTCTGAATCGGAGACTGGATGTGAGGAAGAGTCAAACAGAATGCCAAGGTTGTACACAGGCTCAGTAAGGCTCTAATTGAAGGTATCATACCTTGTGTAATCGAAGGTAGACATGAGCTGAAGACAATTTATCCACGTGAAACCTACAAAATTTAAACAATTTAAGTCAGACCTAGAGCAACACGGCCAAATGGACTCAAGTCCAAACTGCCCCCACTAAAACATAATCAACTTTTGGATTAATAAAGGATTTAGTCAACTTTAGTTTGGTAAATTGCAACAGAAAAGATGGAAACAATATGCGAAATTCATATTGGAATAAGTAATAGAATATAATGGAACAGACAAAAAAAATCTGCAACATACCAAATATCTTCTGGCCACCCGTACTTTATCAGGTCTTCATCTATTATTTTTAGAAAAAGCAAAACAACGTGTTACAGTAAATGACAGATGAAAGAGGATTGATCAGTTTATTACCCATCCAAGTTACCAGGGGATCACGTGAAAGGCACTATGCAAATGTAATTTATTGCTGTTGTTGTTGAAAGAATTCCGAGTTGTTGAATGCTATATGTTAAAACTAAGTCAGAAATTAATGATAAACTGGGCCAATAGAAAAGTGCGGTCTCACTTTTCCCGTGGAATCCGCTACAAATACCCCCCACCACTACAAACCTGTCCACACATTGTCCTAGGCCTTGGGCCTCGGTGCACGGTTTGCTCGTCTCTGCTACTGTGGGCGGAGCGGCTCTGGTCGCGCATGCGCGGTGCAGGGAGTGTTGGATTGCGGAAGCGCCATGAGTGGGAAATCGGCTTCGGCCGGTGCCCAGCCTAAACTGAGCTCCTGTGACAAATTCTTGGTAAGAGCTGTACTATTCAAATTAACAGTTTTAGCATTTTAAAAGTAACTACATGTTTTAACCTGGATTGCTTCACAAAATGTGTCTCTCATTAGCACGAACCGACCCTCCGTAATTTTCCACAAAATTCATCAAAGATCTCCGCAATTTGAGGCAAATATTTCCTCACTTTTCTATTGGCCCAGGTGATAACTTTTGCAGGATATTAAAGTGATTTTTTTCTTCTTGCCCCTACCCAATTCTATGCGTTAGAAATTACAAATATGCTGCTTTGAAATATTGGCATCTTCAAGAAAATGCAAATGATCAGAAAAAATAAGGAAGTACTTCAAGGTGCAAATTAAACTGTGATCAAAGTAATTTTGCACTTCAATTCCAAATTCCCAAACATATTGCAATCAATTAATCAACTTGAGATTCAAAAACTATCAGTATTTGCTAACCGATAGAAAGCAATTATTTAAATCCAAACAGTTGCAAGCTTGTAAAGTCACTGAAAGTGGTCTGGAAAAGTAGTACTGATCTAACACAGTGACATGGAGTACAAGGATGCAGGTTAATGAAACCCCAAATTTGGGTGTACGTTTTGGTGCCTTCCAAGATGTTGAAAGCATTTCCGCATTGAGAAGGAGCCAACCAAGATTATACTGGTCAGGAATACTGACAAACAACCAAAACTTTTTCCAAGCACAACCTTCACAGATGTGTGCATGTAAACATATCCACACAGACTGTACAAAATCAAGACAATGTGAATAATAATGGAATCAAATCAGCAGAGATAGCAACAACAACTTTATATTTGTATAGTGCCTTTCACGTCGGGAGGACGTCCCAAGGCACTGGAGTTGCACAAGAACAGACAAGATACAGAAGAGATGGTCTCATTGCCGTTTACATCACTGTACTGACCATGGTCAAATAAGAAAGCCAGAAGGAACCAGTAGATTATTCTAAATGTTTTAATCTAGGCATATATGTAGAATGGTGGTTTAGTATAGCACCAATGAGTTGGATGACCAACAGCCAGGAGACATGGCAACGATTCACTGCATTTAATTCCCTAATCTGAGCTACATTGGTGTGGAGAAATATACGAATAACCAGATTTCTTTTTTTAGGTGATTGGGTGGGGGGGGAAGGAAGGAGAAGGGAAGAGAAATCCTCTAAAGGAAATCTAAATTTAGACAAAGAAAGTTCTGAAACTGGGACTCAACCTCATGCAATTTTATTATTTTCAAGATATACGGCAGCTAAGATTGTATATGCTCCGGAATGTGGGGGTATATCCAGACACTTACTTTCATATTTATCCTTTCCCATATATATTGTGTATGATGGGGAAACCACTGTAAAGAAAAAAGAGACATTTAAAACAAATATGAATAGCAATGCATTAATTTCACTCCTAGGCATTGAATGAAACTAGGAATGCAACAATTATTATATATATCCCTTACTTTCCATGCATCTATCTAATTTCCTTTTAAACATTTCAACTGATTCTAGCTTCATTGTTTCTTAATTTTACATTTTATCTAAGACATTCTTTAACTGTAGCTTCTTTAATTATATACATTTGTTCATCTTATAGGATATTATTGCCTCCATTAGTTTGCACATCACAATTGACTGAGAAAATTGGGAGAGCAATTGTTATTAATCTCTCTCTACATCTGGGTGCTGGGAAGTCAACAAAAATAGTTAATGGTGCTAAACCTTTTGTTTCTCTTATATGGTGCATGGTGCCTCCTCATTGCCTACCCAAAGAAATGTTAATTCCTCCATAATATGTTGGAGTTTGTGCGTATCTGTGTATCTGAGCTACATATGCAGTCCAAACTGACCCAAGCTAAATATGATATTATAGCCTCACAATAGTTTCCCCATTTTACCTGGATTATATGCACTTTCCATCTGAGTTTGCTTTCATGCTAACTAACACTAGTTAAACTCCCACTGATCTCACAGAGGGAAGGCGATTTTGCAAATTAAAATAATTATTTTAATATATTTTAACTGCTGTTTTCCCAATGGCAGCAAATTATGCAATGATTCACTAAGAAAAGTCATCTGTGGTAATGAGTTTTAAAAAAAAGCTTCCCTCTGCGCTAGTGCCATTTTCAAACGTAAAACAAAGTTGAATGGGCCAATCACTCTAAAGCGAGATATGAAGTAGGCCTGCATTCTTTTTTTTATAAATGTTCTGGATTTCACTCCTTCATTGCCACATTAGCCCTAATTATTAGTTCTGTATTTGTTGTGTGGTAAATTTAAAATTCTACATATACCTGTTAGAGCAACCACCTCTATTCCAAAACCAACTGCTGCCAATCACCCTGGAAGTCCAAATTTTCCGTAACAAACCACTTCTATTCAGCAACCACTGGTCTAACACAACTAGTGGCCACTCTTTTTTAGCCGTCAGTGTACACACACCGTTTTTAGCAGCCAATTCTAAATGATTTTAAATCTATTTAAATGAATGCATTACCAATTTCCAAGTGTTCCAAATGTATTACCAAGTGTAGACTCCAAGTGTATTTACTAACGCCGCACTGAGTAGCCTGAGTGATGCCCACAGCTTCCCACCTCACCGGTGAGGTTGGTAAATACACAAGGAACCTATCAGGAGTCTTTTTGGGGCCGATCAACGAACCCAGAGGCCACCTCAGAGGCCACCCTTACATAAAGTACAGTCCCGAGTGGTTGCTGAAAATGGTTTGACTGCACCAGGGAATCTTTTTTATGAAGTTCTACATTGTTGCTTTATATAATTAGGTTCAGTTGGATCCAATTATACTCGACTTCAATATATCCCATATAGTGTTAGTAGAACCACGGTATGCTGGAAATGCAGTATACCTCCAGCGCATAGCGAGCAAGCCTCCCAAACACCACTGGAAACACTCAATTTCATTTGCCAACTTCCTGCATTTGGACTCGCAGCAGGACGATAGCATAACCAATTTTATTTTGAGGCCTGATTTTATGAATCCCAACCAGAGTGTTCTAACAGGATATGACTGGGATGCCTACTGCAGATTTACAGACACTGCAACATCAATTTAGAATGGTACGGTCAAACAAAAATGATTTTAATACTCGCTAAGCATACATTGTCTAACAGACCGTGCAGCTCCATTATAATATCCTTCATTATAGTCCTGATTAATTGAGAACACAAATGGGATGAGGACCCCATTCAGTATAGACGAGAGCAGCCGGCTGCCTCCCGCACTATAAAAGGATGATATCTAGGTTATTGGGTACGACCAACTGCACACTCTGTGTGAATAATAGCCAGTGTAAGAACCAAGCTAGCCGCCTGCGGACATTTACAGTGAAATCGAGCATACTGGCTTCACTATAACTTCAGTCACTTTACAGTTATGTCCTTACATCCTTTTTTTTGGGTGGGGGGGGAAGTTGTTGCATCTCAAGTTACAAAAATTTAAACCTTTTTAATTAAAAAATCCGACTGCTCAAGATTAGTTTTTGTAAAGAAGTGGAAAAGTTGTTACCAAATCTCAAGAAAAAAATGTTAAACTTTTTTTAATAAAAAAAATTCTCTAAAATCAGGTGTGCAACAGGATTAATAGGATTTTGCATGCAGCCACGCTTAGCAAATCCTCAAAGGTACCATTCCTCTGACAGCACGTTTTAGAGGCATGTGAAAAGAGGCAAGCTAATCTTCACAGAATGCACGAGTTAGATGATTATCAAAAAGCATCTCGCAGCTTTTTCAAATTAACCAGATTTATTTCTAAGTAAACCGGAATATTTTAAATAGGCTTACAATAGAAACAAATTGGGACTGGTGTCTTGTCCACAATAGATGTCGTTCAACGTTATCCAGCGTCCAAATTAAGTGGTCTCCACTGTGCTGTACACTTTACAAAAATACAACAAAACTTGAAAATTTTTAAAAAGTTCCAACAACCTGCAGTTGCATTTATTAAGATAAAGGCAAAACGCGTTGGTTGCCTCGGTAGTTATTTTTAAAAATAATTTAATGTTCAATTATTGTTATGATTTTCTCAATACTGCATACTAAGCACAGACCAGGATTCAAACCAATTAAACTCCTGGTCCGTAAGCTTCAATTGTATACACTGTACCATTGGGGCTTTCCTATAGGACTAAATAAAGTGAACTAAAAACAAAAAGAACTTTACGTTTATATCCTGGAGAACATCTCAAGGAAAAAGGAAAACAAATTAGAATTGTTCAATTTTCAACCATCAGTAACACCATATAAAATTGTCAGCACACATTAAAGATGAAAATTAAATTACCCAGCACTAAACAGAATGAAACAAATATTTAGAATATTCAATAATCATATGAACCAGCCCGATTTGTCATATTAGTATGGTCAGAAGGACCAATATTACCTCTCCTTACCCAAATAAACTGGTACCACCCAGAATACCATTGCACAATACAAATTTACATTGATAGCATGCCTTCCATGGCACAAAGACACACCAAGCTTAACAATATCTTGGCATCCGAGATGGGTATGGAGGAGAAACATCACCAAATCCAGTCAAAGAGGTAGGTCTTGAGATGGACCTTGAACAAGGGGAACGAGGGAACGAGTTGGAGGGAATCCAGGATGGTGTCCAGGGTGTGGGGGAGCAGAAAGGCTGACAGATTCCAGCTTGGACCTGCGTGGCTGGGTTTCTCTACTGTAGCGCCTCAGCTACCAAACAGAGGCTCATGGTCCCATTGCACATTGAACCACCACTACTGCATAACCATTTATGTGATTTATAGGTGCACTGTACATATATAAGTGAGCAATCTATAGTATTAAAGTTGTAACTAATTGAGATGCTCAAAAGAACTCAAACAAAAGCAAAATTACAGTAGTTTATGGACATAATTGCAACACAAATTCTTTCCATCCTAACTCTAAACTGAATGTTGCCAGAGGTTATTAAAACCGCCAGGTAACGAGATTTCACACTCAGTCCCTGGAAGAGGATCCTGGCTTTGATTTAGCGAGTTTTAATACCTGAAGCTGAATACAAATTCAACCCAGTGAGAGGCTCGCAAGAAACAATCTCCTTTCACAGTTTAGTAACATAATTAAAATATGTGTTTCTCATTTCACAATGTTTTTAATGCTTAGAATTTTTTTAAAAAATATATAAAAAGAGCAGAATTAGAGTGGTTTAATTATTAAGCGCTCTGAGATGCTGCCCTGTGTGGAGGACACTACATGCAAATCATAATTCAAATTACTATTATTCTCAGTTATATATATAATAATGTATATAATACATATGATGAGTTTCCGCAGTAGTTGTGTAGTAGTTCAATGTGCAGTGGGATAAAACTGATGAAAGAATAAGTGTCTGGGGAAACTTACTATATATGTATATAATAATAATAATAATCCTTGCATTTGATATAGCGCTTTTCACGTCAGGAGAACGTCCCAAAGCGCTTCACAGAACACAATGTAAAGTGAATTGACTGTATATTTGTGGGCAAACGCGGCAGCCAATTGCGCACAGCAATGTCCCACAAACAGTCGTAGATTGAAAATGACCAATTTATTATTGTTTTTGGTTTTTGGAGGGATTATTATTAGGCGTGTGGAGTATATATATATATATGTTATATCAAATGCAAGGATTATTAATATTAATATTAATATTATTTATCCATGTAATATCCTGCTGAATCCACCAACACGGCAGTTAAAGTTAAAGTTGAAACTCCAGCGTAAAGTTTCCACCGTGTTCACCACACCCTTGAATAAAGAAGTTACGCACAAAATTCCCTGCAAACTCTTTCACTCGAATTTACGTTTAAAACCTGAAATATTTATAAACGTAAATTCACTAACAAGTCCTGGGGTCTTTGTAGCTCAGTGGTTGGACCACTCGCCTCACAAGCGAGAGACCTGGGTTCGAATCCCGGAACAAGTGTCCTCACTCCAAATGCCTGATAATAATCTTGAGAAAGAAATAAAATAATAAGTGGCTCGCTCAATCCACCACTGATCGTGGGCCGTTGCGGTGCGCAGTTGGCTGTCGCGTTTCACCCACAGAAATATACAGTCTATCCTGTGAAGCGCTTGGAGACGTCTCAAAGACGCGAGAAGGCGCTCTAATCAAATGTAAGGATTATTATTATTATTATTATTATCAGAACAAAATTGTCCACCAAACAATTACATGCAAACCTGTGCTTCTATCCTGTTTGCCCGACAACCCGGTCCCTCCCTCCAGGATCCAGAGAGGAGCAATTCTTACATATAAACTATATCATTGAGGGAGACAGTGCACTGTGAACCTCGCGGGGGGGGAGGGGGGGGGGGGGGGCGTCCCGAGAGGCCCGGGCCTGAGCCGCACCACAGCCTCTCCCTCTCCCGCCGGGATGGCTCCCCGTTTACAGCAAAGCAGCTGCCGCAATACAGTCAGTCAGTGGGTTCGTTAGTTGGTTAGTTAGTCAGTTAACTCACTCACCGCTGCTGGTAAAGTAGTAAACCATAATGGCGGCGGCGGCGGCGGCCGTTGGTCTGAGCCGCTTGAACCCCGCACGAGCGGCCCACACTGACACGCTCACTGCGCACGCGCAACTCCCCTCTCCCCCCCCCCCCCTACACTCGCGTGCACTCAACCGCCGCCGCATCTCACTGCGCACGCGCCGACCTCACTCACTCTCACTCACTCGCCACCGGGGGCTCAGGTCGGTGCGGGTCCTCCCGTCCCTTCTCTCCGCGTCGAATGGGTCACTTCACACCCGAATGGGTTTCCTCTTCCTCTCGAGGGCAGTCAGGAGCACAGGCAGCGGGTGTTTCTGTCCTGCACTCGTGTGAAGCCTGGAGGACAGGCCGGGGAGGGGCGGGGGGACTGAATGTGAAACCGCTCACCCCTGAAAATGTGGAGGAGCTGAGGAAGGAGCGCCCTGTGGGTGCCAAACCCCTGGGGTCTGGTGGGACACGGTCAAACCCCGGGCTGGGCAGTGCTTCGCCAGACACGGGCACGTGCCGCGACTCCAGACGAGACTACAGGGGGCCTCCTCCCTTCCGGCAGCGCCCTTCCGAGGGTGACCGTGTCAAGAGAGGAAGCTCGAGGAGGTGAGGGGTCAACGGGCCTCGCTGCCTGCCCCTGAGGCGTCCAAAGCTATCGTCCGTTCCAGGGTCCCCTCGGCCGAGCAGCCTGAGACGTGCTCGCGCTTCTTTCAGGAAGAGGACGGAGGCAGCTCTGTGATGGTTGGGCCGAGGGGATGAGACAGGCTCCGCACGCGCGGCGCAGGCGGACACACAACGGATCACGAGATGCTATTATTATGCCGACCTGTACCGCCAGAAGCCCACGGAGAGCATGACCTCCCACGGCTTCCGGTCGGCCATCACCGAGGTGTCCGGACGAGGGGAGTTGGCAGCACCTAGAATGCCCGCTCTCTCGATGAGCTGACCAGAGCAGTCAAAGCTCTCCAGACCGGTAAGATCCCCGGGGGCGATGGCCTCCCAGTGGAGCTCTACTCAGCCCTATGGGACATAATAGGCGCGGACCTGCTGGGAGCGTACAATAATACGCTACTGACAGGGAGCATGGCAGACTCCATGAGAGAAGGCATGGTCACCATCTTCCACAAGCAGAAGGGGGAAAAGGAGGAGATTAAGAACTGGCAGCCAATTACACTGCTCAATGTAGATTACAAGATCCTCGCCAAGGTCATTTCTGAGTGGATCTAGACTGTACGCCAGGGGGTGATCCACCCTGACCAAACCTGCACCGTTCCAGACCGAAGGATCTCGGATAGCCTTGCGCTACTCATCCTCATCTCAAATGCCAACTGCGAGGCAATGCTGGACATCCTCGAATCCAAACTCGAGGAAATCTGCCATTCCATCTGCTATCCCCTCCCCATCTTCTGCCTTGCCCCCTCCCTTGCCTCCTTCAAGACCCATCTCAAGACCCTCCTCTTTGACTGTGCTTTCGATCTACCTGCTTCCGCACCTGCTCTCCACACTCCCCGACCCCCAGCTCTGGTCCGAAACTCTGTCTGTCCAGCACCTTGGACGTCCTCCCGACGTGAAAGGCGCTATACAAATGTAATTTTGTTGTTGCACTCAGAGATATCATCTCCTTCGTGCAGGAAAGGGTGATGGAAGTTTGCCTGATCAGTCCTGATCAAGTGGGTTTTATTCTATTCATTGCCCCGAACCCAACATGTGGCACCCCAGATGGGACCCAAAGCAAAAACCAAAGTTCACAATTAAGTTTAAGGGTTCAGAGATAAGTTAAGAGTTAAGTAAAAACCTTAAGTTGAGTTAAAATTGAAATTACGTTAAGAAACTGTTTGACTAAGGTTGTACCATGATTGATAGGGAAACGACGTTAGAAGCATGGTTGGATAATTTTGCCGTCACGCATCTTTGAGATGTCTCAAAGCACTTCACAGAATATACTGTAGAAGTGAATTGATTGTATATATTGTGGGTGAAACGCCCAGCCAATTGCACACAGCAATTATAATAATAATAATTATAATAATACTTAGCACTCTTTCGAACATTAAAGTAGAGTCTTACCATTATAAAATAAGAAGGGAGAATGTGGCTGAATCAAATCAGAGAATTTACACGTTTACATTTGAACTTACGGATCGGGTCTGACACTCTGTTAGGAGCAGCAGCTCCTGTTCCTTTGCCTGTCGCTCCTGCGATGATTCCTTTAAATCATGTCCCGGGATTACAAAATGTAGCATCTGGAGCTGGGACATTTGCCCTGAGAAATAATCGCTGTTCACACATTTGAAGTGTGTGCACAGTGCTTGTCAATCATATGACATTCAAGAAGAAATAGAGATAGGCTTAGAATTCTCCAAATGACGCTGCCATTAACCCTTTGACATCAGTTACCTATCTCTCTGGTGATTATAATTATCAAAACGTGTTTGCGGAATTACAAAAGCTTTGTAACTCAGGCTCTAACAGTACTGCTCTGGCTGTACAGACCAGATAGGAATTTAATGAGTATCCCCAATGTTTTTTGGGAGAGATTCGCTGATGTGTACATCTCTGGGAATACTGGACATGACTCAGGATCCTCATTTTAAGGGTTTGTTTTTAAATAATTTAAGTGCACCTATTAAAGCATCACCAGAGTCTTAAGGTTAGACAAAGAAGAGAGAAAACATGTTAAAGGGGCAAACCAATATGATATGGTGCCTTTCCTCCCTGTAAATCGGTCAAAGAAGTAGTTAGATCAGGCTCAGCGAGGTAATGAGATCTGGAGTAGACTAAAGAACGGGAACAATTTCAAAATGTTAATAATGAGAAATTAGAAACCACGGCAACGGTATCGAGATTTTGACACGAGGGATAATAATCTTGATTCTCAGAAGCTGATCAATGATGATAGCCATCCGTTTGAATCACAGTCACGACAGAGACCTTACGGTCGAGGTAGAGGAGGTCCTTTTAGAGGCGACGATGTGTTCTCTAATGGACTGTGATGATGAGAAAAATCCCTCCATTATACAACTCCTCGTACAGTTTGAGCTGCATTTTGCGACGTCGAAAACCTATTGTGGTGATGCGTCTTTATTTGAAATTGGGATTGATAGTGAGGACCCTAACCCTACTGCTCAATACCATCTCCCCAGGGAGGCTGAGGGTCCTATCCAGGAAATCTTAAGATCACTGATAAAACAAAGCTTGGTGCGACCTTGTCACTCCAGCACTTTGGGATGTCCTCCCAACGTGAAAGGCGCTCTATAAATGTAATTTTGTTGTTGTTGTAACAATTCATTCTGGTCGATAAAAAANTCAAATGGGTCCTGGCGTCTTACGATTGATTTTAGAAAATTAAATGAATGCACTCCTGCATGGGTCTCTCCTGTGGCATCTATGCCGGATGTCATTTCTCAATTCCCTCCAGGAGCAAAGGTTTTCTCCTCATTAGATGTGTCAAATGGATTTTGGGCACTCCCGGTTCACCCTGATTCTCAGTACAAACTGTTTTTCACTTTCAAAGGTCGTCAGTTTTCATGGAACAGAACGCCCCAGGGATTTCACAATTCACCAGCAAGATTTCATGGATTTATGAAAAATGTTCTGGATCCTCTACATTTAGAACAAAATGTTTTGTTGGATGTGGATGATATTTTGGTAGCTACACCTGAGGAGCCATTGCACTTTCAGGTGTTAAAACCATAGTTTGAAGCACTGCTCGCAGCAGGAGCTCAGTTGACAAAGGCACAATTGGTTAAAGAGTCAGTGTCCGTTTTGGGTCACAAAGTAGACCCTTTGGGTGGATCACTCCTTTCCACAACCTATGTGCAGTAAAGAAATGTACCGTAAACAACTGAATGTTTTTTTGTATCAGGAGGAAGGGAAAAATTGTAACAGAAGATGTGTTTGTTTTGGATTTCTGTTGTACTAAATATTATATTTATAAATAAATGTATATTTTCAAAAAAACAAAAAAACGATCACCCCTTTCCAGTTGAGTGATTTCAGCGTTTCCAGAAGCTGTAGATTTGAGAGCTTTTCTCTTTTTTTTAGGATTGGTGGGATTTTCTCAGCAGTTTATCCCAAATTTTGCCGAGAAAGCAAGATTACTGTACAAACTGCTGAGAAAGGACACCTTGTGGGAATGGACTGAAGAACAGTCTGGAGCTGTAGGGCAGTTAAAGGAGCCTCTGATGACTGCCCCAACCTGACAAATCCAGATCCTTCTCAGCCATTTCACCTCGAGGTATCCTGCGCGGACACAGCTATGTCCACAGCTTTGTCACAGACAATACATGGTCAAAGGCTGGTAATTGCGCACGCCAACAGGCTGCTGACACCGGAAAATAAATTTAACGTGTGAGAAACACCTTCTCGCTATGGTGTGGGCGATAAAACATTTTACTGCCATTACGGATTTTAATACTATTTTGTTTCATTCATCTCACCAGCCCACATTGCTTCTGAATTCCCCCAGATTGAAAGATGGATCTGTGTCGAACACTCGCCTGTGTTCATGGACACTGCTGTTACAGGATCGGCACATAGAAATGGTCAAGGAGCAATCATTATCGGTGACCCCAGCAATACCTCCAACAGCACATCATTGTTGCACTGACACACCCCCAGAGGTGGAAAGTTCTCTTCCCACAGTAAAATTTCAGGTGTGGAAGGAGACCGTTCTTGCCTATCCTGTGGCTTACACAGATGGCGCTTCTTTTCATGAAGCAGGTACCCCACATACAGGCATGGGAATCGTAATTTTTGAGGGACAAGGCCAATCAAAAACTTAATGAATTTGCATTAAAAATTAATTTGGCCCTGTACGCAGAGGTAGCTGCTGTAGCTATAATGTTGGGAGATATGGTTGCCAAGGCAACAACCAGAATTCCTATCTTGTACAATAGCTGCAGACTCAGCTTTCCTTGCAAATGCTCTGGCTGAATGTTTGCCTTGCTGACTTAATTCTAATTTTACAGCAAGAAGATGGGAAATGGATAAAATATGCGCTGTTGTTTGAATACATTCACTTTCCGGCAAATAAATTTCCATGCCCAATTTTTTGTCGAAAAGGTTAGTGTTTTTGAAATTGTAAGAAAAGGTCGCCAAAAAACCTTTTGCAGGTTTAAAATAATTTTTTTTCTTAAATTAGGTACATACCTAAAGCTGTTTCTTCCGCGCAAAGTGCAACAAAAACAAACACTACCAGGGCGAAACATTGGGCAAGTTTCCTTACTCCACACGCCTGTTTACCTAGCAGTAAGTAGGAACGCGGGTTGTTAGTCGATTGGCAGATTGCTTTTCCGGGGATAATAATTCCTTCAAAAAAAGATTGGTCACTCAATCCATGGCTTGTTTGTGGGACACTGCTGTGCGCAATTGGCTACTGCTTTTCGCCCACAAATTATAAAGTCAATTCACTTTGCAGTATATTCTGCGAAGCGCTTTGAGACATCTAGGAGGCATGATAAGGCGCTATATTAAATGCAAGGATTATTATTATTATTAATAAGCTTGAAGCAGCCCAATCTGGCCACATTGCCAAAGGATCTGGCCAAAGGAGCCCTGTAGCTAAGTAGTGGTTACAGCACTCGCCTCGCAAGTGAGTAAACCTGGGTTTGATTCCTGACAGGACGAAACCTTGGGCATTTTTCCATATTCCACACGCCTGATAATAATCCCTCAAGAAAAAAAAATTTGGTCACTCAATCCGCGACTGTTTGTGGGACACTGCTGTGCGCAATTGGCTGCTGCGTTTCGCCCACAAATATAGTCAATTCACTTCAGTCCATTCTGTGATGCGCTTTGAGACGTCGAGAAGACGTGAACAGCGCTACATCAAATGCAAGGATCAATATTATTTTATCGATTCGGGTCCTGGACGGAGGGTCGTGGACCCGAAACATTGACTCACTTTCCTCCATGGATGCTGCCTGACCTGCTGACTGTTCCCAGCGACTTATGTTTTTTGTTTCGGATTTCCAGCCTCTGCAGCATTTTGTTATTATTATTATTGTGGAGTCCTGTAGCTCAGTGGTTAGAGCACTCGCTTTGCAAGTGAGAGACCTGAGTTCAATTCCAGACAGAGGGTGAAACCTTGGGCAAGTTTCCTTACTCCACACAGAGCCTAATAACAATCCCTCCAAAACAAAAAACAATAATAAATTGATCCTTTTCAATCCACGACTGTTTGTGGGACATTGCTGTGCGCAATTGGCTGCCGCGTTCGCCCACAAATATAGTCAATTCACTTTACAGTGTGTTCTGTGAAGCGCTTTGGGACGTCCTCCTGACGTGAAAAGCGCTATATCAAATGCAAGGATTATTATTATTATTACTATTATTGTTGTTGTTGTTGTTGTTGTTGTTGCTATTGCCTGTTGGCGCTCCGATGGCCGCCCACGTCAATCACAGGAGCATATTCAAATGAGAGGCGGCGGGGCGGGACGCGGGCTGCCCGCCGGCCCCCATTGGTGGCTTAGCGCTGGGGGGGGCGGGGCTGTGTGCAGCCGTGTTAACCAATGGGGATCGCGGACGGAGCGGAAGTGGCCGTTGCTGGGCAGAAGGCGCGGGAATTGAATGCAGCGGAAAGGGGTCTGAAAGCCGGAGCGCGGGATCGGGCGGTCAGAGAGGTCTGTGGCTCTCATTATTGTCGGTAACAGCGTATTACCGCGTGTGATTATTTGTGTCTTTCTGGACTCACTCCTTCACTTCTGTGAGGAATGAAATGCCCTGAGGGTGTGGGGGGGGATTCAGAGGGAGGGTTACCTTTGGGGACAGCGCGGAGCAGGTTGTCAGGCGCTGCCCCCACCCCCCACCCCCACACTCCGGCTGCTCCTTTTCGGCGCGTAAATGGTGAGAGTGAGAGTGAGGGTGAGAGCGGGGCCTGGGCCGGGCCTGGGTGTGAGGAGGTGGGCAGCCGAAGCCCTGTGTGGCCGCTCAGGTGACGGTATAGATCTAAGTTTAGTCAGGGAGAGGAGTCTCCCCACCCCCCCCCCCCCCCCCCATCCCCATCCCACCCATGTTCCTGCCAATAATCCTCCACGATGAAATTGGTTATTTATTCCCTTCCCGACTGATTGTGGGACATTATCTCCAAAATAGTCACTACACTTTACAGTAAAATGTATGAAAAGCCTTGAAAACTGACAAAGATTCGAATTTCTGTGCGTTGCCGCCGTGTCCGGTCAGTCTCCTGTGCGCTGTGCTGGTGTGGCCTCCAATAGTACTAATCGTGTTTTGTGGTTACATTTTTTTTTACAGTTTTGAAGAAGTAAAAATGTCTATTGCAATCACTCCAATAAAGAGGAAACGTCTGTCCACTGGGGATGACCGGTAAGTTGTGAGATTTTTGCAGCATATGAAATTATCCGATTAATACGGACTGGATAAATATCAGCATTTTACTGGTTACTGTATTGTGTGGTATGCACTGAAACTTGACTGGAGATATTTACAATAGGATATAAATTTTCAGATGCCAATTGTCTGTATTTTTGTTGATCCGCTCTGCAATTAAGAGCAAGGGTATCATTCCCAGAGCGATTTTTTTTGGTCAGGATGTCGGACATGTATGGAAAACGATCGCCATGCTTAAGAGCCTCTAAACCGAACTGAGAAATCCGTGCTGTCTACATACATATAAAAATTCACATGTATTGGAATGGAATGCACACACTCTCCCTGGATGTGGCATATCCTGCTTATGAAGATCCGGATGTTATTAGGTGTAGGTTGGGTATCCCAGAATATGCATTGGGGTACTATTGGAGTCCAGCCAACTATCTGACAGGCGTTCCTGCTACTTTTCCAGCTAGGTCCACCTTTCCTGTTAGGGCTTTGGCTTGTAGAGTCACCAGGAGTAGATTGGGAAGAATTCCTGTCCCCAGTGGCTGGTCTGATCCTCTAAGACTACCAATGAGCCAGGCTGACCGTGCTGTCATCAGCAGACGTCGGATTCGGCCCACAGCTGTCCTTTCTTCCCCACATCAGATCCTTGACCAGGACCGCCTTCCTCCCCATCCGCCACATTGCCTGCCTCCGACCGTACCTTACCCATGACACAGTCAAAACATTCATCCATGCGTGGTCACCTCCTGCCTCGATTATTCAAATACTGGTCTCCCCAGCTCCACCATATACAAAATCCAGCTAATCCAAAACTCTGCTGTCCATTTACTCGCTTGTACTAAACTCTGTACCCCCATCACACCAGTTCTAGCCAATGTCCACTGGCTCCCTATCGCTGAACGGATCGATTTCAAGATCTTCACACTGGTTTTCAAATCCCTTCATGCCCTGGCAATTCCCACCTCTCCCACCTGCTTACTCCCCTGCCTGCTGCCTCCGCTCGGCTGGCTCCGGCCTCCTGCATGTCCCTCATGCCCTCAGTTCCACCGTCTGTGGCCACACTTTCAGCCACTATGCCCCGAAATTCTGGAACAGTCTGCCTTGTCCCTTCCTTCCCCATCTTCAGATCATGCTTGAAGACCTCCCACTTCGACCTTCCATCCGTCTGGGCATCGTGTTCCACCACTATCAAGTCCTCTGAGACTATCCGACGTGAGCGGCGTTATATAAATGCAAGTTGTTGTTCTGGTGGGGGGTGGAAATTTCATTTGAAAGATGGAATTTTTTTATCCGAGTCTGTGTATGGGTGTTCATAAAATATTTATTTCATATCAAATTTACTTTACACACAATAAACCTTCAAGATAACTGTTGCTCTATACAGTTGTTTCACTGTTCAATTTTTCTGTTCCTAACAGTGCGGATTATACCCCTATCTTCACTGGTGGACTAATATCAGAAACTCCATCAAAGCAAAGAATCCTCAACTTTGATGAAGTTGCCTCTCGTTCGACGAAAAAGCGGTCTCCTGAATTTAGAAGCTTGCCGCTGTTAAGTCAATTTCAAAAGAAATATAATCCTAATAAAGAAAATCAACAAGGCTCTCCTAACAAACCCTCTGTATCCACAAAGTCTTTCTACAGCAAGACTAAGCAACTGTACCTCACTCCTCTTGAGAGGAAGTTGATCAATCTGAGTAAGCCTGCTACACGTGGTGATCTGAATGTAGATGAGCCAAATAAACTGAAAAAAGCTAAATCTCCATTGAATAAACAAATTAAAAGAAAGATAAACCATAAGACTAGAGCTTCACTGGATTCAAAAAATACACCAATAGATCAAAGCAGTGTTGAAGATGAATTGAATGATCCGGAAAGTGCAAAGCCTAAAGTAAATAATAAAGTTGAAAGAAATATGAACTTGTCAAATGGTCCTCATTCTAAAGCTTTGTTGGATTCAGAAATTCCTCATTGGTTGTCAACCATTTGGAACAGTGATGAAGATGAGGTGAATGAACTGGAAAATGCAGAACCTCGAATGAATAAGAAAGTTGAAAGGAAAGTAAACCAATCCAGTGGCCATGTTACAGCTTCATTGGATTCAAAAACGTCACCAACAAATCAAAGCAAAGATGGTTGTATCAACACCACCACAAAACTGGCTTTGAAAGAAGATATTTGTGATAAACCTCCTGCCAAGATGTTTCTTTATAGTTCAAAAGTAAATGGCGTTAAGGTACAGCAGAGATTCCGAATCCAAATGGGTGCCGCTTACTTTTCCACAGGGAGAAGATCCCATCTTTTTTCTTCAAAAACAATGGCGGTCGAATCACTTTCAACACATTGCAGCACCCAGTTCGAACAAGCGACGAGCAAAACTCAAGGTGATCTTAATCTGAAGGAAGTGAAGAAGGAGGTTTCTCAAATAGTTAATCAAAGCATTGGGAAGCGTGATCTCAAAAACGTGTCAGAGGATACTCGCAAAATAGAGAAACTAGAAATTGGAAACATCAATGAAGATGCTGAGTCTCCGCCCTCCAGCTGGGTTAACTTCGTGATTAAAAGGGATGTAAAGTTAATACTTCAGAGAATTGAAGTGCTGCATTTTATTCATCCAGGATTGATCTCCAAGGAGGTAAAGTCATTGAAAGCGGAAGATTTGACAGAAACGGTGAGTAAGAATGAAAAAAATTACTATTCCCACCTCGCCCATTTCATTCCCATCTAGATGCAATGTTTTTAGTTGTTTTTGTTCTGGTAGGTTATGTGCCATATACACTGTTCTGAAAAATCATAAATGGGGACTGGGAGAAAATGGATTTTGTGCTTCTTTGCCAGATAATTGCTTTTCTTTTTTTGAAAAAGGGAAGCCATATGATAATTTTCATCACATCACAAATCTTACCCATTCCCACATGAGTGCTGAGTGTGCCCCAGCTCAGGGCTTACACACGAGTGTGCAAGTCTTAGCATACACACGTACGCAAGTGCTAGAGACACAAAAATCATACAATATAACCAAAAGAATACAATATCGGTTTTCAGTAGCCCTGGTTAGCTTAAAAAAAAGGCTAACTTCTGGTTTGTTGGGTTAACTGCTGATGTCTCTTCCTGTGTATACAGACAACGCGCAGGTAGTAATGTCAGTGGTGACCTAATGACCTGAAAGTTGGCCCTTTTTTTGGACTTCATTTAGAATGTAGAATTTAAGAGATTGGACCCACACAACCATAGCCAACTTGTTCTGTGTATACTATATTATATACTGTGTGCCTAAATAGAGACAGGTACACATTTTTAAAAAAGTGTGTTTTAATGGGCACGTAATTCATGACTTCACTTAATTGTGGTTTCTTAACCAGTTCTTGAAGTTATAATAATAATAATAATCCTTGCATTTGATATAGCGCTTTTCACGTCGGTAGGACGTCCCAAAGCGCTTCACAGAACACACTGTAAAGTGAATTGACTGTATATTTGTGGGCGAACGCGGCAGCCAATTGCGCACAGCAATGTCCCACAAACAGTCATGGATTGAAAATGACCAATTTATTATTATTGTTTTTGGTTTTTGGAGGGATTATTATTAGGTGTGTGGAGTAAGGAAACTTGCCCAAGGTTTCGCCCTGCCTGGAATTGAACTCAGGTCTCTCACTTGCAAAGCGAGTGCTCTAACCACTGAGCTACAGGACTCCACATGTTATGATTTTATAAAATACACGGGGTTTTTTTGTAATGGTAATAATGCTAATTTAAAATGTCAGATAAAAAGACGATTAATAGTCATGACGCACATCAAAAAGATATACTAAAGATCCATAATTGGCATGGTATTGCATATGAAGTGCAATACTTGCTGTACTTTTCAGTGGTAGAACAGTTGAACAGTGTTGCATGGAAACCACTCTTACTTTTTATGTTATTCTTTTGTTCATTTTGAAGCTACAGTTTTAAGCATTTTTCATGTTTATGGAGTGAAAGATGGGGAAAAATATTTATTAAATTGCTTGATAATTGAACTCTGGTATAAATGAACAGGGCACATATTACCCCATAGTCCATTATTTTCTTGCGAGCCTCTCACTGGGTTGAATTTTTATTCAGTTTCAGGTACTCAAACTCGCGAGAATAAAGCCAGGCTCCTCTTCCAGGGACTGAGTGTGAAGTCTCGTTAACTGGCGCTTTCAATAACCTCTAACAACATTCAGCTTAGAATTGGAATGGACAGAAATTTCCATGAACCAATGGATCTTCTGAACTCATCAGTTTAAATGTTAACCATCCAAACAGCTACATCTCTAGAATTTTTTGCATGGCTACAATTAAATAGTAAACAACAACAAGATTACATTTGTACAGCGCCTTTCACGTTGGGAGGACGTCCCAAGGTGCTGGACAGTGTACAGCCTTTCAGACCCGAGCTGGGGCCAGGGCGGGAGGGGTTGGCCGATGGCACGGTCGAAGAGGAGGGTCTTGAGTCGGGACTTGAAGGAAACTAAGGAGGGGGTGAGGCGGAGTGATTGGGGGATGGAATTCCAGAGGTTGGGGGCAGAGTGGCTGAAGGCTCTCCAGGCAATGGTGGGGCGGGTGGGTCGGGGGGTGTGGAGCAGGCCAGAGCCGGCTGAGCGGAGGGAACGGGCGGGTTGGTAGGGGGTTTGGAGGTTGCAGAGGTAGGGTGGGGTGAGGCCATGGAGGGCTTTGTAGGTGAGGACCAGGATCTTGAACTGGATCCTCTGAAGGATAGGGAGCCAGTGGAGTCGGGGGAGGTGGGGTCACGGAGTTTGGTGCGTGATTGACACTTAAAATGTTGAAGAAACTAGTTTCAGCCATATTTGTTTCTCTGAGCTGCCGGCAAGTCATTTTATTGAGGGCACGAATGTACGTTGTTGCTCTGAGAAAATATTGAGCTGGACAAGTACAGCCAGATTAATCTTTTAAAATCCAGAACTTTGATCAGCTCAAAAACTATCCTTTAGCAGCCAGTTTGCAGCCTATTGGAGGCCCATTTTTGACAATCTGGTTACTGTCTCAATGTTTATAGAAGAGAACTGGTTACCTGCACTAGATAATCTGGATTAGCTAAATAGCGGATAAACAAACTGTGGATAATTGGACAAGGCACAAAACACAAATTGGTTATAACAGCAGCTTAAAAAATATTATATCATGAGTTATTCTATCATCAATACACGATGTGCCAACCTTTCTCTCTCTTTCCCTATCTGCTGCTCTTAGTTTTCTCTCACTGCTTGACTTGTCACTTCCCCCCACCCCCGAGTCTTTTTCCCTTTCTCCCACTCCACCACTGCTTCTCTCTGTCTGTCTGTCTGTCTCTGCCTCTCTACACTGTTCAAAAGTACTGTAAAAGATATCTTCACTACACAAAAAAAACTGTTGTATACATGTGTACATGAGTGAATTTATGGCATTCTCTACCCCAGGAGGCTGTGGATGCTCAGTCATTGAACATATTCAAGATTGAGATCGATAGATTTTTGAAAACTAAAGGGATTAAGGGATATGGGGAAAGGGCGGGTAAATGGAATTAGGTTAGAAGATCAGCCATGATCTTATTAAATGGCGGGGCACGCTCGAGGGGCTGAATGGCCTACTCCTCCTATTTCTTATGTTCTTACTGAGAGCACGAGTTTCATTCTTAGAAACCTTTTCCGCGCATGAGCAACTTTGTGCATGATTTTTTTACTGCTTGTTGTGCAATCCCATGTTCAAAATTCACATCAGAGCTTGATGCGGATGTTTGGTTTGTGGAGAAGTGGCATTTTACTGATATGATATCCTTGAATTGTTTAATATCTGAGAAGGTGCCTTACTACAAAAAGGTACATTGGTAAATAGTGTTGATTATTCATTGTTGCAGTGGTTTGATCAGTTTCAGGATTCAGAGTCAAAACAGGATGAACAAGAAATATGGCGTGTTCAGGTAGGCTTCAGATAGAACTCATCTAGATAGTTTCACATACACATTTAAGTACTATTAACTACTAATTTGTCAATTTAATTTAGAGGTCAAATAGGTAAATAGTGTGGAAAGTGATGAGTGCTCACTACGGCATTAAAGAGTGTGTTGTATTAAACACACACACAGTCATAGATTGAGTGACCATTTTTTAAACTTTTTTTGAAGGGACTTTTACCCTCGGAAAGCGATCCACCAATTGACTAATGACCTAGTTCCTACTTACTGCTAGGTAAACCGACGAGTATGGAGTAAGGACGTTTGCTTAAGGTTACGGCCTACCTTGAAATTGAACCCAGGTCCTTTCGCTTGTGGAAAGAGTGCACTAACTACTTCGCTACAGGATTCCTGAATTGGCAGCATTTTGTTAAAATACAAGATCAACAACAACAACAAAATTACATTTGTATAACATCTTTCACGTCGGAATGACGCCCCAAGGCACTGTATGGTGCCAATTCAGCTTTGAAACCCCTGATATCTTGAGATTGAGAGGGTGTGTTAGCCACAAAAACAGTCTTTAAGTGCAATGTCTGTCTGTGTCACATCACTTAACAGATATTTCCTTCCATTATGTTACCAACACTAGCTCTTATAAGATAACATATTGGGAAAAGGATTTTTTGTTCAGTTTTGTGTAACTAGAAAACTGTATGGATATGAGGACTGATAACTGGGTGTGGAAACCTTGTTGAGATATAATGGTGTATTTAACAAAAAAGGCTGTTTGTTTTTAATGGAAAGTTTATAATTAAATGTGTTGCTATTTGTTTACCATTGTTTCATTGATCTTTGTTACATTTTCTCCTTATTAAGAGACACGATGTAGATGAATCTGATTTGGAGATGGAAGACGGGATTGATTCTGAGAAAAATGGAGGTACGGGTTTAATCTAAGCTGTGTTTGCAGTTACATAGAACAATTTACATTTCTAGAGTTTTTCACATTGGGAGGATGTCTCAAAGTGCTTAAAGTTTGCAGTATCCATTTGTTTATTCTGCATTTACTCTCAAGTGCAACAGACCCCAAATAGAATTGGGATTCAAGCATAATGCTACCAAAGTATATTCTAGGATTTTGATTGGGAATAAAGAGTTGGATGGGAGCTCTTATTGGGGAGCATGGCTCATGCAGTCTTGTGAAATAGCATCATGTCCTTTTTTTGTATATATATATATATTTATATTGGCATCCTGGGTCTGATTCTATAACTAAGAGCAAATATTTATAGCAAAATGTACATGTGTTCAAAATAAGAAATGGGAGGAAAATATATGGGATATGATTTATTCTGCAATACGTTTTAACATTTTTCTGTTTTCAAATTCTTTGCCAGATCATGAGGTGGAATGTATTAGGGAAATGCGAGAACTGGGAGGCAATAATAGTTTGTTAAACCATTAACCAAAATTAAAGAAAGTGGATCTATTATAATAAAGATTTCTAGATGAGTCTGTTCTAATACAACATGTACCACTAGACAGTGTTTTTATTTTAGAAATGCACAACAGCATGCTAGTGGAATCCAGTAGTCACATGTATTTCTTTTTTCCTTTTAGGCTCAGAACCAGTTTCTGCTGTCTACCCCATTTTTAGTAAAAGGTAATTGTCTCTAGTTATTGACTTGTAATTTTTGTTTCTTAATAATGGGTTAATTATTTTACATGTTTTAGTATATAATGAATATTAGCTGTTACTAGAAGTGCAAAAACTACTTTAGCTCAGATTTTCCAGTTGTATTATGAGCCATTTGTAAACTGAGGATATTACAGGGACCTTTATGTTATAATTAACTACCAATGAAAATTATTGTTTGCTTAATTAGTTAAATAACCTGTTTGGTTGTTAATTTCATAATCTGTAATTTCCTCTAGCCACATGACAAACATTGCAATCTGAGTACATGGTCAATGGGCTGAATTGCCCTCTCTTCCTAATTTTCTATCTTGCAAGATACTTGGGGAATAAATGTTAAATATTAAGGCAGATTGCTGAGAGCTGAGGTTTTATTTGGACCCTGTTATAACCTGGTGATTTGGCTCCATAAAATTAGGTTCTTGTTATAATGGATTGTACTTGCTTGCTGTGTGCAGGAAGTTCTTGTTATAATGGGTTTTGCTTGCTGTGTGCAGGAAGCTGTCTAAGCAGCATTACAAGTATGCTGAGGGTCCATAGTTAGTGCATATTACATACCAACTCGTGATATAACAAAGTATAAGCGTATGTGGATTATAGAATGGCCTGTGGCCGAGCAGACTTGATGCACTAAGTTGCTTTCTCCCGTTCCCAATTTTCTATATGCACACGGTAGAAAATAGGCTCCAATATATTAGTTACTGAACCACAAATAAGGTCTGAAAAGATGAATTTGTCTGGCTATTTGGCATGAAACTCCTTAATGAGGGTTTCCACTGCCATTGAACAGAGCTATTTTCTGAGCAGAACACAAGCAGAATCTGTGTTTTAGTTTCTAATACACACAATGGATGTCTCTTCAAGGGCAATATTGAAACTGTGCCATTCAGTTTCCCTTGACCATGTGCTTAATAAACACGTTTAAAATGTGCACGCTAGTTACCTTTCAATAACAAAGCCAAAAACTACTGCTGATTTATAAAAGGTTATGGAGGAAAGTGGGGGAATGATACAATTAGAAATAATCGCAAGCCAGCAATATTAACAAAACTAAAGGTGGCAGAACAGAATAGCGAGAGAGATAAACAGAATAGGTCAAAAAGGGGTAAGAAGCTCAGTAAAGAAGATAGGGCATCAGAGAGTAGGGGAAATGCTAGGAAATTAAAATGCACGAAGCATTCGGAATCAGATAGATGAATTAAAGGCACAGACAGATACAAACAGGTCCAGTAGCCATTACTGAGACATGGTTACATGGAGATCTAGGGTGGGAGTTAAATATTCCAGGGTTTTCAGCTTATAGGTAGGATAGACAATGTGGAAAACGAGGTGGGGGGTAGCCTTGTTAATAAAGGATGGAATAAAAACAGAAGAGAGGAAGGATTTCAAATCAGATAACCAAGATGTAGAGACGGTATGGGTAGAATTACGAAATAATAAGGAGCAGAAAATATTAGTGGGAGTAGGTTATAGACCCCCAAACAGTGATCACAGCATAGCGCAGGGTATTAATCAAGAAATTAGAGAAGCAAGTAGCAAAGGTAATACAGTAATAGTGGGTGATTTCAATCTTCACATAGATTGGGTAAACCAAATCGGCAAAAGTAGGGTAGAGGAGGAGTTTATAGAATGTATAAGAGAGAGCTTTCTGGAGCAGTAGCTGAGGAACCAACTAGGGACAGGCGTAACGAAACAGGGCTAGTCGGTAATATAGATATTAAGGCTCCTCTAAGGCAGAGTGATCATAACATGGTAGAATTTAGTATTAAGTTAGAGAGCGATGTCGTCAAATCCGAAGCAAGAGTCTTAAATTTAAATAAAGCTAACTTTGCAGGTATGAGCGAAGAATTGGCTAAAATAGACCGGGGAATTAGATTAATGGATATGACAATAGATCAACAGTGGCAAAGATTTAAAGATGTAGTGCATAATTCTCAGCGGTCACATATTCCCTTGAGGAATAAGAGTACCACAGGGAAAACAGTTCATCCGAAGCTAACTAGAGCAGTTAGAGAAAGTATAAAAGTAAAAAAAAAGACCTATAAAGCTGCCAAAAAGAGTAGCAAACCTGAGGACTGGGGGTGTTTTAGGGACCAACAAAGGAAAACCAAAAAGCTCATTAAGAGTGAGAAAATGGATTATGAGGGCAAGCTAGGATCATTACGACAGATTGTAAGAGTTTTTATAAATACAATAAGAAGAATAGGCTAGCAAAAGTAAGTATGGGTCCATTACAGGCAGAGACAGGAGGAATTATAGTGGGGGATAAGGATATGGCAGAATCCCTAAATAAATACTTCGCTTCTGTCTTCATGTTAGAAGACACAAGAAGTTTACCAGAAATAGAGATGAACCAAGGGGCTAATGATAGGGAGCAACTTAGGGAAATTTACATTCGCAAAGAATTCGCGCTAGAGAAATTGTTGGCATTAAAAAGTGACAAGTCCCCTGGACCTGATGGTTTGTATCCTAGGGTTTTAAAAGAGGTAGCTCATGAGACAGTGGAGGCCTTGTGTTTGATCTTCCAAAATTCTTTGGATTCTGGAACGGTTTTCATTGATTGGAAGATCGCAAACGTCACACCACTATTTAAGAAGGATGGGAGAGAAGCGATGGGGAACTATAGACCATCTGTCTGACATCGGTGGTAGGAAAAATTCTAGAATCCTTAATTAAGGATGTCGTAGTGGGATACTTAGAGGATCACAATATGATTAGACAGAGTCAACATGGCTTTACAAAAGGGAAGTCATGCTTAACAAATCTTTTAGATTTTTTTGAGGACATATCAAGTAGCTTAGATAGGGCGGAATCAGTGGATGTAGTGTATTTAGATTTCCAAAAGGCATTCGATAAGGTGCTGCATAAAAGGTTTATCCACAAGATTAGGGCCCATGGAATTAAGGGGATTATATTAGCATGGATTGAAGAGTGGCTAACGGGAAGAAAACAAAGAGTAGGGATAAACGGGTCCTTCTCAGATTGGCGGGATGTGACTTTTCTCTTTGACCGTGCCTTCAGCTCCCCTCTCGACTACCCCCTCCTCGCTCCCTTCCCTCTCCTCACCCTAACCATTTCCCCCCTGCTCGGGTCCTGACCCAACTGTACAGCGCCTTGGGACGTCCTCCCGACGTGAAAGGCGCTCAATAAATGGAATCTTGTTGTTGTTGTAGTGGAGTACCACAAGGATCAGTGCTTGGGCCTCAGCTGTTTGCAATCTACATCAACAATCTAGATGAGGACATCGAACTTAATATATCCAAATTCGAGGATGACACTAAACTAGGAGGGAGAGTAAACACAGAGGATGACATTAAAAAAATGCAACGAGATATAGATAGGGTAGATGAGTGTGTAAATAGGTGGCAGATTAAGTATAATGTAGGGAAGTGTGAAGTCATTCACTTAGGTGGCAAAAACAGTAGAGCAGATTATTTTTTAGAAGGGGAGAGACTAGATAGTGATAGCGTTCAGAGGGATTTGGGTGTCCTTGTACACCAGTCACAAAAAGCTAGTTTGCAGGTACAGCAAGCAATTAGGAAGGCTAACGGTATGTTGGCATTTGTTACAAAAGGGTTAGAATATAAGAGTAGGGAAGTCTTACTGCAACTGTCTAGGGCCCTGGTGAGACCGCACCTAGAGTATTGTGTGCAGTTTTGGTCTCCTTATTTAAGAAAGGATGTACTCACCTTGGAGGGGGTACAATGTAGATTCACTTGGTTGGTACCAGGGATGAGGGGGATGAATTATGAGGATAAGTTGAGCAATTTAAGCCTATATTCTCTAGAATATAGAAGAATGAGAGGTGATCTTATGGAAACCTATAAGGTTATTAAGGGGCACGATAGAATAGATAGTGGGAGACTTTTTCCCCTGTTTGGAGAAACTATAACCAGGGGTCACAGTCTTAAAATTAGGGGTAAGCCTTTTCACGCTGAGTTGAGGAAAAACTTCTTCACTCAGAGGGTAGTGAATTTATGGAATTCTCTACCCCAAAGGGCTGTAGATGCTCAGTCCTTGAACATATTCAAGACTGAGATTGATAGATTTCTTGTGGATGAAGGGATTAAGGGATATCGGGATAAGGCGGGTAGGTAGAGTTAGAATAGATCAGCCATGATCTTATTGAATGGCGGGGCAGGCTAGAGGGCTGAATGGCCTACTCCTGCTCCTAATTCTTAAGTTCTTACGTAAAAGGCTGAACATTTAATGGACTCCTATTTCAGAGAGTGAGCACAGACTCGAGCCGAATGAATGTCCTATACACTGTAAATTTCTGTGGTGCTATTTTGTACAATTGTCTTCATCACAGTTTTTTCTCTGATGTAGGCATCAGCTGCCGAAGGATGATGCCACTTCTGTTGGGTCCAAGACCCCGTTTGATACTGTTCCTGCAATACCGCATCCAGCATATCAACAGAAAAATAAAAGAAAGAAAGATATTGAGAGAGAATACAAAGATCAGCTCATAATTGTAAGCTTTAGTAAATTGTGGAAAGATAAACTATAAGGAAAAACAACATAATTTAAGACTAAACTAAGACTTGTAACCTATTCATAACTACAGCTGTTCAACTATGCCTTGGCCAAAAGGAAGAGAATGATTCGGTTCACACAATGATGATAATAATTGTTGGATTTGATGCAGCATTTTATCAGGTGATTGAAACGTCTCAAAGTGCTTCACTGGATTTATTGCGAAATGTAATGACTATTTGTAGGTGAACACAGCATTGTTATAACAGCTGTTGGTGGAACATTACTTGGGATAAATTGGCTACTACTTTACAAAATAAAATCCTGTGACGTGCTTTGAGAAATTTCAACAATGTAATCGGGTAGTGTATGAATTACAAGGATTATTATTAGATAATTATTGGTTTAGTGATTACTGTAGTCCTATCCATTTTCACATATTCTGGAGAGACAACTTAATTTTTCTGAAATTTTACAGGATGCCGGTCAGAAGCACTTTGGGGCTGTTGCCTGCAAATCCTGTGGTATGATTTATACAGCAGCCAATCCTGAGGATGAAATGCAGCACGTTCAACATCACCAGAGGTACCTGGAAAGGCTACGATATGTGGTATGTATGAAAGTGTCCCATGTTTATGTGACAGGTTTCTTTAGAATCAATGCTGTGTATATCCGATTTACTACTTAACTAAAAATATTTTTCAATATTCAACAATTCAGAAGTGCGGAGTAAAATAAACCATGTACCAGGTATCCTACAAGCTTTCAGGACAGTCTTTAATCTTTTTAAAAGTAAAAATGTGAATGAGAAGTGGTCCTCGGTCGGATTCTTTCTCTGAGCCTCACTCAGCTCTTATCACTTTCCTAAATATGTAAATGTAAGCATACTATTACGTTTAAAAGTGATTACATTAAGGAATGTGTGGAAGGCATTCTTTGCTTTTCTTGTAATCTGGGATCTTGGTCTTCTGCATTTCTATGAAGCAGTTGTTGGCAGTTTTGACATTTTGCTAGTTAGCATTTATTGCCAGAGCGATACTCAGAAGAATTGCTCACAAGTGAAAACAATTATGGGTCATAGGGGGGAAATACCCTAGTATTTATCTATTTCAGGAATGCAAAGTTAATGTTAAGCAGTGTAAAAAATCTTCTTGCAATATATTCACTCTGTGTTGGTGCCATTCAACTTGTTTTAAATCACATGAACATCTTTTAACTGCAACATTCCATGATTTTAAAAGGGGGACAACACAAGGAAAGGATTTTAATGAAAATAAAAGGTATGTCTGTTAATTCTATAGGGATGGAAGAAGGAACGCGTAGTTGCAGAATATCTGGATGGAAAGATTATATTGGTTCTCCCGGATGATCCGAAATATGCTCTCAAAAAGGTAAAGCCTGATTTTATGTGTAAAACTTTGTAACCTATGTAGGCGTTAGATTTATTTTTGACTAAACTGGTTTAGTGTGTGTCTGTTGCACATAGTAATTATGTGCTGTTTTATTATGTTTGAAGGTAGAGGAATTGCTGGAGTTGGTTGATAATGAACTGGGCTATCAGCAAGCTGCACTGAGCAATGCCAGCCGAAGCAAAACCTATATGTTCATCTCTAATGAGAAAAAGATTGTGGGCTGCCTCATAGCAGAAAATATCAAACAGGTAAAATATGTGTGTGTCTGTGTATAAGAGATGGTGCAGATTGTTGAGAAACGAGGAAATCGTGATGGTGATCAATTGATTAGTATCTACTGTTTGCATGTAGTGCTATTTGGGCAATATGCCTTGTATAAATAAAATAATCCTTTTGATATAGTGCCTTATCTTGCGGAAACATCCCAAAACACTTCAGAGTACTTCTGTAGGGATTGTCTTTAAAGGTGAACAAAGCAGCCAGTTTGTACATAGCAATGCCCCACAGACACCAAGAGTTCTCCATTTTTTTTTAAAAAATCATTAAATGGCTGTTTGTGGGCTGCTTTACTTTGTCTAGAGTTATTACCTCACAGCAAGAGTATCCAATATTTTGAAACTGAAACAAATGCAATAGAGTTTACATATATATTGTGTCTTTTACAACCCGGGGTCTCAAATTGTTTTGCGGTGCTGAATGGGCACATGAGCTGGGGTGGGAAGGGGAAAGATGATCATAAGCGAGATCATATTGAATTGTGCCTTGTAAGAGGTGAGGGAGGGAACAAGTTGGAGGGACTCCTGGATGGAATTCCAGAATGTGATGGTGGAGGAGCAGCCAGATTTGTGAGATAGGGTGCTGGAGATTTTGTAGATTGTGTGAGGAAGAGCTGGAGAATTCAGTAAGCAGAGCATTGATGTAGTAAAATGCTTGTCTTTCAAAATATTACATGTGTTTTACTTCCATTGCAACTAATTTCTGTCACTGTCACCAGTAAACTAAACTAATTGTTTGTATTTGAAGATGGACAAGGCATTAAGTCTATGGAATTAATCTAACGCTCGTGAAGATACTGAATGTGCTATTAAAATAAATCAGTTTAACTCTGGTTTGTCTTTTCTGTTGACATCCATTGATATCGCACCGCACTGAGTTCCTGTCAAAGCTTTGCAAATATTTGTAAAATTACTTCCAGGTGAAAGATTAAATGGAGAAATGCTAGTTAGTATTAAATCAATTTGTTTTCTTGTGATATATTTACAGGCTTTTAGAGTCTTGTCTGACCCTGCAGAACAGAAAATGTCTAAGACCCATGAGCTGTTTGAACATCAACGTGCCTGGTACTGCTCTACGAAGCCAGAGGAGGCTATCTGTGGCATAAGCAGAATCTGGGTTTTCAGTTTGATGCGAAGAAAAGACATTGCCAGTCGGATGGTGGATACTCTCCGGTAAGTATGTTTTAGCACTAGGAGCTAAAGTAGTCAGGTAATTCCTATTCAATACGTTGCAAGATCCCATTTATATTCAGCTAAAATCCACCAGGCATGTAATTTGATGTAAATAAGATGATTAAAACAATCCCAGTAAATTAGAAATATGAAAGGTTCTCATACTATGGTGTTTAATTTACAATTTTTTTAATGTCGTTGTTTCAAATGGGTTGAAGGACCTTCTTTATTGGAGCCTCTTGTTAAAAAAAACAATGTTCTGAAGAATATAGTCTGTCAACTAAAATTAGGTGAGTGTTCAAGGAATGTGTTAAATGAGGAGCTTATCAAACCTGAAACCTACCAACCCGCCCGCTCCTGCTCAGCAAGCACCAGCCTGCTTCATGTACCCACATTTCCGATTGGGCTTTCAGCCCATCTGCCTCCACTCTCTGAAACTTCATTGTGATGTCTCTGCCTCAGCCCTTTCCCTTGATTCCTTCAAGGTTTATTTATTCCTCTTTGACCACTACGTCTTCAGTCACATTCCTCTACCCCCTCCTGAATCAATTCACCAGCTCAGGTGCAAGCCCTCTACTTCCCAGTGCCTTGGGACATCTTCTGATATGAAGGATGTTATATAAATGCTATTTGCTGTTGAAAAACTCCCAAGATCCCCATAATTTTGGGAACGGCAATCTAGTAGTTTATATATATATATATATATATATAACTGGGTTCAAATCCTGGCAGGGTGAAACCTTAGGCAAGTTTCCTTACTCCACACCCCTGATAATAATCCCTCAAAAAATAAATAATAAATAAAAAAATAATAAATTGGTCATTTCAATCCATGAGGATGTGAAAAGCACTATATCAAATGCAAGGACTATTATTATATTTACATTGCTTAGAAAAGGCAGAATTTCAGATAGTGTAAAGCATCCAGGAAGATCCTGATAAATAAAATGGGAGTCTTATTGCCTCATTCCTGGCCTATATTGTGTACTAACCAACCTTCCATCCCTATTTCAGAAATACTTTCACGTATGGGACCTGCCTGAGTAAAAATGAAATTGCAATGTCAGACCCAACACCGGATGGCAAACTTTTTGCAACAAGTTATTGTGGAACCCCAAATTTTCTTGTTTATAACTTTATTAGTTAGGTTTAAAAGCAATGTTGATTCTTGATTTCCTCTGATTGTTCCGCTTTGTTTCCATGCATTGTATCTCAACTAATATTAAATAAACTATTTTAAATATAGCATTTAGTAATTGAGCTTAATAACTTCAATTGAATACTAGAAATGTATTTCTGGTCTTTACTGCATTGTTATCTGCCCTAAGTTAAAGTTCAGTGTCTTTAATTGTTCCTTAAGTTAATTATGTTCAACATCCATTCATGAAACTAGTTTCTAATGTAATCCTAGGTCAAATGGACTTGAATATACAAATGAATGTTTTTTTAATTCAATTTTATAACAAAATGTAAAACAAGGAATTAACTTTTTCCTGTGTTGAGGCAATCCTCCATTTTCTCCTTTCCCAAATTCTCTTGATTGAACGTATTTGGTTTGAAGACATTTGTTTTTATGTGCAATTTGAACTCAGGATAGTTGGATGGAATTTTACCAAACTGTCATGAGCTGAAAAACATTTGACCCAGTACAAGGCAAAAACTGATGTTTGTAGGTATAGACTGTCAAAGGTGTTTAAATAAAGTATTTGTTTCCCACAATAAATCTTTAATGATTTAATGGTTAATGTTCATGTTGCCTCTAACTGATCGAGCTGTTCTAATCTTTGGGCTGAAGGCATCTCAAGAGCTTCACAGGATTTTACTATAAAACGTTTTTGTAGACAGACACTTTGCACGTAGCCCTATCCCACAAAGAGCCATTGAAATAAATGACTAATTTAATGGGGGGGCAGAACACTGGGAGAAATTCCCTTTTGTTTTTGAACAGTGCCAGGGGGTCTTTACCATCCCCCTGAACGGGCACATGGGACCTTGGTTTAAAGTCTCACCTGAAGGACAGCACCTCTGCCATTGCAATGCTCCCAAAACTTCCAGCCGAGACGGGGCAGCATGAACCCACAACCTTCTGACTCTGATATGAGTGCTAAAACCTGAAGTTTTCACTTAACTTATAAAACTGAAAAGCACAAAGTACAAGTTGTACACTCAGGACCAATTGTAGTTGTTCAGTTCAGACTCAAATGTAGCTTTCAAGACCACATTTTTTATGGCAGAGAACGTGCTCCAATAAATAGATTTACCATGTAGGTAATCTAAGGGAGAGTATTCTGCTGCTTAAGGCCACAATATGCAGTGAGCAAGTTAAAAGGCTACCACAAGATATTTGCTCACACAATCATGTTTCTCGATATTGGGGGAGGGAGGCATTAAAAAGCAGGAATTGTTGGAAACTGTCCAAGTCTACCAATAGATAGACTTCATGACACTTCTGCAGCACTTTAAATTCTTGAACCAAACAGCTGTTGGAATATAGATATAAACAATCTTATCCTAATCGGAAGAGTAGATCCCATTGTAAACAGAAATGGCAGCAGCTTAGTTTATATAATTTTATTACAATATCAAATACCTAACTGTAAGCAAATATTTAATAGAAATGAATGACTAATTGCTCAATTGTTTTGAACATTAGTAAAGGGATTTAAAATTGAATTACTCAGACAACATAAAATTCAAAAGAATTAGAAAAGCAAAACACAGATGTGAAACTGGACACATGTCTAGAAATTAAGTCAGATGTTGAAATTTAGAAAAACACAAGTATTGTCTCTAAACATTCATACAGTTTGTTAAATATTTTAAACCATCAAAATCAATTTACCAATCTTAACTCCACTCCCACCCAAATACGTTTATACTAGAAGTATTTTACCTGTGCAATATTTAATCTAAAGTACTTCAAAATTAGGATAAGGCATTTTACAGCAAACTTCACTTATTCTGTAACTTTCATCAGTGCCTCAAGTTCTTTCACTATCTGTGTGGCAGAGGGGCGTTCCTTAGGATCTTCATTTGTGCACAGCAGAAATAACTCAATAACCGCCTGGTAGGAAGTATTCAGTTCCTCCATGTTAAGTGCTGGTCTTGTTCCTAAAGCAGCATAGTAAGCATCCTCATTGAAACTGTCTTCTTCATCATCTTCAAAAGATTCTGGAACAGGAAAAACATGGCAATATTTGTCAATGGGCAACGACAAAACCGGTCTCAAAAAACAGATAATGTGACTAAAGTTGTTTGCATTCTCCAGCAAAAAAATCAACTGTAGAAGTCTATGTTAACCAACATATAATCCTGCTCTATCTCTGCTGACTTCTCTCTCCTCTCCCTCCACGTTCACTTTGTCACCTACGTCCATGGCCACCTGCTTGACCTAGTGATTACCCAGAGCCTCAGCATCTTGGACTTCACCATCACTGACAAAGCCATCTTGGACAATTACTTATTCTTCCTCAACTCCTCAATCCCTCTCCCCACCGCCACCCAACCCACCACCATCTACCATCCCTGGAAAAAAATCTCCCCGCCCCTCACCCTGCTGTCTTGAAGTCATCTGCACTCCTCCCCCTCTGGGCTTCCTCCCACAATGACCTATCCTCAGTCACTCTCCTCCACAACCACCTCTCCACCACTTTTGATACCCTTGCCCCCTCACTTCCAAACCATCACCCACTCACAGAAATCACCATGGTACGCCAGCCACCTCCGCTCCCTTAAGGCTCAAGTGCGTGACGCTGAACACACCTGGCTCAAATCCCATTTATCAGTCCATCGGCAGATCTGTCTGGACCAGATCTTACCGCTCCACCGTCGCCTCCACTAAATCGTCTTTCTACTCCAAGACAATCTTGCAGGCCAAGGACAACCCCAGGCTCCTCTTCTCCATCACCAACCGGCTCCTCCGCCCATCCTCTCTTCCAATGTCAACTGCGAAACCAGTCGAGGGGATCTACTCAGCTGCCTCTGCCCTTCCACCCACTTCTGTCTCCCCATCACTCCCTGGCCCCTACTCATCACTCCCTCCACACCTTCCAACCTGTCACCCCCTCCTCTCTCATCACCACCACCACAACGCACATGAAACTGACCATCTGCTCCCTCAACCCCATCTCTACCCCTCTCCTTACCTCCCAGCTCCACTTCCTTGTCCCCTTGGGACGTCCTCCTGACGTGAAAGGCGCTTTATAAATGGAATCTTGTTGTTGTTGTACTTAGACATCATAAATCTGTTCCTGTCCACCCGCACCGTTCCCTTCCCTTTAAAAATGGCCATCATTACTCCTTAAAAAACTGTCCCTGAACCCATCCCTGCTCTCAAACTACCACCCCATCTCCAACCTCCCTTTCCAAGGTCCTGGAACGAGTCATTACTTTCCAACTTCACTCCTTCCTCTCCCGCCACTCCCTTCACGAACCCCACCAATCAGGTTTCCGGGCCTCCCACAGCACAGAAACAGCCTTGGTCAAAGTGACAAATGACATTTTGTCCACCTGTGACCAGAGCTCCCTCTGCCTCCTTGTCCTCCTTGACATCTCTGCTGCCTTCGATACCATTGACCATTCTGTCCTCTCCTCACCCTTCATGGTTCTGTCCATGAATGATTCAGATCCTACCTCTCACACCGTCCCCATTTCATCTCCACAAACAGCTTTTCCTCCAGCCCCCGCACCATCTCATCCGAAGTTCCTCAGGGCTCTATCCTTGGTCTCCTCTTCTTCAATATCTATATGCTCCCTCTTGGTGACATCATCCGCAGACATGGGGCCAATTTCCACATGTATGCGGATGACACCCAACTCTACCTCTCTGCCTCCACCCTTAACTCCAGTACCATTGTTGTTCTGACAATGTCTGTCAGACATCAAGTCCTGGATGAAAGCCAACTTTCTGCAGTTGAACGTCAACAAGACCGAGGCTCTCCTGATTGGCTCCCGTCAGCACCTCCACACCTCAGGCACTGATGGCATCACTCTCCAAGGATGCACACTCCACCTTACTAAGCCAGTCCGGATCCTTGGCGTCTTGTTTGACCCACAACTATCCTTTCTATCCCACATCCGTACCATGTCGCGCTCTGCATTGCCCCACCGCTGCAACATTGCGCGGCTCTGCCACTGTCTCACACCACAGGCCACCGAGACCCTCATGCACACATTCATGACATCCAGGCTTGACTACGCAAACTCCCCATTTGTTGGCCTCCCCAACTCCTCCCTCCATAAGCTGCAGATCATCCAGAACTCTGCAGCCCGTGTCCTCTCCCGCACCAGGCTCCACCATCACCTATCACCCCCATCCTTGCCCGACTCCACTGGCTTCCTGTTACACAAAGGATACAATTCAAAATCCTGGTCCTCACCTTCAAAGCCCTTCATGGCTTTGCTTCCCCCTACCTCTGTGACCTTCTAACATCTTACCAATCTGCCCACACACTCAGGGGCTCCGGCCTGCTTCATGTGCCCCGCCTTGCCTGCCCCACCGTTGACAGGTAGGCCTTTTGCCACTCTGACCCCATCCTCTGAAACTCCACCCTCCATCTCGCCCCATTCTCTTGCCTCCTTCAAGACCCGCCTAAGACCCTCCTCTTTGACCATACCTTGGTCATCTTCCTCCCCCCCCGCTCTGCACCCTCCCCGATCCCTAACTCGGGTCCGAAATACTGATTGTCCAGCGCCTTGGGACGTCCTCTGGACTGAAAGGCACTTTCAAAATGTAATTTTGTTGTTGTAATGAGGAATGTGGAAAGGGATCGAGTTGGCTCTCAAATGCCTGACAAGAAGAGAAGTCAAATGAACTGATGAATTTAGTAATTTGGTACATGAGCCAAACTGGTCTGCAGTATTTCAGGATGCTATTCAATATTCATTGACCAGCATAGCTGACTCCATGGAAGTTGGGAGCTTTGATTCTTGGCACTCGGCTTCAGATAACTTTCCAAGTTAGTGCATGAATGGCTGGTCTTAACTGAACAAGCACTGGAAAGGTCAACCATGGCGTTTTAATTCTGAAATACAATTTTTTCTTCAATCATTTTATTTTTTTTGTTTCTTAGTCAGAAGTATTTTTTCCATAAATTAAGAAATATCCCAAAGAATACTGGTGGGAATGGATTACTAGATTGAGAAAATGTAATCTTACCCTCAGAAATATTTACATGAGGCATAGAAAGGGTCATCATTTCCCACAAAGTAAGGCCATATGGGAAGATGTCGGATTTGTCTGTAATTATTCCATTTTCTTCCAAAGCCTCTTTTGGTTTCCATGGCTCAGTGCCAATGTATATTGCTTTTGGCTTGCTCACTGTGAAGACATTTAAAAACAGCAATTAAACATTTGTAATAGCTTAGTTTTCAGCAATTTATGGCTAGATTCTAATTTAAGTATGTATAAACTCAAGACATCCTGACCAGTCTAGAGCATACAATTTGTTTATTAGCTGAACCAATAGAAAAGTGCGGTCGCACTTTCTCCGTGGAATCCGCTACAAGCACCCTCCTCCACTACAAACCTGTACAGCGTTCTAAGCCGCGGGCCTCTGTGTTCTCGTCGTTGCAACTGTGGGCAGAGCATAGCAGCTCTGGTCACATTTGCGTGGTATGGAGTATTGGAATCGCAGAACAGGCACGAACATCAGCTTTGCTCCTCATACACTTGGTCCAACACAAAGAGGAAATATCAGCAAGATGTAGACTGCGACAGTAATCCAAGGTGTGACCCTGCATGAAGGGCGCTTTACAAATCCAAGTTTTGTTGAAAGTAAGCTACTATATGAGAATAGACAGCACAATTTACCATAGCAACTAAAGATACATAAAACACAAACAGATCTACGAAGTAATCCCTTCACATACCCTGCATGTTTTCATCCAACTGAAGAGAAACGCCCACATCGCAGATCTTGACGGTCTCGAAGTCACCTTTAATGACTATATTGCAGGACTTGATGTCTCCATGCAAGAGTCTCTTCTCGTTGTGCAAATACTGAAAATCATTAAAAGCCAATGAAGTCATGCAGTAGTGACCCTACAGAAATATACCTTATTCACCATTATAAGTATCAGGGTTTAAACAATATATCCTCAGGAAAACTCAAATCAGTAAGAACTGGGTAAAGTCCATTCAAAGAGTTCAGACTCCACGAGAAGCTCAATATCTTTGAAGGCAGATATTCCAATATATTTTCTTAAATGGGACCTGATACTATTTTAAAAAAATTAAATAAATTGTTTCCTGCATAGAAAATCTAATCAGTATGTATAATTTTGTTACTGTTCTTGTCAGTGCCTTGGGCCATCCATCCAACATGAAAGGCACTATATAAATGTAATTTGTTGTTGCTCTCACATTTAAATCCCTCCATGTTCTCTCCCCACCTATCTCTACAACCACCTTTACGCTTACCCACTTGGCTGTTCCCTTCACTCAACTTGCTCCGCATCTCCAGCTCAATCCACCTCACCATCAGCTTTCAGCTCCTTGGTGCCCACGCTCTGGAACTCCACTCATAGCTCCCTCTGAGTTGCTCCCTCCCTCTCTTCTTTCAAGGTACACCTCAAAACATACCTCTTTGACTGTGCTTTTGGTCTTCTTTCCCCAGTGCTCCCAAGCTCTAGTGCCCAGCCAGAATTGCGAAGTTTTTTGGGACATCCTCCAGATGTGAAAGCCGCAATGCAAATGAAATTGTATCATTTGAGGGGACTGCCTCCCTTGGTTCTTGCCTTATTGCATTAACTTTATATCTGGTATCAAACTCGTTGGTCAGAAAAATCACACTACCACAATTTGTACTTCAGAAGCCGATCAACTGTGCAACAATTTGATACTACTCAAGTGCCTTTCCAACCAAGTGACGCACAAGCTGCCAAATTTACTATTCATTGCTTATCTCTCTATTTGTGACCAAAGCTCCCTCTGTCCTCCTGGACCTCTCCGAGGCGTTCAACACAGTCGATCATGCTATCCTCCTCCACCGCCTTTCCTCCGTCATCCACCTCAGTGGGACCGCACTCGCCTGGTTCGAGTCCTATCTCACAAACCGCCAGCAGTACATCTGCACAAACGGCTTCTCCTCCCGCTCTCACCCGGTCACCTGTGGGGTACCCCAAGGATCCATCCTTGGCCCCCTCCTCTTCCTAATCTATATGCTCTCTCTTGGGGACCTCATCCGCAGACACGGGGTACACTTCCACATGTATGCGGACAACACCCAACTCTATTTTTCCACCTCTCTTTGTGACCCCCAGTCCCCTGATGTTCTGTCAGCCTGTCTGTCAGATCTCAGGGGCTGGATGAGCGCAAATTTCCTTCAGCTGAACGTTGCCAAGACGGAAGCCATACTCTTTGGCTCCCAGCAACGTCTAAAATCTCACGGCTCTCACCTCCTCCACCTACCCGACCTCTCCCTAAAACTCTCTGAACCCGTACGCAACCTAGGCGTCAGGCTTGACCCCCAATTATCCTTCCTCCCCCACATCCGGTCCCTCACCAGCACTTCCTTCTTCCACCTCCGACGCATCGCCTGCCTCCGCAAATATCTCTCTCCGAAAGCCACTGAAACCCTAGTCCATGCCTTTGTCACCTCTCGGCTGGACTATTCTAACACCCTCCTCGCCGGTCTCCCATCCACTACTATCCATAAAATCCAGATCATTCAAAACTCTGCCGCCCTCATTCTCACCCGCACGAAACTCCGCTCCCCGATCACCCCAGTCCTCGCCAGACTGCACTGACTGCCTGTCCCAGAGAGGATCGACTTCAAGATCCTCACCCTTGTATTCAAATCCCTGCACTCCTCTACACCCCCCTACCTCTCTGACCCCCTCTCTCCTGAAAACAATACCCGTTGCCTTTGTTCCTCCGGGTCTGGCCTCCTCCTCATCCCCCAAGTCCTCCGCTCCACCCTCGGCGGCCGTGCCTTCAGCCACTATGCCCCGAGGCTCTGGAATTCTCTTCCTCACTCCCTTCGTCTCGCTCCCCCTCTTCCTATTTTCAGGTCTCTGCTGAAGACCTTTCTCTTCGACCGCGCCTTTGGTCACCTTCCTCCCCATCCCCCTGGCTCGTCGTCGAGATCCGTTACTATAAAGTGCTCTGAGACGCCGTCCGGCGTGGAGGGCGCTATATAAATCCAAGTTGTTGTTGGTGTTTTTCTTAATTGGTGTCATTGTCAGTTTATTCACTTTATTTGTTAAACATACTGTGATTACCTAGTGATTCATATATTGTCTTAACAATTTATATAATGAGGAGGAAGTACACAATTACCTTCAAACCACGTGCCACGTGCAAGGCTACTTTTAGGATAGTAGAAGCAGGAAAAGGCCCCTTTCCATTTTCAACCCTCTCTTCTATGAGATCATTCAGAGACTTTTCTCCTCCAAACTCCATAGCCAGGCACAAAGTCCCATCATTTGCTTTAGTAAAAGCTCGATATCCTGGAGGTGAGAATCAGAATTTTAGACAATCATTATCTGGATTTCACAAGGATCAATACTATTGATTACTCATGAAGCAGACTTTCATTGGAATTCATTTAATATCAAGAGTCCAATTTTATAGATCTGAAGAATCATTAAACGTATATGAAGTAATGCGCTGACTCCGAGGTGGTTTCAATGTGCAATTCTCTGCTACAAATGGTTAATGAGGAAGAGACTATAAATTCTCTTAAAACAGAATTGGATAGATACTGAAAAGGAATATTAAAGAGGTATGGGAAGCAAGATGGAGGCTTTGAATTAGATCCAGTGGTTTATGTAAAGCATCAGTGTAGACTAGTTGGGATTAATGGTTTCTGTGCTGCAACATTCCATAACTATACATCAATCATTGTAAAAACATTGGAATAATAATTGTACCAACTGAATTAATGACCAAAACTGAACCAGAAATAAAACTCCTGCAAGCTCATTAACAAGCTTCATAACACTGTTGATCTTATACCATTTCCTAGGTTTACAAAAACACTAGTGGACAGAGTTCAGTGACTAAACTAACTCAAAACTTTTCCTCATCTAATTGCATATTATTTTTCAAAAATAAATCCATAATTTTGACATAATGACATAATCCATATTTTAAAATAAAGTAAACCTACCAACAATGTTAGGATGTACCAGGTCTTTCAGAAGTTTGGCCTCTTCCTGGAGTCTCTTCAAATAAATACTTTGTTGCTTTTTATCACACCTGGCATTAATCTTTTTCACAGCCCAAGGAGAACAAGAGATACCTTGAGGGGATCTAAATGCGAAACATTTGTTTAAAAAAAATACACGTCCTATAGATATCTATAGCAGGTAAGTGCAAAGTAGGATGCAAAGTGGATTCAGCAATAGAAAGGAATCAGGGTGGTCCAACAGCGGCCCGCAGGCGCCATCCGGCCAGCTGGGTGATCTTATCTGACCCGTGATTATTTTTAACATTCCAACTTCCGCTCCCTCCGTCCCTGTTGACCCCCTTCCACGGCAGCAACAGAAGCTGGCAGTTGGGAGGACGCAGCATGGAGAGTGGAAATGTTACCGGCCATTACTGTAGTCTGTCAGGAAGGCAAGCGCGTCTCTGACCAATCACGTCCTCAGCAACTTACAACAACAAAATTACATTTGTAAAGTGCCTTTCACGTCGGAAGGACGTCCCAAGCCACTGGACAGACAGAGTTACAGATCTGAGCTGGTGGTTGGGGTGGAGGAGGGTGGAGGGCAGGGAGGGAATCAGTGAGATCGAAAGCACGGTCGAAGAAGAGGGTCTTGAGATGGGTCTTGAAGGTGGTGAAGGAGGGGCCAAGGCGTAGGGACGGTGGGATGGAGTTCCGGAGCGTGGGGGCAGAGTGGTTGAAGACCCGCCCACCAATAGTGGGGTGAGCGAGGCGGGGACATGAAGCAGGCCAGAGCCCACTGAGCGGGGGGAGCAAGCAGGATGGTAGGGTGTTAGAAGATCGCAGAGGTAGGGGGGAAGCAAGAATGTGGAGGGCTTTGAAGGTGAGGACCAGGATCTTGAACTGTATCCTCTGTGTGATGGGAAGCCAGTGGAGTTGGGCAAGGATGGGGGTGATAGGTCGCGAAGCCTAGTGCGGGAGAGGATGAGCGTGGAAGAGGCGGGGAGGAAAGTGTCCCCCTCCACCTTTCTGTCCCCACTCCCCCTCTCTAAATCCATCTCTCTCTCCCCCAATCAACTGTTCAAGCAATCACTGTTTGCAGCGACAAGAGTAAGTCGCTAAGGACGAGATTGGTCAGAGATGCGTTTGCCTTCCTGACAGACTGCAGCAATGCCAGAATTATTTGCACTCTCTGCGCTGCGTCCTCCCAACCGCCAGCTCCTGATGCTGCCCTGAGAGGACGTAAACCAGGGAAGAAGTGGAAGTTGGAATATAATATAATAATAATAATCCTTGCATTTGATATAGCGCTTTTCACGTCTTCTCGACATCTCAAAGCGCTTCACAGAATAGTCTGTAAAGTGAATTGACCGTATATTTGTGGATGTAACGCAGCAGCCAATTGCGCACAAACAGTCGTGAATTGAAAATGACCAATTTATTATTGTTTTGTTTTTTGGAGGATTATTAGGCGTGTGGAGTAAGGAAACTTCCCAAGGTTTCGACCTGCCTGGAATTCAACACAGGAATGTTGGATCAGGTCTGGGGCTGGGTAAAATCATGGGCCGGGCCAGATGTGGCCCACGCTGAATCAACCTGCGGAACTTTCTCAGATAGGGGATCCGGCCCGCAGCAGCCAAAAGGTTGGACAGCCCTGGGTTAGATTAATACTCCAGGGCTTTGACAATTACCTGGGAAAAGCGGGGAGAGTGGAGGGGAGCAATCAAAGAGAATTTCAGAGTTTTACCCTTTTAGAAGTTTTACCCGTGTTAAAGTAATCTTCGTCTAGAGGTCATATGCATTTGGCATGTGGCCTTGGCATGCATAAGGTATGTGATCAATAGTGGGACTAGGATCTATAGACCAAATAGTCTTTCTTGTTCCATACTTCCTATTCATATAATTTGCACCATTTTGCATAGGGAAATATATCTGAAATCCAGCTTTTCATTATATTACGAACATTTGGCCAATTGTAGCCACAGACACCACTAGCTAAGATCAGCTAATTGTGCCACAGGTTGGGTGTTGAACCTTGCACTGCATGCCTCAACATATGATTATACAAAACTAAGCAAAGCTGCACAGAATCAAATATCTTCTCCATAAATGTTCAATCTATGTTAATCTTTATAATCCTTACCGTTTCATGAGGTAAACATTCACTCCAGTGCCATAACCTAGTTTCTTCATAAAAGGTGAAGCTGGAATGACCACAGACACGGCACCTTCATTCCCAGAACCTGGCAAAGTCCAAACCTTAGTATAATTCATTCCACTCCACATTGTGCTCCATTTTCAGAAACATGACATAAATCACCGTACAATTGTCTAATCGTTTGATAAATGCAACAGCAAACTTCAATGTATAGAAACATGCACACAACATACTGCAGGGAGTACAATTTCAAGTGTATCTGTGTATCATTTTATAGATTTATAAAGAAATCACAATTACTGTAAAATTACTGTGCAGACTCCAGATAATCTCCGCTTCCTGTGGTCTGTATTTTTCTATGTTTAGCATCACCAGCCCACCACTGTAAAATCCTATTTAATATCTGCAGCTTTAGTAAATATAGGTGAGTAACCCTTATATTTAGACTATGCAAAATGTATACAAAGGTCATCCAATTATGTTGTAAGTCTTAGCTTTGAATCCCATTCAAATCCCAGAGATAAAAAGTTTGCATAAGACATTGCTGGTGTGACAGCAAGACAGTTGGTACCTGGACGATTACTTTTAGCTTCTTGTTTGCAAGGAGTTTTGAAAAGGCTGGCAGCATCCATATTTTCTGTCAGTTTCCAAAATCAAACAAAGAAAATTTTGCAAAAGTTGCAAATACTGTGAAGATAAGAGAGAACAAACAGCTAGTAACAGTTTGCAAAACAAATCTGCAAGTTTCCAGCAACCAAGAGTTGACATAACCTATTAAAATAAGAAAACACTGCTGAATGTTCAGGTCATTTAGACTAATATTGCATCTAACTTCATTTTGCTGGACTGTCATTTTAGAGAAGTTTGCAATAATCAGAAATATGGCTGCAGAAAAAAAAGGTTCACTATTCCCTCCAAACTATGCAGGGACGGCCAAGACAACATAAAATACTGCACGACAAATATTCTTTGTAAACATTACATTTGTTCTCAAACAGGTTAATAGGGTAAACTACTATAAGGAATGTTCTTGCAAGTTAATGATACAAATCAAACACTGATGTGATCTCTACTTCATGTAATTAATCGCAGATATTCGTGACACCATAGTGACTCTGGACTTCGAGAGGCAGTCCAGTCACTGGGACCAGAATTAATTCTGCTCGATTCCAGTTAAGCCCACAAACCAAAGTCCTGACCGAGCAGCAGGAAGCTTCCCAGACAACGCTCTGAGCGGGACGCTGGGGGTTTTAGTTGTTTAAACTGGAGTCCGGTAGCTCAGTGGTTAGAGCACTCGCTTTGCAAACGAGAAACCTGAGTTCAATTCCAGGCAGAGGGCGAAACCTTGGGCAAGTTTCCTTACTCCACACAGAGCCTAATAATAATCCCTCCAAAACCAAAACCAATAATAAATTCGTCATTTTCAATCTACGACTGCTGTGCTGTGCGCAATTGGCTGCCGCGTTCGCCCACAAATATAGTCAATTCACTTTACAGTGTGTTCTGTGAAGCGCTTTGGGACGTCCTCCCGACGTGAAATGCGCTATATCAAATGCAAAGATTATTATTATTATAAGTCTTGGCTCTTGTCAATACGCCCGGAGAAGCTTCTGATCTGCAACCATTACAGTGTCAATGTTCTGTACTCTGTGAAGCTTCTTTTGGGCAGTGGGGGTGTCACCCTGGGGCTGGGGAGGGGGGGTGTCACCCTGGGGGTGGGGGGGGTGTCATCCTTGGAGGGGGTTGTCACCCTGGGGGTGGGTATCACCCTTGGGGGGGGAGGTTTCACCCGGAGGGGGGGGGGGGTCACCCTGGGAGGGGGGGGTCACCCTGGGGAGGGGGGGGTCACCCTGGGGAGGGGGGGGTCACCCTGGGGAGGGGGGGGTCACCCTGGGGAGGGGGGGGTCACCCTGGGGAGGGGGGGGTCACCCTGGGGAGAGGGGGGTCACCCTGGGGAGAGGGGGGGGTCACCCTGGGGAGAGGGGGGGTCACCCTGGGGAGAGGGGGGGTCACCCTGGGAGGGGGGGGGTCACCCTGGGGGGGGGGGGGTCACCCTGGGGGGGGGTCACCCTGCGGAGGGGGGGTGTCACCCTGGGGGGGTTGGGGGTCACCCTGGGGGGGGTTGGGGTCACCCTGGGGGGGGTTGGGGGTCACCCTGGGGGGGTTGGGGGTCACCCTGGGGGGGGTTGGGGGTCACCCTGGGGGGGGGTTGGGGGTCACCTTGGGGGGGGGGTTGGGGGTCACCCTGGGGGGGGGTTGGGGGTCACCCTGGGGGGGGTTGGGGGTCACCCTGGGGGGGGGGGTCACCCTGGGGAGGGGGGGGTCACCCTGGGGAGGGGGGGGTCACCCTGGGGGGGGGGTTGGGGGTCACCCTGGGGAGGGGGGGGTCACCCTGGGGGGGGGGGGTCACCCTGGGGGGGGGGGTTTGGGGGTCACCTTGGGGGGGGGTTGGGGGTCACCCTAGGGGGGGGGTTGGGGGTCACCCTGGGGGGGTGTCACCCTGGGGGGGGGTTTGGGGGTCACCCTGGGGGGGGGGGTTGGGGGTCACCTTGGGGTGGATGTCACTGTGGGATGGAGAGAGGGGGTGTCGGTGGGAGGCGTTGCTATGACAATGGAAGGTGCGGCAGTTGAAAGGAGCGGTTTCAAACTGTTGTGATAAAGAATCTGAATCGGTGACCGTCGCTCTGGACTCCCCGGGGATGGTGGTGGTGATGGGGTGTGTGTATAGGGGAAGGGAGGCCGCCCAACCCGCCCTGGAGCCGTATCCCAGTAACTTACCGTCACAGCACTGCTCCTCACCATACACTTCCCGCTCCACGGGTTTAAAATGTCGCGGTGCATCACGGGGAGAAGGGATCAGGTGGCGAGAGGAGACGTTGCGCATGCGTAATTTTCAGAACAATAACGGGCGGGGCTTGTTCTTGTGACGTATTTGTGACGTGCATTGAGCCAGTCCCAGCTGCTCTCGTGCGCATTGCTATGGAGGTTTGCAGCGCATCAGTTCCAGTCAGTTACTGTTCAGATGAAAGTTTGGTCCCTGACACACACAGTGACACACACAGTGACACACACACACACACAGTGACACACACACACACACAGTGACACACACACACACAGTGACACACACACACACAGTGACACACACACAGTGACACACAGTGACACACACACAGTGACACACACAGTGACACACACACACACAGTGACACACACACAGTGACCACACACAGTGAGACACACACAGTGACACACACACACACACAGTGACACACACACAGTGACACACCACACACAGTGACACACACAGTGACACCACACACAGTGACACACACACACACACAGTGACACACAACAGTGACACACACACAGTGACACACACACACAGTGACACACACACACACAGTGACACACAGTGACACACACACACTGACACACACACACACACACACAGTGACACACACACACAGTGACACACACAGTGACACACACACACAGTGACACACACAGTGACACACACACACACACAGTGACACACACACAGTGACACACACAGTGACACACACAGTGACACACACACAGTGACACACAGTGACACACACACACAGTGACACACACACAGTGACACACACACACATACAGTGACACACACAGTGACACACACACACACTGACACACACAGTCACACACACAGTGACACACACACACACTGACACACACAGTGACACACACACAGTGACACACACACAGTGACACACACACACAGTGACACACACAGTGACACACACACACTGACACACACACACATGACACACACAGTGACACACACACACAGTGACACACACACAGTGACACACACAGTGACACACACACACAGTGACACACACACAGTGACACACACACACACAGTGACACACACACACACAGTGACACACACACTGACACACACACACACACACACACACAGTCACACACACACAGTGACACACACACACACACACACACAGTGACACACACACACAGTGACACACACACACAGTGACACACACAGTGACACACACACACACAGTGACACACACACACAGTGACACACACACAGTGACACACACACAGACACACACAGTGACACACACACACTGACACACACACACTGACACACAGTAACACACACAAACAGTGACACACACACACTGACACACAGTAACACACACAAACAGTGACACACACACAGTGACACAGAGACACACACAGTGACACACACAGTGACAGAGACACACACACAGTGACACACACTGACACACACAGTGACACAGACATAGTGACACAGAGACACACACACAGTGACACAGAGACACACACAGTGACAGAGACACACACACAGTGACATACACAGTGACACACATACAGTGACAGACACACATACAGTGACACACACACAGTGACACAGTGTCACACACACAGTGACACACACACACAGACAGACAGTTACACACGCACAGAGACAGACAGACAGACAGCTCAGCCTTGATGGAGGATGACCATATTTGTAAACCAAATCTGGCGACGCCTCTATAAAAACCTGAACTCATCACACCCCCTGATGCTGGCAGCACTGGAGAAGCTTGTTGGATTAATTAATGGCTGTATTTCCTCTGATCAGTATCTGGTTTTGATTGTTATTATTGTTGCTCAGTTTGTGGTTGATCTCAAGACGGGGCAAATTTGTCCAGAGACACAATATCTCATCCAGGACCGTCCCCACGGAAATCGGGGACATAGGGTCACCCTACCGGCTTTTGAGGCTCCGGTCCTTTGTTGGAGAGCTCAGCTCTGCACTTCCCTGATCATTTATTTGTGGTCGGCGGATCTGCTGAACTCAGGAATGTCTTCCCCACAGTTGGAGGCATGGAGTCCTATAGCTCAGTGGTTAGAGCACTCGCCTTGCAAACGAGACACCTGGGTACAATTCCCGACAGGGCGAAACCTTGGGAAAGTTTCCTTACTCCACACGCCAAATAATAATCCCTCCAAAACAAAACAATAATAAATTGGTCATTTTCAATCCACGATTGTTTGAGGGACACTGCTGTGTACAATTGGTTGCCACGTTTCGCAAACAAATATACAGTCAATTCATTTTACAGCATATTCTGTGAAGCGCTTTGAGACGTCTAGAAGACATGAAAAGCTTTATATCAAATGCAAGAATTATTATTATTGTTGGCTGGAATCAGGCATTGGCATGGAGTTCGAGACAACCCCAAAAAGAGAGTGTGGAGAAACTGGACTTCGGACCGCCTTGGTTCTTGATCCCTAGGCTCAGATAGAGGTTGCTCCATCGGAGAGACAATCTGGTTAAACTGAAGTCCTGTCTGTCTGCTTAGGTGGACATCAATTATCTCGTACTATTCAAATAGAAAAGGAGAGTTTCTCCTGGTGTCCTGGCCAACAATCCTTCAGATACAATTGTCACTGCACTTTACAGTATATTCTGTGAAGCATTTTGAGATGTCCTCCCAATGTGAAAGGTGCTATACCAAATGTAAGATAAGTATTACTCTATTATAATCTGCCCTGAAGAGGTGAGTGGGGCCAGCCTTGGCCACATTGTAAACAGTCAGCAACATGGTTTTAAAGGGCAGCGCTTTGAGTGGTGCACCTCTCAATGAAGCAATGTATTCCTGTTTATGTAATGTATTCTGTTGCCACCAGGCAGCAATCTGAATTTGCTGAGTTTTGTGCTTTGCGTTTCGGCCACAAAATATACAGTCAATTCACTTTACAGTATATTCTGTAAATTGCTTTGAGATGTCTCAAAGACATGATAAGGCGCTAAATCCATTCCCTACATGGCACTTCTCCAATCTTCTCACTCCTCAATCCACTAACCGGCGCCTCTGCTCGACTGGCACCAGCCTCCTGCTTGTCCCTCACACCCTCCGCTCCACTATTGGAGGTCACGCTTTCAGCCACTACACCCCAAAACTGTGGAACACTCCCTCAATCCTTCCGCCTTGCCCACTCTCTCCCATTTTTCAAGCCCCGTCTGAAAACCTTCCTTTTCGACAGTGCTTCCGGTCACCTCCACCCACAGGGCTTGGAGTCAGGCTCTTAGATGCTAAGGCGTGTATTGCGCAATATAAGTGCAAGTTTTTGTTATATCAAAAGCAAGGATTATTACCATTATTACTGAATTTATTAATCAGTTGCTTAGGTTTCATCTGCAATAAATAATTCTTCTGTTTAATAGAGTTGTGACCACATCAGGTCATCAAAAAACAGTCAAGTATATTGTGTATGTGCTGCAAACACAGCAGCCAATTTACTCAAAGCAATGTCCCACAAACTGTTAGGGGGAAAATGACTTTTTCTCTGGGATTACTGGTCAGGAAATTGGAAAAAAAACTCCCTTCTCTTTTCAAACAGTGCAATTGGATCTTCAATATCCACTTGTACAGACAGACAAGTGGATGTCTGCTGTCTTAATCAAAAGACAGGAGTTCCCAGCACTCTCTCTCCACCCCCCGCACTGTATTTAAAATGTCACCCTCGGCAGTCTACATGATAAGCCTAGGTATTATAAACCCAATGTGGGGCTTGGATCCACAAACCTTCTGATTTGGACACAAAAGTGCGACTAATTGAGCCTCGCTGATGCCTAAGTAAGCATGTTAAGAACTCACTAAAGGTTTCATAAAAGCTTTGGCTAGATTTTTAAATTGTTTTCAAGCATTATTATCTCATGTTTCCCGTTGTCCCTATCTATAAATAGACATTCGGGCACAGCTAACCTGGCTGGTAGAAGATTACGAGTCCAGAGTAAAAAATGATACCAGTTCTCAGTCTCACTGCTGGACTTGGAACAGCAAAAACAGGTTGCATTTATATAGCGCCTTTAACGTCGGCAAGAAGTCATACATTGCTGAGGTTGAAAAATTAGATGAGCGCAGTGAGGGGTACTCTGGGATCAGAGTGGACAGCTGTACTCAGGATTGTTCAGCCAAATGCTAACCTTGGAAGGCTTGATGGTGATGTCAAGGTTTAGTGTATCCGGAGCAATAAAAAAAGTGACAGAAATATAATAATGTAATGTTATTTATTTGGTGCCAAAAGTGGAGAAGTGTTCAATTTCCTATCACTAACATATGTCTGTCTGTTAAATGTAGGCAATTGGTCAAATTATAATAGGTTACTTTAGTACTTTATTTACAAATCTTCAGGTTTGATTCACTAAGACATTGGAACAAAGGTCTTAAATCATTCTAGACATGTCAGCACATGAGAAGGATATTCAGCATTATGTCTGTACCATATTGGCTTGCAAAAAGACTAACTTTTTAATGTCTTTTATATAAAAGAAATGTCCCAAAATACAGTGCTTTACAAAAAGAGATTACTTAGAAATGAAGGGAATCTTTTCATGTTGGTAAATAATGGCAGTTAGTTTGCTTAATTTAAGTTAATTTACTTAACATATAAAATAATGTCATTAGAATAACTAATAACTAAAAGGATATTTTAAAAATGTGAACAATAATTTTTGTGAGCCTTTTCATTTAAAAAATGTTAAAGGATAAAATATTTTGAACGTGAAATGATGTTGAATGAACCACTGATGTTTTCCTGTTTCATTAAATTTGATTAATATTTAATGTAGGTCAATATTTGAAGATGTCCTTGGAAATGACGTGTGTGTGTGTGCGTGTTTGGGGAGGGGCTACTTCTGCTAGAAGATTCTGACTGCGCAGCTTTGACAACCTGGCCAATCTCCTGACGTGAAAGGCGCTACATAAATGTAGTTTTGTTGTTTCTGGATTGATCACGTCTGCCTTAAATTTCTTTTC